GTAGGGGAAAATTTTTGAGTACTCCAGTCGAAGAACAGAAAGACTTTGCACTCGGATCCTGCCTACGGCGCCGGGTGGTAGCAAGGACGATGTCAGGGTCCTTAAGGCGCCTTTTGGATTGGACAAAAACGACACGTCTATCTGGGACGACACGCCATGGAAGACTGCCTCATGACATCTACAACGCCAGGACAGATTCCACAAATGTCGACCTCCACGCTCTTCTCATCTTGCAGAGCATATCAAGTACCACATCATCGCTCTGCAGGAAACGAAGTCCAGGAAGAAGGACGAAGAACCGAGTTTTAGCAAGCTTCAAGTCATTTTGACGCTCTTGATCTCTACTTTCAGGCTGACAACATCGCAACACCATATTTTGTGATTTGAGCGAGAAATCCGGCAAAAACCTTGTTTTCAAAAATCTCTTGTTTTTCCCCTAGTTTAGCTCTTTTCACGGGTTTTTTCTTGCATTCCATAGGTTTGCTCTCGTTCATAATGCAGACAACGACCCAATGCTTATCTCTTCGATTAGGGCGGATTTTTTTTTTGAGGAAAATCGTAAAAAGTGCGCTTTTCTTCACCTTGTTCTGTTTTACTGCTTTCGCAGCGATTTTTTTCAGCTTGGGCGATTGTTGCTCAGAACAATAAGTGCAACAATTTACACAACGTCCCAGGAAACAGGAACGTCAGTGTGGGGGTAAAAATATAAAGGACGCATCAACTAAATTTGGCTTTGACGCATTTCGACTCAGTAAAAAAGAAACTTTGTGTTTTCATAACAGATTTCTTTCTTGCTTATCTTCTTCTTGATAACCATTAATTCCAAAAATGGTTTTTTTGAAACAGTCACATAAAAGGAATCAGCTTTTCCCGGTTTTCCTCCGTGTTGCGTGCGAATTGCAGGTCTTGCAGCGAAAAACTGATCTTTGAACGCTAAATGAAAAATCTCAAACCTCATTGCAAGTTTTCACCCGGTTTTCAGCAGTTTCCCTTGCTTTTATCTCTCTTTTGTGTGTTTTTTTATTCTCTGATCTTCTATAAACAATCTTCACTTTTCATGAGGGCAGACGTTCAAATAATCTTCAATTTTGACGCCCTATCTCGACTATCGAAGGTATGGTCCCACCTTCCCATGTGAGCAGCGCTTCCAAACAGCCGGGAGCGCTGGTTGTGGCAGTACCGGTTGCCCTAGTGTATTAGCGAAGCAACCTCTTCCGCTAGCGTGCTGACGAGTAAGGAGCTATGTATAACTGCAATCAAAGCGACTGTGTGTCCATACGTTTTGTTTTCATTCAAAGTATTGTGATTGGTGGTGTTAATTTGCGTTTCGTAGCGACTGGCAAGCTTTCGCAAGAAAGCTTTCGTATAAGCGGTGGAGTAGTGAAAGAATTGAGGGCAGTGAATAGAGTGATTTAACGACTTAAGGAAGAAGAGCATACGCGAGAGCGAAGTGATATATCGCTTGGCATGGTCTGACGTCGTACGGTCTTTCCAAGTAGCAAACCCTGCATACGTTTGGATAAAAAAAGTTTTCATCTGCATCATCATTTGCGCAAGGTATCGCAGCACATCACACGCAGTAATGTTTATTAGTGGGTATTATTTATTATCTGTAGTTTGGCAATTCTTCATATTTTTGAGCGAGAAAAAAAATTTGCCGGGTTTGGTCTCCCTACTGTAATTGTGCGGGTAGGGCTAGCACAAAACACGTTCGCGCACGCAATGGTTCTGTTTATAACATCTACCGTTGTTGAATCGGATCGTGAAGGCAGCGAGCGGCAAGAGCTGCTGAACAAGCTGCATACAATGACTGGCCCTTAGTTGCGTTCAGGACCCGACAAGTGTTGGTTTCGAGCATTTTCGAAAACGAAATTCCCAAGACATCGTAAAATCATATTGAGTTTCCTTTGAAAATGGGGTAGGAGCTAGAAAATTAAATACAAAGAGAAAAGAAATATCTGTCGCAGAACTGTGATTAATGACAAGAGTCTTAGCAAAAAAACTTGTAAAAGAATGTTCGAGCTTGTCAAAGACACAAAAAAACATTTGTATCAGGGACACTCTTCTGCTCCTCTACCTTAGCGAATTGTCATAGAAAAGGGAGATGAGTTGCGGTCGTACCTCATAGCTTCTCTAAGCACTCCTTGAATCGTGAGTTGAAGAGCAATATTTATCAAAGTTTATTACTTTAGATGTATTTACGGCCCAAATTGAGGAGAAGCGATGGCTTGGTTTGGTCTTTTCACTGGATGAGATTTTTGAGCGCTCAAGTTCAAAGCCAAAAAGATGCAAGACTCATGTGGATTCTTGGGAATTTATGCTCCAAATCAACCTTGGTTTGGTGATAGTCTAGAAACGAAACCATCAAATTCGAGAACAGGTAATTGGGCGTAACCCCATTTCTTCAGTAATGTAGTTTGGAATAATGTTGTGTACCTATTCCACATTTGGTGTAATATGACCGAGTGTCCGCTGCTAACAAGCCTTTTGTTTATTTTAGCATCATTTCAAATATAGCGCGCTTGTGGGAGAGAGCACGCTAGAGCATGCTAGTCATGTACAACTTGATGGTGAAGTAAATGGGCAAATGTGAAGGCCAGGTGTATATATGTCTAACATGTTTTACGAAATTCCTTTCACCATTTGCCACAGCGTAGTCTAGTTTGACTTCAGCACATCTGTGCTGGGTCCTGACAACGTTGGAGGGGACGGCCTGTTGAATGCCTTGCATATCCCTCTATTTTATTGACCGCAGGGCGCATGAGGCGCAGGGTTTACAAGTTTTACAGTCTTTTCAACCCGGAGTAGGCGAAACATTTCAAGTGAAGCAGCGCGTCCGCACCGCCACGGTTCAGCGAGATAGATTAGAATGAAGGGACGCAGACTGCGAAGCGGCGCGTCATTGCGAAGCGGACTCCCGCCAGTCCAATTTCCGGCTAAACTGAGCTGAAACTTACTATACAACAGTGAAGACGCAACGCGCGCATCGCTTCGCGCTGGCTCGCCAATACTACTTTTGAGCCTCTGTCCGGCAGTAGGCATTAGTTCGCGAAAATTTCAATCAGAACTCAAAAAACCAAAAATTCCCAAACTTTATGATATAGACCGAATGGCTCCTGAAATGATGGAGTGGAGGGGATTTTGTCGAAAGTCAAAGTTTTGAAGTTTGACAGGGAGGTTTGAGCCTGCTGAAACGCTGAGATATCTATGCTAAAGCTCATAGGAAAGCATAAGAAAGGCTCGCTTTTGAAATTCAGTTCTGAACCTGCACCACGTTGAATGATTCCACTCACAACCGCACGATGCATAACCTGGCCGCTTCGCTTGTACTTATCTCGAGCTTTCTTATTTACGTAGGGTACGTAACTTCTCTCCCGCCCCCCCCCCTTATTAGTGCTTTTGTACGGCACGTGACTGACGAAAACATAGAAGTACATCTCATTGACACCCTAATCTTTTTTTTACAACTTACCAAATGTCTGTATGGACATATTATCAGATTTTAAAGAGGAGAATGTGACGACATGCGGTCTGGATGATTTCTATCTGTTGCAATCCTTTGTTATAGAGAGTCTGTTGACACCTCCACTTAAGTTTCCTACATTTCCTAGTCTTCCTAACTTTGGAGAAACCAATTTTTCATCTATTTTTTAAAATGTATTTTCCATCTGAAACATATACAAAATCATTCGATTTATAAAGAAAGCGTAAGTCCTTCCTTTTCTCTCTGAGTTATTTTATTTTATAGAATAAAGTTATAGGAGGACTCGAAAAAATAGTAAACATCCTGGTCAGGTCATTAATATGTGTACTCAAGTTCGTTACGCACTGCTCGCAATACCTTTGACTAGAATTACGCAGTCGAGAAGGGAAATAGAGAATTTTGGAAAAACCCCTTATTCCAAAGTATGCAGGGTGGGACCATTTGACCAACCTAGTTCTATATCTTACTAGAAGTTATGGTTATTGAAATGGCCTTCCAAGATGTGATGGCGGATTACTGGACGAAGAACGAGCGTTTTTGTAGCAAAAAAATTCAAATACGCAACTAGGGCAAAATCGGGGGGATTATTTGTTTTAGCGCTTACAGTGACAAATTCCAGTGCGCTCTATCCAATAAATGTCTGAGTTCAGGTACACCTTTAATTATCGCTGCATCATTTTAGCTAAGAAAATTGCTAGCGCATTCAAAATTTTGCTCCGATAAACCCTCACAGCTCTTCACCCAAAAACGTTACGCGAACAAGTAAGGTAGATTTGAAATCAGCGTTTGATGCTCTCCGGATAGTTTACACTTTATTATGGAAAACCGTCTCTCAATTGTTAGCCTGGAGGCACCGATTGTTCTATTAAATAATGAGATTGGGTAAAAAAACCCCGATCATTCAAGTTTTCCCACAGTTGCATTTTCTCTAACAAAAAAGAAGGTTCGCGAGCTCAAAAAGTCCCACAAAAAATGCATCATAAAGTGGGATTTGCTTAGTCCCGAACTATATTGAACAAAAATACCAAGTAGAAATCTGTTTATCATTTCGGTTTTTCCAGGAAACTTGTATGATAAGATTGCACTTTGACTTACTTATATCCATCTGTCTCCTGTCCATCAAAGAGGGCAAGACGCTTTTGTACCATCGCTCATTCCGTTATGTCGTTGTGTCACACAGCGACATTCAGTTCATTTATTTCTCGAGACGATACTGGCTAGAAAAGGTCAGATAGAATTGCGCATCGGCACTGTCTAGTGACAAGACATGTCAACACTCAATAATAAGGACACCTGAACAACAGAATAAGGGGGTATCGATCTCAAAGATGCAGCGATAAGACTAGTTCCACCCATCGTCAACATTTGTGAAGACGAAGTGGTCATCGTTCGAATAGTTCTCACTTTTTTACTGAAGTCACGTCACTGGCTTACGCGTAGTTCTTTCGTTGTTGATAAGAGATGCTACGACTCAAGGAAATCTAGTTCAGACTGCGTCCCATCGCTTAAATCATCGATGTTCTCAATCTGCTATGCCGCACTGTCGTTCATAGGTGTCGCCTTGGCATATTCTGCTGAAGTCGACGATGTAAGCGTTCCTGTCCGCAATCATTTACAACACGAGGTTACAATCTTGTTATCTTTGCAACAAATGCTTAGCTTGGTGGTGTGATTATTTTCACGTATTGTTTGATAACTAGTATGAAGAAAGAGTTAGCCTTTTGAGAGAATTCATACATAAATATAAAAAGTTTCATGATTCATCTCAAACGCAAGGTGAAAGGCAGCGTCCCGGCAAAATGATGGGTACCGGACCCAACTAATCTATCAGTGAAAACTGGAGTGAAAAAGCGCGTTTAGAAAGCTTGAAATCCACTCTCAATGCCTACGGACCCCGCCCACGTACACATACTTCGCAGCGAATGCGGACGTGGAGAGATTCGAAAAAAGCTCATTTTCGCCGTTTTCTTGTGCTGCAAAGCCCAGATATGGAAGGTAAGAAATCGGAGAGGCGGGACACGTTTGCCCTGTTTTTGTTGGCCACAAAATGTTTCAGAATAGACTTGAACTGGAGCTTATCCGAAATTCTGAGTGCGACAGATCGCAGGCGCAGATAAAGCGTTAGTCGCGTCCACTGCGCGCGGCGCGCTGCTGAGCTAGAATAAAGAAGCATGGGCAAGAAAGACGCAGACAGTGGAACAGCGGCGACGCGCCCAAAAACTAGCGAACCCTATAAGTCAATGGATTATTGAAAAGTACTCAGCACGTAGTAATCATAACATTTGCGTGACAGGCTGTCATGCACCCCAAAAAAACCGTGATTGCAGAAAACACAATGGAATAAGACTGAATAAGTATACTTGCAGCAAGGCTGGGAAACATTACAAGTCGTACCTCATGTCTCTGGACTTCGTGTCGAAAGCCCAATCGGCGAGAAGGGATTTATAGGATACACGTGGGACAATTTTATTATTTGAAAAGTTCGTCGTTGAACGCAGTGTATCACAGCCCACAACCATTGCTGAGAATAATCATATTCTAGCGAAGCATGGGAACTCATTGTGGAACCGAATGTACCGGTTACTGTAATTATCTTCGGCTATTGGCTTGACAGGGTAACACACCAAACAAGAGTTTTATCATCGAGTAGGATAAATTTGCAGGTGGAGTACATCACATTCACGGATTCGATCTGTTTAACATCTGAGTTCAACATTTCACGACATAGCTTCACTCTGCAGACGGAGACAAGGATTGAGTTGAAAATGTCATTCCCGAAGTAGGTGGAGTTACCGCTTTGTGCAATTGCACAACACATATCCGCGGGAGGCACCTTGTCCTCGTGGACGATGATACGCAGTAGTGAATGGTGCCCTATAATTTGATTCTATCGTACCCAACCGTTCAAATTTGAGTTTGCAAATCAGTTTGGGCGCAGAAGTTTCTTATGCTAGTCCCACCACTCTTTTGGCAAACTCAGCCCACCCCATTGCCTTAAGAAAATTGCCGCTTGCTTTCCGAAATTGCTGGATTTTGCACACACACACATAGAAGTTTTCATAGAAGTTCAAGCAGTTTCCGGCATTTTTTGGCGAGTGGGAGGAGCTTGCCACAAGTAGGCGGAGCTTCCTCCATTCACTTGTATATTCATACTTCATGCATGGATGCATGCATACACCAGCGAAAAAAAATCGGCTCGTCGTCAACCTGTGAAGCGCACGATTATAAAAGTTTGAGATAGAAGGTTTAGAAGTTTTCTTCAGCTTTAAGTAAGCGTTATTCACTTTTTCTTCATAACAGTTATGATTTTGCACCTGTTTGAGCACAATTAGATCACAAAACCCCGCCCTAAGGCAGGGTTCATACTGAGCCGCACAAAGCGGCACAGTTCCCGCACAGCGCTCGAACTGTGCTCGAACTGTGCCGGAACTGTGCTGCATGCGCAGTTGGAGTATTTTGACCGTTTCTAACGGTTTTTCTTTTAGGTTTCTCTCAATTCGGGCCTTACTCCTCCACCCCGCTTTTCCTGTGATGAGTGGAACTCCGAGTGCAGAGCGGGGTTGAGGAAAAAGCGCTGTTCTGCTTTGTGTGTCCGATTATGTGTGTTGTTCCGCTCGTTTTCATGTCTCTTTGTTTTATCCTTGCATAAAAGTACTCCATTCTGTTTCCAGAAGGCACTGCGATATTTTCGCAGGCATTTTTCTTGAAGGAGGGCAAAAATAGTGCAGAAGAGCAGGAAATCCCATCAATTTGTTGGCCATTATCGGGCTCCTAGCCCCTCTTCGTTTTCATTTCATTGTTTTTTCGTTCTTTGTTTTACCCCGCTTCCCTTTTTGTTGTGTAGCGCTTCGAACTTGAAGCGGGGTAGAAGAAAGAGCGAAGAAGCAATGAAATGGAAAATGAACGCGGCTGAGAGGATACATGAAGCACAATCGCGTTCATTCTTTTACCCCGCTTCAAGTTCGAAGCGCTACACAACAAAAAAGGAAGCGGGGTAAAACAAAGAACGAAAAAACAGTGAAATGAAAACGAAGAGGGGCTAGGAGCCCAATGGTGGCCAACAAATTGATGGGATTTCCTGCTCTTCTGCACTATTTTTACCCTCCTTCAAGAAAAATGCCTGCGAAAATATTGCAGTGCCTTCTGGAAACAGAATGGAGTACTTTTATGCAAGGATAAAACAAAGAGACATGAACGAGCGGAGCAACACACATAATCGGACAGACAAAGCAGAACAGCGCTTTTTCCTCAACCCCGGTTTGCACTCGGAGTTCCACTCATCAAAAGGAAAAGCGGGGTGGAGGAATAAGGCCCGAATTGAGAGAAACCTAAAAGAAAAACCGTCAGAAACGGTCAAAATACTCCAACTGCGCATGCAGCACAGTTCCGGCACAGTTCGAGCACAGTTCGAGCGCTGTGCGGGAACTGTGCCGCTGTGTGCGGCTCAGTATGAACCCTGCCTAACGGAGCGAAGCCAGTTGAATCAAAGGTTATACCCTGAGTACAGTTTTCATCAAATTGCCAGTAATAAGGCACCAATATATCTGTGAGCGATGGGATAGTTTGGTAAATAACTAAAGATTCATATTTCAGTGGAGAGGATTCATGGAGGCTGTGTGTAAAACAGCAAGGACAATTGGGAGAGCTTTTGCTGGTTCGATACTTTGTAATCGACAATATGATTCTTCTTATGTGCTATTTTAGATTGATGATGATCGAACATGGATAAATACAAAAGAAACCCACGAAGAACACTACTTTCCAATTTCTGTGCAGGTATCTGACTACACATTTAGCAAGATCCATCCAGATTTCATGGAAAACTATTCAAGGTCGGAATTCTGTGTGTACTTTTTACCATGTCTGCCTTATTCTCGGGTCTGAACTTAGGTCTTATGACATTATCAGTGCAAGAGCTCAACCTAATCATCAAAAGTGGTAGGTAGTACATTTCCTGAATTTTTTGTTTGTATGGCTGCGCCCAAAGTTTCCCGTGCTAGCGCTGTGCCGGTTGCCTGACCTACACGGAGCCGTACACGCAGGTTTCGGCACGGCTGTGGAACGGCGCTGGCGCAGCGCACTGTCACATGGGCAACTTTGAAAGTTGTGAAGGGTTCATTCTATTCAGGCACAAAGGAAGAGGCAAAAAATGCAGAAGCTATTCTGCCTATACGAATGCAAGGCAACCATCTTCTTTGTACAATTTTAATCGTTAATGTGGTAGGACAAAAAGATGTTTACTTTATTAAGTTGAAGAAATGGTAACGTTTAGGTAGTAAATGCAGCTATATCCATCTTGCTCGAAGACCTCACTACCGGTACCATTGCTTTTGTAGCATCATCCGCGGGAATTCTACTTTTTGGAGAGATCACTCCACAAAGCGTTTGCGTCAAGTAAGTAAGAAAAATCGGTTCATAAATGCAAAAATTTGGTTCAGGCACGGTCTCGAAGTTGGGGCGCGAACGATTTGGATCACAAGGTTCTTCATGTTCATCACTGCACCTATCTCCTATCCGATAAGCAAGGTACTGTGGCATTCAAAGTGCTTAGTAACTACATTATTTATTTTAGATTTTGGATTACTTGATAGGAGACGAAGTTGGCCAGTTTGACAGAGGCCGTCTCATTGAATTGTTGAAGATGTCCACAGAGGCTGGGCAAAATAAGGTTAAAGCCGTAAATCAATATTAGTATCCCATAGTTTTAACATACAAGTCTGTAGGAGATGGCCACAGAGGTGAAGATTGCAGTTGGAGCAATGGAATTCGCGAATAAGGTTGCAAAAGATGTCATGACTAGAATCGATGTGAGTGGTTATAAAGCTGTTCACAGAACTTTTGTGCTTTCGTGCTAGTGCCGTGCTAGCGCCGTGCCAGCGCCCACGTATCGGTCAAGTGGTGCAGCACTGGAACAATCAACTTGGAAGCAGCTGAATATCCTTAGATCACATTTTTATCGAAAAAAAAGTTTTCAGGATGTATTCATGCTGTCGGAAAATGACATACTTGATGCAGCGACGCTTACCAAAATCATTCATAGAGGTTATACACGAATTCCAGTTTATGTGGAAGGAGACAGGAACAAAGTAAATCTTAATAGCAAGCTACTTAGCATATAAGCAGTATTCCAGGTCACATCACTTTTGTTTGTGAAAGATCTTGCTTTGATCGATAAGAAAAATAATATTGCTGTAAAAGCGGTAGCAGAATTCAACGAGAGACAGTTACGGATTATTGACGAAGATATGCCATTGCCACAGCTTTTGGACGAGTTCAAGGAGGTGCGAAAAATAGTACAAAATAAAGTGACAGTGATCTCAGAGCTTTAGGGAAATTACCATCTTGCCATGGTCAGAAAACTCAAAAACATTTCGTTATCTACAGATGATGACCACCATTCACTAGAAAATTATGACGAGATTCAGGTAAATTAGCAACTTCATATTTGCTCCTTTCACAGCTTCTCTTTTCCAGAAAGACACTGCAGACTCTTCTCAAACACACGATTGTGTGCCACTCAAAGAAACAGAAAGCGACACTTTAATTGGCTTAGTAAGAACAGTATGCCACTAATGTGCTACCAGAAAATAATTTTCAACAGGTCACTCTCGAAGATCTGCTTGAAGAGATTCTACAATCTGAAATAATCGATGAAAGCGACTCCGTTATAGATAATGTTCATCGCTACCGTCGTCGTGCTCATCAAGCAAGTTTTGTTTTCTCCTTGCATGACCCAAAAACAATTCTGTTCTTGCAGACGAGAGTTTCTGAAGTCTTCTGCTGTGAGGCAAAAAGCGATCCTTTGTCGCTAAATATGCTACAAGTGGTTACACGTTGGTTGACTGAGAGACATGTGTTCTTTAGTGATCGGTACATGGAAGAGCGAGCTCGAGAAAAGATGATTCAGACAAATATTCGACATGTGAGTGTTACACAACTTATACGAATAGCTAAATCATTAGACATTTTCAAGAGGCGATTCAGGATATAGCACTTCCCAAAAGATGTTCTCGGGAGGGGGAGGGGGAGGAATAGGGGATGAAAGCGGGGGTCGGCACAGGTGACTTACGGTACAGGCTGGATACCGTTTTGGGGTAAAAAGCAAAGCGCATCCGAGGCGGGGCCTGAAAAAATGCATGTACCGGCTTATGGTGTATAAAAATCGCCTATCGCTTTTCAAAAAGCCTTCTGATCAAACAAGGATCTCAAACTGGACTTTCATATGGACTTGATCGAGTAAAAAACTTCGAAGATTGGCCAACTTGAGGCCCACTTGACAAATACCTCCCTCCCCCCACCCCTGCAAGCAAAACTTAGCTTTTGAGGCACCCGAAAACAAAGCCGTACATTTTTTTTTTTGTTTCTGGGGTTTTTCCATTTGTTTTATGTAACTATAATCTATTACATTATCCAAAATATTGCCAGGGTCACTGTGCCGAACCCCTAAAGATGGACGACAACTTTACCGGTGGATTATACTGTTTTACCAAAGACCTACACTGTTCTTTGATGATAAGCTGCGTTTGAAACGGGAAAAATCGAATAGTTTTCATTTTGGAAGAAATTCAAAATAAAATTCATGTCGTCTCACTATATGTTGTGCATATATGCGAATAGTACATGTGTATCTACAGTGCAAGAGACGATAAAAAGGATATTAATATAGCACCTTCGGAATTTGTAAAAAAAAAGACAGTAAAGTCGACTGAATACACCCGTATCTTCTCTATTTGCATTTATAACATGTTGGAAGCAATTTATATCAAACCAAACAATCTGTATAAGCATTTTTAGGTCATACTGGTTACGGGGAAGGAAGAAAAAGGTGTTTACCTTTATGAGTGCGGCGTTGCGAGCAGACGATTCATCCTAATATTGGAAGGAACTGCAACGGTGTCGTTTCCAAAAGTGAGCGAGTGTCCATTTATACTATAAATTTTCAACGACATTTGAAACAGCGCCTTACTAACTAGAAATAAGCTTATCAGTTGGATTTTTAGATAAATATGTCTTTTGAAGTGGGTCCATGGTCATGCTTTGGAGAAACTCTCTTCCATAAGATTTCCGCATCTATGCGAAGCCGACAAGGTTTGTGCAAGAGTATTTAATTATGTCAGACATGATTTTTTTTGGATTTCAGATACACAAGCAAGCAGTTTCACTCCAGATTTTGATTTACATGTGCAGCAGACCTGTCGCTTTCTTCAGGTTCATATCTTTTTAGCGACAGTTGATAGCACATTTAGCTAGGTAACTATTAAAAAAATTTTTCTTGATTCAGCTCCCAACCTTGGCTGTTGTGCGAGCTCTGCGTTTGTCGCGATTTGTCAAACAAATCAGGTAAGCTCAGCTTTAGACTTGAAGCATTCCTTCATTCCAAAATCCAGGACACCGAAAGCCTCTAGTTCTGAAGAAGACGATCCTGTTCCCTTGTTTTTAGGCGGAACCGGACGTAGCAAAGATGTGGGTACAAACTTACGCTAGTTTTTTCTTTTTTCTTGTAAAACAGAATTTAACAGACTTTATCGGCCTACTTGCTGGGACCTCACCACACATCTCTCGCTGCCAGAATACAACAAGGAATGAATCGTTCAAGTAACTCAACTTCTGTTGCTCTCAAACTACACGCTTCGTCTCCAGCATTGGCAGAGTTGGAGGAGGAATTATGATAATTAGAACTATCAAATTCTAAGTATAGCAATATTATTGTATCATGTGTTCACATACCTCAACAATAATATTTCGAAAAAAAATCGATTTTTCACAATTGATGGTTTGTTTGGCACCTACTCGGATGCGTTGCAGGGCTCCCGGCCAACTCTTGAAATTGATGTTTGCACAAATTTGGTTTCAAGGCTCCCAAGCTGGTTAGGTTTTTCAAGCTAAGCGACCGCTAAAGTGCGGTGAAGAATGAGTCAAAACAAGATACTCAGACCCCCCCCCCCGGATAGGACCCCTCCGCCGGAGAAATGGCAGGGTCGCAGCGTTTCCCCAGCGGTGGGTCTGCCACTCGTCCGCCGGAGCCCTCCCATTTCTGCTCCGGAGACGTCCCATTTCTGCTCCGGAGACCTCCCATTTTCTGCTCCGGATACCTCCCATTTTCTGCTCCGGAGACCTCCCATTTTCTGCTCCGGATACCTCCCATTTTCTGCTCCGGAGACCTCCCATTTGTGCTCCGGACCCGTCCCATTTTCTGCGGCGCGGCTCTTCCAAATCTGGCAGAGCCGCGCCGGAGAAATGGCGTACCTTTGCAGCAGGGCCGTAGAAGCGTCCCATTTGCCTGCCAGTGATGTCACCGCGACGGACCGCCCATTTGTCCCGCTCTCATTGGTCAGCTGGGTCCGGCGCGACTCTGGCAGATTCGGACTGTCCGGCGGAGGGGTCCGGTCGATTGTCTGAGTAATCACGCCTACCAAGATAAATCCGCCCACTTTTTAGTGATATATAATAAATGATATATGAGAGCGAATGAATAAGGAGTTTAGAAGCTTGCACAAAATTTCTAATTTAGGACAGGCAGAAGCTGCATCGTGACCGTTCACCTTATGACTTGCATAGACTTCACTTTGAAAGGTGAAAAATGAAAAGTCTCCATTGAAAGGTGCAAAAGCCCGACTTAAAATCACGCTTAGGATTAAGTAGTAAAAATATGTCGATCAGTGCATAGCAACATGCAACCGAGGATTTTCGAAGAAAAATGTTGAGTTGAGTCATAATTTTGTAAAACGGAGGGCAAGCATCAAGGAAACGGTATAATTTCTTCAATAAAGAGAATTTAACAATGCTCGGGAAGTGATTCAAAGCCATAAATGAATGAAAGTCCAGATTCCAAAATAGAGACGTTAGAGAGAGCGGTACACAGATAGTTGCAAATGACTTCCGCAGAAAACTGAATTTCTAAAACTAATTTCTGGGGGACACTTCTATTGGTGCTGCCAGGTAGGGCAGGGACATGTGAAGCGGGGCCCACTCACATGGCCCAATATGGGCGTCCGCCCAGGAAGTTTTAGATGTTCAGTTTTCCCCGGAAGTCATTGCGAATGTCTTAGTGCTAGGAACTTCTATTAGTCGATCATGAGCCCTGAGCGATACGTTCCGATTCACAAAGACTTCTGCATAGGGTGTTTTCGTGAAGTTCTATTCAGATTACGTCTTCTTTATTGCGCTACCTATTTCGTATGAAATGGCTATAAATGGATCGGATATGCGATATGAAAATATTCTGGATTTCCATCTGTATTGTGGGATAATTCGACAACACAGGTTTTGAGGTTTCTATATATTAGCAAAGACGGGTACCCTGGCTAGGAAGTCGCGCGGACTGCGTCCTGCATGGAATCACTGTAAGACCTTATGGTCGTGCAAAGAAGTCGACAGCTTAATCTCTGTGATGTTTGTCTGACTTGGAAATTCCAGGAAAGATTTACTTATTTACTTTCACCAATCATCTCGATGGAGCTCATCGTGTATATACGTGAGGATTGAAATTTATTGTTTTCAGCGCAAATGAAACATTAGAGCCGGTGATTGTTAAGATAGTGAGTCATAGGGTGTTAGCCTTGTGGAATTTCGTCCAAATTGCGCAACGCTGCAAATTCTCTTATCAAGAAAATCAATATTGCAAAAATGCATGTAATTTGATTTGAGTGATGAATGCCTTATTCCTGAATCCCTTAAAATGTCCGTGTAAAACACCGGCTATCGAGAACAGAACACATAAAAGACAGACTAAAAATTCAAAGTCTTGATCTCAGCGTAAGGTATGATATCTCTAGAAAAGCGCTTAAATACATTAAAATTTTCGAATTCTAGCTCAGTCATCCACTTGAACATTTGTGCGATCAAATCATCGTGTTTTTAGATGACTCATACGCACATCCAGTTTCGTACTGTAAGAAAAAAGTACTAAAGCAAGTGTTCGAGTACAGGTTTCTGAAACACTATGAAATTTGATAGAAGTCTCCAGCAAATTCAGTTCAAGGTGGTAGCATTTAATAGGGCACCATTTATTCATGAAATTAGAACATGAACGTGAATGTCACAACGGTAATATCTCCTCCATGACGAAGGCGGTCGCCCAAATAGGTTAAGAGCATGCAAGGCTGACGCGCACGTGGCGCGCGGGCAATTTTCAACCACGGGTCGCGCGCACGCCCGCGTGGATGACCGCTGACCGAACGCGCGCGCGCCCTGTGGTCGACAATTGGCCGCGCGCCGCGGCCTTGCACGCTTTCAACCTATTTGGGCGACCGCCTTCGTCTTGGAGCAGATATTACCGGTACGGTGTCACAATTTTCCAAAATAAAACTGATAATGTACTTTTGAGGTTATTCACTAAGGTATATTTTGTAGATCATCTCTTAAAGCCGCTACCTTTAAAACTGATTTTGCCGGACTGCAAAATTTTGATGCAATTAAAAACCCTACTGTTATATTTATCTCCAATGCTTTGAGTGTCGGTTGATTTGTGGGTGTATTTTTTATAATAGCTCTCAAGACATTTCTCCATAAATGCGCAAGTTCTACTACATAAGTTTTACAGTCAAATATACTGTGACTTTCTCAGAAAAAGCTATTATTTACAAGTCTGGAAAAAATTCACAAAATCTGCTAGGATTCGAATCATTAATTTTTTCACTGCTGTAGTGGAGTAAGGAACCCACACGTCAATGAGCCTTTTTGTGGAAAATCTTTTGAGAAAGCCGTTGCAGTTTCTTATTTGAGAACCAAATGATTTGTTTGGAATTTTGTGAGGCTAATGTACAACTTTTGTAGAAGAAAACCCTAGCGTATTTTTAATGTTCTTCTCATAACTATGGCGGTGGTGTAATTTTTCTAAAACAGTGCTTAAACAAGGGTCGTTTCTTATTTTTTGCTTTATCTTCAAGTAATAAATATCTATATGTGACTCAGTCCATTTTTTTACAATCGTGACGATCCCATCTGTTTCTGCAAAGAAACAGGCAAACACTGCGATAACTTCGTTTAAACAATATTTTCCTGCTTTGAAATGTGGTTATTCAGTAAAATGAGGCAGCTTTTTTGTATTATACACCATAATCAAATAGTTACTGTGATATTCGGCTGGACGACTGCTGTTTTAACAAATACCAAAGCTCATGACAGATGACGTCAATCCAATCTATTAGATTCGTGAGCTGGGTGAAAATTTTCAACAAAACTAAAAAACAGCTACGCCGGAAGAACAATTCGTGAAAAGCAAAAGTTTGTGACACTCACGTGAATCTCTAGTTTTTTTGCATACAATGGGCTCGTATGTAGTGCACCTGATAAAATTTTCATATTTATTCATTTATATATCTGCACCATAGGCACAAAAACATACCTAAATACCGAAAATTTATCTACCGACATTATAGAAGTCGAACTAGACTACATTGCTTATGGATGGACCAGTTTATATTCCTTACTTGGAACAGGCAGAATGTCTAGAGCTTCCAGCTTACGATAAGGTGTTTAAGTGCACCGAGAAGGCACTTTATGTTCTTCTGCAAAAGAAGTGTCTACACGAATTTATCGTCCCTGTTTTTGAAAGTTTACAGCATTAGAAACAGCCATGCAGACTTGAAAAGTCGGAAGTTGTAAAGAAAATTTTCTTCGGATTAAAAATTGGTAAAATAAGAAAGAGCCCTTGAGGGCTCACGAATTTCTGAGCATTTTTTGGCAAATTTCCTGGTACTCATATTCTATATTCATATTATACTCATACCATATTGCAAGTATAAAATCATGTAAATTGCTGTATTTTTTTGGAACTATTTACTTAGGCATCGCGCAAGTAGAGGTAATACTACATTTCAGACAATCTATAGCAGAACTTCAGCTGTAAAAAACACTGAACTCAATAACGAGATTTACTAATCTTATCCCTTTAAGGTAGTGGGATTTATTTGTGTAACTACGACATTATACCTTTGAGAGACCAGAAGAACAACATAAACTGAACCAGTGTATCTGTAACTACTAAGAGATTGCAACAATGAATCAATTTCTTACTTCACAATTGACGCGTGATAGCAAAAAAATTCTAGAAATGGATATCCTGACTTCTTTCTTTCACAGAGAAGCTGAGTGTGTCTTAGAAAGGGCTTCTTCCAGTTCAACATTTCCGGTCTTAGGTTCAACACTTGTCGACTGCTGCCATAGAAAAAGTGAAAGACGAGGCAACTTACGTTTTAGTTACGTCGAAGGATCAGCTATCTTTTCGCTTCGTACTCAAAGTTTAGTCAATCTTCTTTGTGACCAAAAACTGCTCCGGAAGGTTCAGCATTTTATTTATTTCATTTGATCAGGTGTGAACAAGCCTACCAACACACATTCGCTCAGGCAGTAAGCTCGTGACTTTTTCTATGGCCGTCGGCAATACTGATTCATCGAACAGTTGAACGTGAAGATTGACCGCCCCCGAAAACATTTTCAACCCACAACTACTTCCTCTTCACCGGCATTTGTTACCTAACAAATTCTTTCTATTCGCTTCTCATTTTAGATACATATATGTGACTGTTGACACCATCATCTTGGCATAGTAGTTGAAGAGATAAAAATTACTCGCTACTCATTGTCCGACTCCACTAAGGGTGAGTACTCTTATTCTCCCTAATCCCTCTCCGAGAAAATTTTTTTAAAAGTGAAATTTTTTCCAGGACGGTTCCCAATCTTTGGTGCGATATGCAATGCGAATTGAAACGAATGACAGCGACATGGTAAGATTTTATCAACTTTTTTTAGTCAGCCTTTTTCATCCAAAATGTGAAGTTTGACATTTTCCAATTTTCGATCTTGCGCGGATTCAGAGTAAAGCTATGAGATGAGACTAAATCAAGTCTGTACATACCATTTCTACCTTCATGATAATCTTTGGTTCGAAAATCTTAGGATTATGAAGTACATTTAAATTTGTGATTTGCAATCCAGAGCCTAAAGTGTATCACCTTCTACAGGAAAATCTACTCGCCAACTCAACCTTGCAAATATTTTTCGCTTACTCTGATGCAAGGAAAGAATAGCATGCCTTAGTCAAAGCAAAATATGAGGATTAGGCCTGAACCATACCCAACGCGTTACCGCCGCAATAAAAGCTGCAGAGTCAAAATAAGGTTAAGTTGAGCCAAAAACAACTGGCACATTGCCAAGTCGTGCGGCGAGGAACCGCATGAAGATAGATGCCTTCAAAAATCTTGTGACGTACATAATACCTACAGCTTTCGGACTTCAAAATGGCTTATTCCCTTGCTGAAATGCATTGTTGTGGTAATCATAGAATAATCCGAGCAAAATAGAGGATTTTATGCTTAATGGTTTCATAGGATACAATTGCAAAACGAAGGTATTTGTATTTTTAAGCACATTTTTCCCTTTCGAAATCGCAATCGTTCGCGCATTGACGTCATGATTGTGGCCGCGCAATATTAAGGGTCATAAACTCCATGTGACGACTAATTTCTTATCACTATTTCATAGAACAAAAATTTTGAAGCCAAACCTTTGTCCTTAATGGTAAGGGCGTGGGAACTCTAACTTATCAAAGACAAATTCAGAACCTTCTGATATGCAATCGTTTGCGTCATGGAAAAACAACACCATAGCAGAGCATTTCACTATCAGTCCACACATTCAGAAGCGATGCAGTATAAGATAAACAGCGCCTATCGTTTGACTTTTGTTGGTACCGCAACCCTAAAAAACTGTTTTCTTCAGTGTAGTGGAAAAACTATTGCTTTCGCTGCAAATTTCTGATTGTTCAAAAAATCAAAGCAATTCTTCCACCGTTTTGGGGGACTCACAGCATTTCAGCCATGCAAATGTTTCTCAAACTATAACAAATATTCCCTTAAATTTTTTAAAAATGGTTCTAGTGCTTCCATAATTTTCAATGATCAACCTCAGCATTGATGATATCACATATTGCGCGAATAATTCCCTGATAAGAAGAAGCGAGAACGCAGATCCTTATCTTGAATTGTTAGGATGTCTGAAGCGAAGATCGCAGCTCATGCAAGCGAATCGAGGACTGAAGTTCATACTACAATATTAACAACCTATTCTACACTTCTCTTCAGCATATCGGTGCGTTTTTTTCCAACTTCTATTTCTCTTCTTGTTCACCAGAACAATAGAAAAGAAATTTATTCTGACTGGTAATGATCTACTCTTACAACTTCTTAGCAAAGGAAATTCTAGTACTGACATAGTATCTTTTTTTTCCGCGAAGAAATCAAACTAAAAGTAAACTAAATATCAAGGAACCCCTTTTTGTTTTATGTGCCACGATTTGGGTCTCATCAACCACCCAACAACTTTTTGGAAACTTTCCTTTATTCTATTTTTAATACCTATCCACTTTCATATATCTCGAACAGCCTCAATAAGTTCCTGCACCAATTTGATTTGTTGTATCCATTTTGATATTTCAATGTTCGTTCCGGGGTTCGTTCCGTCTGCCAAAAATATTTATGTTTATTCAATGACGTTGATCACGGCAATGATGACATCAACCAGTGCTTGTATTTGGACCAATAAACATTAAAAGTTTCCCTTTCTTTCAATTTATAAAGCTCACGGGACAAATTTGTTCGAATTCTGCATTTCATGTCATGACAATTCTTGGAAGACAGATTACGAATAAAAGTCAAGGTACTGGGGAACTTCGCTTAATTCCGAGTACTTAAAAAATTCGGGAACAGTTCTCCTTGATCTTCACCATCACAAGAGAGAACCATACAGTTGCAATTTTATTTGAATGAGATTAGCTTTCAATCACAGAAAGCTAGGTAATGAAAACAAGTGCAATGGAACGGGACCATGATCTACCTTTACGGATTTGTTCGACATCAAAAAATCATGAGAATTCGTTAGTGAGAGGTCTATCATTTCGTGCTTTGTAGGTCGCATTTTCCAACTGTTATTCTTTGGCATCAGAAATTGTCCCTTAAGCATGTTCCGGTGCAAAACTGGTTAAAAATCTGTCTTCGGAAATCCCTTCGATCGCCATTGATCAAAAAAAAAACTCTTTTGAATAGGATTAAGTGGTTTGCTTACTGAGCAAGGGAAATAGGATATGGAAATAGGATTTGGAAACTATCAAGATTACCCCACTATAACAATATAACACTGTTCCCAATCCTACGCTTGTACATGTAATTCTGTATGTGATTGCTTTTCGTATTCAGAAACCAGTTCAGTCAGGTAAAAAAATACAGACTATTGTGTGGAAAACAATGCTCAAAGCTTAGTCAGCATGATCGATAGCAAAGTATGACAGAGATGATCTAGAAGAAATTCTTATTGTAGAGGTTAATGTTTCAGATATTGTTCTCATTGCTGCTTCCACTTACGGCAGCATATCTTCTGTCAACTTCAGTATTACTTCCGGCAAATAGCAGCATACGATCTGATGCTGAATGTCGAAGGACATGTTCGTGAGTTTGCATTTTACTCCTTTTGTTCGATTTGATAGCCTTTTACACAGTATGCCTACAGTATGCTTACAGTATACGCATCGTTGAATCGATTCCGAATAACATCACATTCGAAAATGCGTCCTATCCCATATCTACTTTCTATGCCTGGAATCGGCTAATCCTCTCAGCTCAAAACGAACTCTGTATAGCTGCTTATAAGTCTAGTTTACAAGGAAAACATGTACTCGGACATAATTCTCAACTCTCTCGACAGGTATGTTTTGATAAGTCTTCCGCGAAAAGACCTTTTCCATGGAATTCTTTTGTTATCATAATCTGAGCTGAAATGAGCTGGAAAAAAGTTGCTGATAACAATCTGAACCTGTTTGCCAATAGTCTTGAATAGCATCTTCGGAGAAAAAGCACTTTGTTTGCAGTTTGAGAACAAGATTATGGTATTTCTTATTCAGGGTGACTTCTTATTTGACTCTTTGTTGCGAGCCGGAACTACTGGCAATGTAAATATCAAAATGGTAGAAAATTATCCACCAAAAGACAAAGGCGACAATGCTGATGGAATTATCCTACAGAATAAAGGTTAGTCAATTATTTTATGTGCAAATGTAATTTTTGCCATCCCCTCGCACTTTCCATAGTTCAAATGAGCAAACATTTTGGCTCACGTCATTCTGCTAATAATGGTCTTATCTGTTTGTTTAACTTCTGCAAACTGAAGCGCTTCTGCTGAAGCGCTGCTATTTGATGCTCAAACTTTTGCATTTAAAAGTGTAATGAAAGAAAAATTGACATTTGCAAGAAGAATTTTGCATCCACGCCCCAAGTGGGTGTTTCTTTACATTTTTCACACTAGATTCGGACTCATTCATCTCGGAAAAGATCACATGGGATGACGCGAATTGCGTTTATCGCTATCATGTGAGGAAATGCAAAAAAACAGTACACAATAAATTTTTCTATCTCAAATTTCAACACATGGGAGAAGATTGAGGATCGAACTTCCTAAACACAGAACTTGTTTCAAATTGCCACAAAATTTTGCGATGTCGTAGTTGTGAAAATTTCAAACAGATACCTTCCTTTAATTTCTTCTTTCCTACGATATACATAGAATGCGAGCTTGAATTCATCTGTATATCTGTTATATTATAATCCTCCACCAAATACAAAATGCTATCAATGAAATCATCTGAATTCTCATGCAAGTTCTCTTTGGTACCTTCCAGATCTATGATAAGTTTACAATCAATTGCCACAGTTTTTCTAAAGATACCCTAAATGCTTTCTTTGACTGATAATGAAGAAATTTGCAGAGCATAGAGATCGTACCATTTCGTGTCAGTCACATAAAAACATTGTGGCTACTGTGTGTGGGGAAGAATGTTTGCACTGCTACCAACAACAAAAAAAAACAAAGAGGAAGCATCGCGTAATGGTAACAAAGAGTTGGTCTGATCAGGTATCAATGATTACAAATCATATTTGGGGACGGTGAACATGAAAAATTTGTAGACCTTTATGGATAAAATAGGCTGAAGCAAAAATGATGTTCGTTTTGCTAAACATTCGATGGCCAAAAATTGATACGCATTTCAAACTTCTAAATGATTCTTCGAACTGATTTCAAATCTCCACGAATTCTGCGAGTAATGATTCCACGAATTTCACACTTTCCCTTTTCGTAATGGGCCTTAACAGTAATCAACGCAATATAGCACAGTAGTGCACTTGCTCTAATTTCCTCTTGCATCCAAACTAAGAAAAAAGGAATCCCCCCATCCCCAGCATCAAAAGTTTCTTCCAAATGGGTATTGTACACTACGGTTTAGAAAACACAGTTAGAGTTAGAAAATACAGCCATGTCATATGTACGTACTGTAATTCCCGAGATCAAACTGAGCATGAAAATTAAAAAAGACAACATTTTTGTAATTCCTGGTATTGAAAAGTATTTATCATGATTCTCAGCAAATTTTTCTATGTGTCTGCTATATAAAGGCCAAGCTAGAAGTTTGCAAGGTCTCCTGTGAGCGAATTGATTCTTATATATTTACCTATTTATTTGTTGCATTCATAAATGCCTAGCAAGCGAGATTATTACAAGGAAAGACAACAGATAACGGAAGGCCAAGATAAAAAGAATTTCCAGTTTTCCAAGCACTTCAAATTTCGTAATAACGTCGCTCTATTACTTAAATCGGAATCTATGTAAATTTTCTTTGACCAACTTGAACTTGCTTTGCTCTATCGAGTATATAGTGTCTTTCCGGCATTTTTTGTGAGCGATTCTTTGCTTTGACACTGCGAAAGTAATGGGTTGATGAGATGTAAGCTGCAAATGTGTTTGTGTTTAGCTTATCTAAATTTTTTTGTTGTTCGTGAGGAACCCCATACTGCGGAATTTGTGAGAATATCTTCATAAATTGTAGTAGTGCCATGTACGAAAAGTTAAGCCAGAATGAGCTTAAAATATTCTGTAACGAAGCTCAGCATTTGAAAAAAGTTGAAGAGTTGCGAAGCGTATAAAATATGAAAGATAATATAAAAGGCCCAAGATAATGTAAAAGGTTTTAATATAAAAGTAGACGAATTATCTTCTTTGCACATACTGTGATCTACCAAACAAGCGTGGATCTGCCTTTAGCACTATAATCATATGTACAGGTGCCGTTCATCGTCATTCGCTAAATATCGAAAACGTTTTGGGAAAAGGAAAGATGCACTCGAAATTTCTCATATCCGACAGAAAGCACTTCTATCTAGGCTCGGCAAACCTTGATTGGAGATCTTTGAACCAGGTATGTTTAGTAATCGCTGAAAAAATGAATTATTGTGGAAAGATCTCTAGTACATGCTTGTGATAATGAGTACATCGATAACTAATATTGTTTTTGTAGACACTCTTAGCACTAAGTGAACCTTAGCATTCTCAAAGTTGACGTAGCAAATTAATGTTAGATAAACACGGAAGTACGCTATGCTGCAACAGCTGTCAATGTTTGTATCCAGTATGAACACATAAAAATTCCAGAAAATGGAGCTAGGAGTTCTGGTAGAGAACTGCGAATGCCTCGCCGAAGACTTGAAAAACATATTCGACATCTATTGGGACATTCCCAAAAATTCGAAGCCGGATAATCTAAATAGAAGGGCGTACTACAATATGGAGAAACCGCTTGAGATAATGATTGGAGGCGAAGCTAGTGCCGTTTATCTGGCAGTAAGTTTTTAGTAGTTCAACTTCTTCAGCCGCCCTTTGCCAGTATCTTACAATAAAAGAGACTTAAGAAATGAAAAAAAAAGGATTTCTGCGAATTATTGCTTTGACCTGGTTAAAACAACATTCTACTTAAACTTTTAGATTGATGCGTGTTAACAAGACGCGCGTTATTTCATGTCCACATGTCCACAAGTTGACATTTTCCGGAATTTTTCTTTTTTTTCTTTTTCAATTGTAAGAAGTACCTGCAGGCCCACGTAATCATTTTCAGCATTTACACAAATAAAACGATGTTGCCTACCATTTACCAGTATAAAGTCGTGAGGTGAAGCGTGTTCTGTGCAATCTCATATCAAGTTGCAAATAATCCACTGAACAAGATATTTTTTTTTCGCCTATTATAAGGGAGGAAATACACAAACTATGGCTGTAGAAGAACAATTAGAGTTCCTTAAAATAAGGATTAATCTAATGTAAGAAAAGCCAAAATGATACTTCTTTTCAGACTTCTCCAAAGGAGCTCAACCATCAAGGGCGCACTTGGGATCTGGATGCCATCGTCACGGAAATCGACAGCGCAAGAGAATTGCTAGATATTCATGTCATGGACTATTTTCCGCTCATCGTATACACTAGTCCAAAAAAGTGAAGAAATCTGAATAGCTCTTGTACTACACAATGAACTCTGCTTTCAGATATTTCCCGACCATTGATGATGCCTTGCGACGAGCTATTCTTCGTGGTGTTCAAGTGCGAATTTTGTCTGCAGCACTGCACTATCCAGAACTGGGTGTACGATTCCTTCGATCCTTAGCCGCTTTGAACAATGTAGACGAGAACGCTACGGTTGAAGTGGTAAGTTCATCTGCTTTTCTGTAAAGCGGTGTCCACAGCTGCCCGAGGCCGGAGCGTGCCAGAGCCGTGCCAGCGTCGTGCTGGAACTCATGTGCACACGCCTTTCTGATCGATATTTTTTTGGCGGTAGCACGGCGCTGGTATGGCGCTACAAGCAACTCTGGACAAATTTTAGAACTCTCCTAAGAAACTTTTGGATTTTTCAGAAGATTTTCAAAGTGCCAAGCGATGACCTTGACAATATTGTCATCAGCAGAGAACGGCGGACGCACAATAAGTTTATGGTATCGGAATCAGCCGTAATAATTGGTTAGTTGTAAGTCTAGTAGTTGGTTAGTCTTATCACCAAGTAGGTGCATTTTAATCAACGACCAGGGTTCTCTAGAAGAAATAACTCGATGCGATTTCTGCAATTTTTTTAAAAATTGTAACATCTACTTTAACTGCTCTAAAAAAGCTGGTAGAAGTAAAGCATTTTTTGTCTAGGCTCACAAGACTGGATTAAGTTCCAGTGTTCGAATGATTATCATATTTGCACACCTACCGTAAAAAATGGAGATTTTTGGGGAGACGTAAAAAAATGAAATAATGAGAGTAAAAAGTGGTAGCTACTGAACTTTGAATGTTGATTTTATCTTTACACTTTAATTCGAAAGAAAGCAAAAATGGTTCAACATTCCTGTCCACCTGCGGTATCGAGTCAAATTTTCACTGAGTCACTGTTTTGCTTTTCTCTCAAGGACCTTTCTCGAAGACTGTTTAACCAAAAAATTAGTTGCTCAAACTGTTTATAGCTTGCTAAACGAAATTGACTTTTCTTTCATAGATCAAATCTTTTGAAAGTAAGCCCCTCTTGACTTGCGACATAATCAGAGAATAAAGTAATGGTTTTTCATTTTAGGAACATCCAATTGGTCTGGTGACTACTTTGTTGGAGGCACAACCGGTGCGGCCATAGTCATCAAACAAAAGAAGGGCAAGAGAGCTCTAATACAAGAAATGCGGGTGAGTTCAATGGCTCGATTTTTTTCTACCTAATAAGAAAATTGAAACTTTACACTAAATTAGAGATACCTCCGCACATGCAGTCTGTTTCAGACAATTTTTGAGAGAGACTGGAATAGCGAATACGCTCACCCATTAGAAGACTACTTTACTGGTTGCATTGAACGAGGGGTGCAGGCTGATTTTTGTGAAAGTGAAAAAGATCCCAGTTTATTTGAAACGACTGTTGCTCCTCGGATATCGTAATGCATATATGTGGCTATTTAGTGTAATGACTATGATAGATATTCAGCTAAGTAATTTCCGTTTTTTCTCAGGTATGTTAAGGTAGATTTCCGGCTGACTGGTTGTATTCCCGGATTTTCTGTACATTTTGTGCTTTTACTGCATTTAGATTAGTTCTTTTCTCGTATATCCCTAGTTCTTACTTCTTTCAAACTACTACGCTTTGCTCTCGATTTGATTACCATATTCTCTCATTCGATTATGTGCATTTCTTCGCTCATTTTCACCATATATAATTAATATGAAATAATTTTTATCTAAATATTAATCATACCTCGTATTATGTATCCAAAGTGCCTTTCAATTTTATATGATAATGTTTATTGCTCTCTTCTTGTTCACTTGCTCCAGTTTCTTCACAGTGCATTGCTCAAACAAACTTTTCTTCCTGGGTCAAAGACGAGGTTACCTCTCACTATGTTGGTTTTCTTCTTACTTTTTTTTCTCAAATATAAGCAGGTCTTTATTGTTTTGCCTGTTCTCATTTTGATATAGATAAAATATTATTAATGTATAAAGTAATGTTTATTATAGATACAGAGTCGAAGACATCTACACGATAGACCGACCAACTACCACCAATGCAACAGTGAGAATAACTGAGTTTTTGTGCCAATGAAATGAGTTTGCTCGATAGGGCATTCAAATGAAGATCACTTCAATACATAAAAACATGATAAAACATAAACATATTAGAAAAAAATAATCTAAAGACACGGGCAACAGGAAGGAAAATGGACAAGATCATCACAATAGTCGTCGTATTACAAAATCAAACGCGATCTTAGTCACTCGAGTATGGGTGCCCCATATACAATGAGATCTTTGAGAATAAAAAAATGCAAAAAGAACTTGTAGGGATGGAGCTGAGAGGAGTCAGTGAAACCGTTGCGCACATTCAATAAACCTATTTATTGGTGTAGTTAACAACAAATGGAAGGAAGATAAACAAACAAAACGCCAAAATGACTACCCAGATCAGAGGAGCACGACTGGACAATAAAAAAATGCCAGTAATATGTAAAACAGAAGTGACAGTATGACGATGAAAAAATGGGAACTAGAATCAATTCCTAGTAGCTGGAAACAGGGCAGTTTGCGGAGGAGAAATGTGGTCCGGACAGGACTCCAACACGGGAAAGATCTGGGCTTTTCAAACATAGGCAGCGGCTTGCCATCCCCGTTCATTTGACATCACTTCTTCGCCTTCACTACACACTTTCGACGAAAATATTGCCGGTGTACGGGGTGTATCCCCATTCGACGTTCGGGGACTTCCGGGAGTCTTGGCGGACGTGGCCGAAGGGGAAACGGCAGACAGTGCGGGCGAAGGTGGTGAGGCGGCGGCGGCAGGTTGCCGGGGCGGTGTCGACGTGCAGGGCTCCCGGCTTTGGATGCGGGGACTTTCGCAGGATCCGCGATCGGCACTCGTCGAAGCGCGGTCGTGTTGCGAATCCTTGCTCCTCTGAAAACATGAACTTCGTTTTGTTGAGACGAAGGAGAACTACAATAACCAAAATGGAAAGATATAGTTCTTTGCTCGGAATCGTCCAGGCAGAATGCCCACGAGCTTGCCTCTTGCGGTAACATTGGCATTCGCGCGCATGAGTCATCATAGCGCTCTTAATCGGCAGCCGCGTTGCAGGTACGCTCGCGCGCGTTCAGTCTTCAGCGATATGGGCGATTTCTTGCAGTCGACTTTATCAATAGAACTACTTAGAAGATTTTTTGTATTGAAAAGTCAAAAACATTCAGTGGGCACTAGGGCACAGAGCTTTTGTGGGGGGGGGGGGCTGAGCTACATATTGTTCAAAGGTAGCGATGTGGGAGCTTTCCACCCCCCCCCCCTGGCCTTCTGGATGCGCTGACAGGATGCTTGAAGCCTCACAGAGTATACAAAAGTGCTGTCTATGGCGCTTTCCAGCCTTGGATTGTAAGGGGCTGGACGAGAGATTCTCACCAAAAACAGCAATTGGCTGCACGAGACTGATAGGAGTAAAGCAACTTCACAATTACAGTCTGCATTTTTGCGGCAAATGGCTAATGGGCTCGGGCAGCCAATCGCTGCTCAGTTGGCGGACACTCGTCCAGCCCCTTCAGCAATCTTCTAGGCCGGAAAACGACACAAAAAGACTTTTCTAGAATTTTGAAAGATTTCAAGAATAGTCCTGAACATAGCACATTGAAGGCCAGGGAAGACCGAAAACCTCGCAGCCGCAATTTTCTTAGCGAATGCCTGTAAAAGGGTAATTATGCCAACGATAACCCAACAAAAAAGACCCACTCATGCAAAAAGTATTATTTTCGTGATCAGCATGCTAAACAACACCTACTGCAAAGTTTTAGCGAAATCCGAGACAGATAACTGCACATTGCTACTTATTTCGAAATACTAACCGCTCAGATCTACCATTTGAGATTTTTGAAATCTACGAAGCCAAAAGAGTCCGCATTAACATATCTGAATTGCTGAAATTTGGGACTATGTTATTTGTACAAACTTTTTGAACAGATGGTTTTTGGTCATTTTGCGACCTTTTCCGTGAAAATCGCAAAACATTCGCCGGGGTGGAAGACACCAAAATGCCTTGCTGACTTTTCTTCGTTTTCTCAAGGATGATTACTCTTTATTCTTCTAGTGTAAGACACCGGCCATTACTCAAAAGCGGACCCACAAAGTAGACAGTCCTACACCTCAGCAAGAAAAAAAAGTCAATCATCCACATTTCGTTGTCTATTCGTCATCGCCAATCATTCTATGTTCAAAGGGAAAGGAAGAAGAGGCGGGGCAAGATTAGAAACTCGACACAGGAATCTTATGAAAAGGAGACTTACATTCTTGAAGAGGCTCAGTCGCTTTCGTATAGGCTCCTTCGGTGGCTCCACATGTGGTTCTTCACCACAGTAGACACCAGCGGTGGTACCCTGACCCACAGATTTCCTTCGACTAGGAGTTCGTTGACCAATCCGTGCAGGTTCTTCCTTGTTTGTCACTGCAGCTGAAGCTTTGCGAACAAACTTCATCAGACTTATTGAGTGTTCCTAAATAGAAGAGAGATTTTCGCGAAACTTGTACAACTAGAACAACTGTTGTAAGCCCTCGCGAACGTCCGCGCGCGATGCTCATTTTCCCGCGGGCAGTGACGCTTGGAAAGTGGACGAGTTACGATACATGGCAAACAGTGAATATCATGGTTTGAAGAGTGTAACACATCTGTGTCAACATCTTCGTTTCGTAAAATGAAAAGTAACAAGCTCAGGGAAAAGGCTTGCATGAAAATGCAAATTCTCAAAAATTTGTGGAAAATCTGGCTGGAAATCTTTAAAATCTCTGTTAGGGCCTCAGCAAAATAAAATTTCATAAGAACTAATTATTTTCATTATGAAAAGTGACTTTTTTGAAGTCTTGTTGAAAAGGGCATATGTACAGATATGTAGGAATATGGTTGCGCTGCAACTATCTGGCTCTCCGCCATTTCAACTCTGTCGAATATCTGGCCAATCGCAGAAGACGCTGACCAATCAAAGGCGCGGCGCTACAATGACTGGTTCAAAAGGCTGTTTTTTCAAACAACCCACCTTTTGAGCATGTTTGAGTCGATCAGCTTCACTGGGTAATTCACAGTACGAAATGTCACCATGCTGGTGGAACTGCAGATTGTGTTCAGCAGCCAAGTTCGGCGAGGTGGCAATAGGATCTCGTGGAGTGGGCACGTCTTTCTTCCCTCCGTGAGTTCTTTCTACAAACAATGCAAACCTCAGCTGATACAGAGTAAAGTGAAAAGTGAAAACTCACCGTTGTACTGACTCTGACTCATCACAGTTAGACTTCTTGTGCCAATATTTCCTATAGATACAGAATTGCGGATCACTTCCAGCGTGCCGCTAAACACTACGGTTACGGAATTGTAGTCGATAGAGTACTTGCTCAGCAACGGTCTCAACACTCCACCAGCCGAGAGAGAATATCGAGCTCGCACCATTATAATTCTAAATTTAAGATTTTCTTCCCAGCCATGATTAGTTCGTTTATGTTGCACTCACTTTGTTGGGGTTGTGCTAGGATTTTTGAATGAATAATTTGGCGGAAGAATTTCTACAGCAAAAGTGACGACAGGAACGATACGAACGGATCGAGATTGTAGAGCATCAATAGCTTGTCTGGCTGGATCGATCGTGTTGCACGTCTGAAATTTGAAACCATTTGTTTCTGTAGAGTAAAACGAGATAAACATTACAGTTATCCTTTTTCTTCTATAGTACTCACCTCTGCATCCACAGCTTCAGCTGCATTTTTATCCATGCCTAAGGCTGTAGCCATATTTTGTGTCCACTGTCGTACAGATATGGTCTAAACACTTTCTTCATAGCTCATAGATATTATCGAAAAGAGAAGCAGAAATAAATAAAAAGCAAGTAGTGTAACAGTAACTGTCACGGCTTCTAAATTTTCAAGTGAAAAAGAATCCTTTCAAAATAATATAAATATATTTCCAGACAAAATCTGGGGGTTAGATTGTTGAAACGTAGTGGGAAATGGATCCACAAATCCGTTTCAGATTGCCTTTGCTACCTTCTCCTTTTATTGACATTTTTCTACTTGAACATAATACTCATTTCTGCAGCGAAGGAGTTATAGCGGTGCGATTTAAGATAAAGCTTGAAGAAGTTAATATTCGTAAGATATGAAAATATAAGTAGCTCAGTTTTTTTAATTACACATGTGAAAGAAGAAAGTTTCTACTATGGCATATTTGCCGTTTTTGCTAGCCTGCGAAAATGTCCCCTCGATTTGCTAATATAATACTACTTTCAAGTTCATTATCTTTTCAGACTTAGCACTTAGCCGAACTTTGAATGATGTTGCTTAAAGAGGAAACTTGAAAATCAACTTCAATAGTGATTTTTTCATTTTTCTTCAGGACTTCCAGAGACTCACAGGATCTTTCAGCTCCACGACTTCCGTGGTACACGTATCGCCCGTCATCAAACGGCAATGTTTCGGTTCTACCCGTTGCGGTGGCGGTTGGCGAAGCGTTGACGGAGCTATCGACATCTGAAAATGTGTTTGTTTGGAGTTTGACAATACTAAAGTAGACAAGACACAAAGACAACATATATAGAGGGTGTGCAGAATGCATGCGTGCTTTTCATTCATCATTTTTCTATGAAAAATCTCAATAAAAGTGTTTTGATCGAAAAACCGAACATATCATCTAGGACTGAACAAAAAATATAGATAATGCTATGCTACGCTCTCAAAAATCTTGCATACAGAAAGGAAAAATCGCCTACTCTTGAGATTATTTTGGAACTTTTCTTGAGAAGTATATAATTAGAAGGATAGTCTGTGACATATTACGAAGAATAGATTTGCTAGATTCACAACTTCCTCAGCTCAGCGCTGAACGGACAAAAACTAGCAATATGACGTGCTGTAAAATGAGGAACCTCTACTATGAGACCACAGCTGTCACCTTCGCCTCTTACACACTTTCGATACTATATATCCGTATGCAAGTAAAAACTATACTTTTCGTAATATATACAGGGTGTCCCAAAAAAATGTATCGAACGTTTGATCGTTAATATCTCTTTTCTAAAGTAGTCTTTTCCCTTGCTTCAGGTACCAATCTGTAGAGCTGGCTTCAACTTAGATTTGCATTATAGAACGAATCACTTATCTCTCTTCATTGCTGTAGGATTACGTTAGAAACTTCGAAGAGGGTTTTAAGCAATGAAAGGCCATATTTTGCCCCAGTAAGGAAACAAAACAGCCTGAAAACTTTTACACCAGGCTAATTAGAACTGCTGATTATAACTGTAAAGTTCCCAACTTATTATGATGCTTCATTGAAGAGTTATGCCAGGTGAGAGGTAGCGGCCATTTTTTCAATGTTCTTAAAAAGTGTGATTAAACCGTTTAGAAAGCTTCGTAATCTTGTGAATAGTTGAGTATTGAACTCAGCATCCATTAAAACCCTATTACACATGTTTTCACATTTTTTTGAAAATTTTGAAACTGCAGCTTTTTCCACAGTGACACCATATGTTTCAAGTTTCTACCGTAATCCTACAGTAATGAAGAGAGATGGGTGATTCGTTTTGTAATCAAATCTAAGTTGAAGCCAGCTCTACAGATTGGTACCTGAAGCAAGGCAAAAGAATTCTTGGGAAGAAAGATATTAACGATCAAACGTTCGATACATTTTTTTGGGACACCCTGTACAATGTAGAACTATAAGTTATATATTAAATTTCGAGTTTTCCTTCTCTAGACATCCTTGAATTATTCTGTAAATTGCCAATAGGAGCTTAACCGTGCTTTTTTACCAACTGTATCCAATTTACTCAAAGTGAAAGCTCAACTAAAGTGAGAAATCCTTCTTCGCACCGAGCATTGGTGTCAGACTTTTTGGCATTGTTGGTTATTGTAAGTTCACTCTAGGCGCCGCAATAGCAACTACTTACAGTAAGAAAGAATCGCGGAATCGGAGTTAATAAATAAAATGGCATTATTCTACTCTCACAAACATCTTCTCTGAAGCAAATTCTGACCAGACATCTCGCTAAAGCGCACATTTTTTTAACCACAAACCAGATGCTCATACTGGACATAAGTACCTTTTCTTCATCATCTTTAGCAGATTGGAAAATGGCAAAAGTTTTTATCTAAACAAAAATCGCAGGGCATATGACGCCAATAACCGCAGCATGTGCGATTCCAAAGCAACAGGTGTTCAATAACTAGACTGTGATCGTTTTTCACATGGCCAATGAATTCAGATATTTACACCAGTAACACATGAATAACAATGAAGATTCTAGGCTCTAGGTCTGGAGAAGCAAATAAACAGAACCAAGTTGAGATTTGGCAACTCAGAAAGGCCAAACCCTGCATAAGCGGAACCCATGCGAGAAAAAAGGGCCTATCAAAGCAGTTCAAATGGCTTTACTACATATTTTCAGTGACTGCTGATGCAAATTGTGGTAGTAACAGGCTCGTACATGCAATAAGAAGCAGAACACTTTCAGGCAAGGAAATATTTTGAGCAGCTGAACCATCGAAAATAGGAAACAAATCTTTGTTTCAAGTAGATTTTCAAGTAGACCTGCATTAGATTGCATTTTGAAGGCACAAATCGTTTTCTTGACAGTACTAGCCTTCGCTGACTTGGTCTATAGCACCTATCACCTACTCTACCTGACTCCACCGGGAAGTCAGTGACATGCTGTCATAAAAGAAGGATACAAAAGAACTGTTGATAAAGAGTTGGCTGTAAGAATTTTTGTTCAGAAAGGCTGGTTTTAAAGAACATTTGAGCAGGCACTTTTACTCTCTAAAACTGTATATGAAGGGATTATTTAGCGGAACTCTACTGAGATTGTTTGAACAGCGTAGAGAAAACGAAAAGAAATCCATAGACTTTTTGCAGTATAGAATCAGCAAAATTGCGATGATTTCCAAGATTTGTCAATTTTCCTATTTCCAGATTTCACAGGTAAGCCGCCTCTATGAGAACTTGTTGATAAATTACAATCACGTAAGTTAGGCGAATCTACACTGCAGAAGTAGAAGCATTGAAACATACGCAAGCAGATACAAACCACATAAAAATAACTCTCGTTCCTCAACTGTGATCTTTTTGCCTGATACTTTATACACCTGTATTGCTACAGCTACAATCAAAAGAGTTTAACCAAGCAAATCCGTTCCCGGTTGTGCCCAGCGATAGCTAAAGTCTGATGCTAGAAGTTTTATTTTTAGATAGCATTGAAGCGTTTTTTACCAGGCATTTTTTCCAGTTGTATTGCTCAATATGTCTGAACAATCATTTTTACTTCCTCGAAATCTCTGCATGTGAAGATGCATGTGAAGATTGCCGAAAATAATTTCAAGGCATTGGTCAGAAAGCTTGATTTGCTGGGTTGCCTGCTATAAATTTCGAACTAGAGCAAATTTCGTGTAATATTGAGCGTTCGTTTTGAAATCATCTTTGAGCAAAGAAAGGACGGACAACTTCGTAAATTTCTTAAAAGAAGAAGAAAACTAGTCTCGTATATGGTAGCCTGCCACAGCGTATTATAAACGGACCATTATTAGCTCCAATCGGGGGCGATTGAGCAGAATAGCGCAATTCTGAGGGAGAAAATCACTTTCATAACAACAATTATCCTCCAGCAACTCTAGCAGTCTTCTGGCCATCTTCACCAAAATACAGGGAGCCCAGAAAATGTCTGAATGTTTGATCGCTAATAACTGTAGACCCATCGCTCTGTATTATTTTGAGAATGTGTTAAAAACTGTAGCACAATGTCGTCACTGCAAATCGGCTGCTATTTTAGGAGAGTTCGAAATTCTTAGAAATTTTTGCGGTGCAAATTTTCCGCTGATTCTAGAAAATGATTGTGTGCATGTTCGTAGGCGGAATTCGCATAATCAATTTTAATAATTGGGAAGACAGGGGTCATGTTATATCAGCAGCAACTTTTGAACTAGAAATTAGGATCAGACGAAAAGCTCATTTATGGATCAGCGACGCTTGCTGACATGGTAGAAACCTTTCCAGGTTTTTCGGAAATTTTTGAAGGCGAGCCCAAGGAACAGAAAGTGTAAATCTAATATGAAGCCAGCCCCACATTATAGTACCTAAAGTTCGCAACTGTTTAGACTAGAGAGCTATTGTGAACATTTGTTTGGGGCACCCCACATACCAAATGTGCGTGTATTTTAGAAATCGCAAATCATGTATATTCGGGAAATTTGTTGTTGTTTCTTGATGCCGGTTCATCTGCTATGTGAATTATGAACTGTATGCGTATCATGACGGGAGTTCGTAAGTTGAAAAAAGGCTGATTGTAGCAATGAAGCCCTTTCATTTCCACATCCTACATGAGTTAGGTATAGTACACCTTGTCATTTGTATGTAAACTTATCAGCCTGCGTCCTTTCGAAACTTGTTTTCCCTTTAATAGAAAGAGATTAATTCGGTATGCAAACACTGCGTGCAAAGCCGCAAAGCTTGAATAAAGACTGTTTCTCTTAGAAAGCGAAATAGAAACTCTCACACCATGCATTTACATTACCATTTACATCAGCAAGTGAAAATGCCACTGCCTTTCTGTTCGCTTGAAGAATTTCTCGAAATCATGTTATTTCATCGCAAAACACTGTGATTGTAACAACCACATAATTCGATATAAATTTACAAAAGTCGTTTAGTTTGAATTATTTCACAGTCTTTACAATGATAAAGCAGACGAAGATAAAACAGCACAACACCCGAACAAAACCGTGCATAGGCGGGAGAAGAACGACCACAACAACGGAACGGAGACAGAAAGAGAGAGGAGGAAGAGGAAGGAGGAAAGCAGCAGCGGACAGTAGAGAGCAGTGAGCGGTCGTGGGCGCTGTGTCACGAGTGAAGGGCGATGCCTACCTCAGCGGGCATCGAGAACTGCTTGCCGGCGGTGGCGAACATGGCGCGGCGCTTCGAGCCGGCCGAACCGACGAGTCGCTGAGCGGCCCCGGACGCTGAGGCCTGCGTCGCCAGGTCATTCTCTTCAGAGGAGTACGAGCGACGAGGCTCGTCGGCCGCTCGCGAGCTGCTCGTGCGATGTACCGTCGGATGGCTGCGCGGCACTAGCGGCGATCCGCCGGTAGAGCGACGAAGCTTGCGTGAGAACCGATCGAACCCGTGGAACAACAAAGAACGAAGTTTCTCCTTGTCAGTAAACTGGAAAACACATGCATTGCAAGAGGGGCCATGACAATACGAGACCGAACCACCATCGACGTCATAGGGCACACCATCGGACGTGAGAAACTGACCTTCTTGCGCTCCGACAGCGTCGACAGACTCGTGGACGGTTGCCGCTCGCTCTCGCTTACCGACCGCGTCGCATGGCTCTCCGGTAAATCTTCTGGAAACGAACGCAACTCAAATCTTCACACTGTACACTCGCACACTCAATGGAAATGGGTCTCAGACCGAAATTTCCGCAAATTTTTGTAAGAGCTAACGTCAGCGCAGGAAGACCCTCCATTAGGCTCACTGACTAATATGGGTGTTCCACATATATTGATTATGCAAAGAACTTGTTTCACTAGTAAATAATCAGAAACATGGATTTTGTGACTCAAAGTATCGTTGTGAAAAGAAATGAAGCATTTTGAAATTCATAAGCTTGCAAAATCAAAAAGGGTTGCCAAAAATTTTACCTGGAAAAGAATTTATTGCATTCGCTCCGTCCTCCTCCCCCCCCCCCCTTCCCCTTCCAAAAAATGTCTCGGAGCGCCACGTCATGTACTGTATTGGATGCAGAATACGTAGTTTTTTGCAATGAATTTGCAATAAAATGACAAAATAGTATTCCTTTGTTAACTACAAAATACTGCTAAATAGGGGAACAAGGTTGAAAATCAACCAGAAAAGAGAGAGAGCGGAAATAGATTTTGAAAGTTTGAACAGAGAATACGTAAAACCCATTCATAATCCTAATATTAGTAACGGCTGTGCGGTCCAGCACTACTTTTAACATTTTATCTCGTCAAGTTACCTTTTTGTAAAGAATCTATCTAAAGTACAAATGAATGACTCCTTTTCTGTTACATACATATTTATTCTAATCCACCAGCAAATTCACACCTCGCGTCCCCTATTAAACAAAGATTTCAAACAAATGTTGCAAAGTGCTGAACTCAAATACTTAATGGACTATCTAATACAAAGAATAAATCTAGAAAATTAATTTTTGAATTAACAAAATGGATTATAGGTACAACTCCTAAATGTGAAGTGCTACTTTGCTTTCCTTTTGGTAGAGAATATCACAAGTGATATATGAAGGAATAAAAAAATTGTTGGTTATATGCAGTGTGTCTTAAAAATTTGTACACGACATTGACATAACGCTTTTGCCTTAAGGTCTTTAGCGGAGCACTAGGTACTATACTGAGAAAGCTAACTTCAGCATAGAATTATGGTTTCATCAGAACAAAGCTACACTGCCTCCTTTAGCGTAAGACTAGGGTAATTTAGAAAGTGCATACGCTCTCAAGAGCAATATTTTTCATGGGAAAGGCCAAAAAATTTGAAAATTCTTCACTAGACTAGTAAAGGTAGCTACGTTTGAACATGAATTTTTCACTTTACATGATGCCTCATTCAAAAAAAAACGTCAAGTGTATCATAGCCTGTTTTCGATGTTACCAAAAAGTTAAAAATGCTCTAAAGCTTTACATAAAGTTGAGTGGTAATAAGCGTCCATGAGAAACATAGTACACAATTGGAGTTTCTGGAAATTTTCTGAAAGGTTGGCTAATTCATAATGACAATGTATTTTAGAAGTTACCACTGTGATTTTACGGTTGTGAGACGTAAGTTTTTTAATTCAACTCTAAGTTGAGCTAGTTTTACAGAATGACACCTCTGTGTTCGTCGAAGAGCTCGAGGAAATAGAATAATCGATTAAAGTGTGCGCATTACTTGAAACATCTTTAGAGCATCATGAGCGGTCAATCACATCAAGGGCATAATCAAGTAAAAAATACAAAAATATAATCATCTACCTCCTATATCAAGTCTATGTTGCCGTTCGTCCTCCTCAGCCAATTCTTCATCGGAAAATTCTGGCTGCACCCCACCCGCACGTAAAAACCGAGGCCAACAGTCATATTTGAGCAAATGAAATATCTGAAAAATTATTACTTCGAAAGATGTTTTGCGAAATCTCTGGGCAATCGTAAATAAAAATGGATGAAAAATAAGTTAAGGCTATAAGCTATCATGCAGATGGATTAGATGAGGAATATTAGACGCAAATATACCCTTGATACATAACTGCTTGTTTACAGAACGTTACTGTTTGGTATCCTCCTGAATTTTACAGAAAACTCATTTCTGATTCAAAGATTTTACGAACAACATTGAAGTACCAGGCTTCAACGACTTTGCTAAGTTTGAACAAAAAGAAATGCAACTGAAAGACAGAATTATCGCTGCTGTTCTGTTAGAAATGATTCAGTTCATACCTTTTCTTTTCTTGTATCATTCTGAAAATCGCCATTTACACTAAACAAAAGGTCAGAAAATCTTAAGAAAGTAATTTATACATGTTTTCTCAAGAAAAATGGTGTACCTCATTATGACTATAGAAGTCACAGAATTGTGCGGGCGAGAAAGTGTAATATGTTTATAATCAAAATGAATAAGCTTTAAAGAAGTTCTACTTTGGCAAAAAATCCGCTGTGGCAACGCAACGCTCGCTTAGTTACGGTTAAGAAAAACATAGCCCCAAAAAACTTTCTGTTGGCGCAAGTATCCACGCCCCTTTTTCGGAGCAAGTTTGTCATGCCGTGTCCCCCCGCCCCCGCATCTTCAAATTCTACGACCGTCACTTCTGAAAGGAAAGAAATACATAAGACGAAAGCTTACACTGCACAGTCAGCTATGATGAGCCGCAATAAAGAAAGAACCTACGAAAGATTACATGGTTTACGATAATGAAATCGATTATCAAAACGAAAAACCTGTTGTTTTTCACTATTTTCATCTCAGATCAAATATATAAAACACCACACACCCACCTGATACTGAGCCAAATCAAATGTGTTGCGAGGATATTTGCCTGCTTGCATAGTTTCACGGATTCGTTTACTTGTTGAATTATCCACATTTACAGGTTCTGTGCTATTTGCAGCAAAATGTCGTTCATATATATGCCTTGCAAAACTGGCACGTTCTGAGGCCTAAAGATGTTTCATCAATGATAGAAAAGCGTTTCGAAAAAAATCACAACAAACCTTGCTTTCGTTGTTAAACTGCATATCTCGAAACCGTTCCACTGCTACGTAGAAATTTAAATTTTCAGCACAAAATTGTTGTTCAAGGAATAATTGGAATGGTTGCCGGAGCTTTGGATCACGTAAAACCCGTTTAAATATCTGAATTGAATGAGTAATTTTCAAATAACAAGCCTAGTAAAAGAAGCTTACTTTCATATCTCGACTAGCGTTAGTTTCAGGAAGAATGAGGCCATCGCTGAGCTGGAATTGGTAACATTGAAGAGGATTACAGTAAGTTAGGGGAAGAAAGCAACACAGCCCCAGTAAGCTCCGCCTGCGCGACGACTGGCACACACTACAGTAGGCAGATATGCGCGATTTGTGTCAGTTGTCCCGCAGGCGGAATCAGTTTGCAGCATGATATGCTCTAGAGTATTTGTAGATCACAAGGCTGGGTTCATACTGATCCGCCGGTTCTGACACAGTACGAACCCAGCATAAAGGTACCTATAGAACAACCAATTATCGAGTAAAAAAAAGGGGTACGTAATCGCACAAAAACGAACCGCTCCAAAATCCGGCACACATTCGGCAGATGCGGCGGCTTCGGCCGGCGGCCGCTGCTCTGCTGAGCTGGCCGCCAACTGTTCGCCGCCTTCTGAAGCCGTCAACGACGTCGACAGGGTCTGTTCGTCACGGCCAGTACACCTCTTCCGACGCACCGAGCCACCGCCAACCGCTCCAGCCAATTCCTTGTCCGCACCGTTGGTGACTGCAAATGTGTCACATTGTCAATTACTAAATTCACTATATATGATCGGATTTTCATTGAGAAATTTCAAGAAGAGGACTAATGCGCAGATATGCTGTAAATCGACTCGCTATTCTTTTCCCTCCTCTGGACTCCTAAAAGTAGTGTTGTGTATAAAACAACGCTGTCAATAAAATTAGCTGCGCCCGGTATAGTTCCTTATAGTTAGCTCCGAAAGAATGATAATGTTTGAAAAATACGAATATAGTTATCTTATGTCTTCCTATCAATCTTAAATGCTTCAGCTACTACAATTTCATATCATTACTTCATTTTAGCCAACATGGGAAACAGCTAGTGAAAATGGATTAAGTTTCTCGTTGTACAAGTAATAACTACAATCGACATTAATTTTTTCAAACCTCCTAGCAATGACCACATGCACAAAATTCTTTTGATAGATAACATAATTCGCAAGTAATTGGAAATATACAACATATCTTTCGCTTCTAATCATGATTAGCTGAAGGTTGCTATTCGACAGCAATTTGAGGATAAGTTTATTTCTATTTATTCACTCGGTGGTCGGTAAATGCTTGATACGTATTACGTAAAAGCTGCCGTGTAACAACAAGTCTTTTGTGGTAAAGATGAGGAATACGAAAAACTGGGAGAGGGGGGTTCGTTTCACCAATTTGTAAATACCGCTTCCATTAGTAAGCACATAAAGCAATTAAGTTGAGCTGTTGGCGACCAGCCAAAAGTGGTGAAATGCAGAACAGGTGTAACATTTACTAGATATACAAAGATTTCTGCTTAGCATGGAAAAAACGGAATTTTGAACGTCTTATCTAAGGTGACTGTACAAAAAGAAGCAGAAGGAGATGCATTGGTATGCGTTGCTACCTCTTAGAAAAGTGATTATTACTGAGGAAGAAAAACCACACTTAGAACCTAAATTTAGAATAGTTGATTCGTTCAGTAAACTAATTGAATGACAACATATTTCTATAGAAAACATTGATGAATGCAAAAAAAAGTGAATAAGTCTTGGTTACATGATGTCATCTCACATTGCTATAGAGACACTTGTGAGAACGAGACTTGGGAGGGGAAATTCTAAGATAAGGGAATATTATGGCTTGAAAAATAACGTTGTTTGTCTTTATTTATGGGCAATATTTTGAAGAAAAAACGAGGACAATGAGTTTCTAGACGGCGACTTCGTCACAGATTACAATTCTCAGAACTATAAAATGGAGCCGGCACGCCAAGCAGGTGCCGAAAGTTTTCTTGCATCGAGAAACTTAACATCAAAATATCTCATAAATTGAAATGGCACACGGATGTAAAAAAAAAACCCGAAAGCCATACGTCGATGCCAGCTTACGTCATTCCACGTTTTCGTTCAATTCCAAGCATCACAGAAGCATAACGAAATTCTAAACGTGCGAAAAATTTTCAAGAATGAGAATAAACACTTCCGGTAACATTTGAATGCAATTATGGTTGTTGAGTGGCGAAAGTGAGAGAAAAGAGCTGTAAATCAAAAATTCAAAGGCAAACCTCCGTCATAGACAGCAGAGCATGTAATCTATCTACTTGGAAATTTTTAGTAATGTTAGTAAAAACTATATGCATACTTTGCACTTTTCACAATCATGCTAATCAGACATACAGGAAAATGAAATTAATAAACTCAAAGTTTGTTAGAAAAAAATTATCGTGGTCTCGTACCCAACTTCAAAGAATATTCCCAAGTAAATTACAAAAAATTCCAAGCTTGCTTTTAACCGATAACTAGCACGTGTTCGATGTATAAAACTCAACACGCTCTTCTTCGTGACGTTACGAAAGAGCATTGAAAGAGCAAGCAACGAATCGAAGCGTGCATAATTGCAATGGGAAAAAATATATAGCTAGTTCATTAGCAGAGACTAGTGGTGCACTTCTGAATCTGCCATGAACAAATGTTCAAAAGGGAGTTGAGAAATCTGACAGGAATTTTCATAAAATGGTGTTTCCCTGTGCTCTGTTTCTCTATGGAGCGAGAACTATTCCTTTTCATGGGTAAAAGTATCAAGCATGTTTTATGTAGTGCCAATGTGCTAATTCTTCTGTGATTCTGAATGCCACATAAAACAGTCACCATTTTTTTCACAAATGCGATGCTTGACTGATTATTTATTCATTTGCTCATTTATTGTTTACTTACCATCTAAATTATTTTGATATGGGTACACAAGGCAATTATAGTCACTATCTGTCAAATACTATCCACTTAAAATCTCCCTTATCAGCTGTAATTATGGATTCTAAAGTCCAACTGATTGCAGAGATTTCTGCAAAAAAAATGCTTTCACAGCAACTCTTAGGTTGTCACAATAAGGCTTTTCACAACTCCTCCACTTTCAAAGTTAATCTCTCGCGGGATATGGAAGAGAGCAAAGCTAGGTCTTTTGGAAGTACCAAATGCAAAATATACTTTTTATTTTCGGCCGTTAAAAGTGCTAAGAAATCACATGTTTTCATCCTAGACTTTCATTTTCGACCAGCTCTTTCTTAGTAAAAAAAATTCGTTGATCGGATGTCTTTACGAAAACTTGAGCTTTTAATTTTCAAACTTTCGCTTTTGTTATGATTGGATTTCTGATAAGCATGATAACTTTCAACTCTAACTACGCATTATGAAAGTCATTCGAAAATCGTGTTTCCTCAGTTTCCTTTGTGCAACATTTTTTATAGATGACATGTAAGACATTCACTAAATCTTAACATGATGGACAATACAGATGTTCCGTAGCCAGTGCTAGAGAAAAATAAAATTAAACTTTAGACAATGAATTAGTATCACTCTTGTGTTGGTTTCAGAACATTAAATTTGAAGTTTTACAAATTTTTGGTGCAAGACTTATAGGGCAACTCAATATTGGGTAGTAACATTAGTCTTTTGAAACTTTGAGGAAAAAACCTTTAAGCTTTTCTAGATTTTCTTCATTTTTAAATTATGTGAATGATCGTAGCTTTTCAATGTAAACATGTAACACTTGAAAATGCAGTTTTTGTAGTATTTGGATTTTTAATATTATTTTGGTAAATTTTTAATTTGGGTTGATGAGCTTAGACTTCCGGAGATAGCGATAGCGCTGAATTCTTCCCGTAATCCACAAAAAAGTTTAGAAGATATGTGAGAATATTCGAGAAGAAAAACAAAAAAAAAATTGGAAGTTGAAGTCGGTTACCGGGTTATTATCAAATTCACTGTAACGGGTGTCCATGATGGTGAGATAATGCTAATGGATAACGCTTGATCTTTTTCTACTACACGTCAAATCTAGGATATTTATTTATTTATTTATTCAATACGCTCTTGATGTTTCTTACAAGAGAAAAAACAGTTATGCATACTCTAACCGCAACGTGCATTATGTAGTTTGGGTCCAATTTGAATAAAAGTGTGATGAAAGCTTGTATTTGACTGCTTTATGATTATAGTTATCAGAATTGAATAATGTGACCCATGGAGATGGTACCCATGCCCCTTTTGCCAGCAAAATGATTTTGATTAACAAGCAAACAAGGTTTGATGGTGAATATACTGTTTGACTTCACTTTCACTTCATATTGCCAAATTCTGTAGAGCTTTCCAGAGGATGACGAATAATTTGTAGCAAAATTCTTGGTAAAGAGTTAGCCATGATTTACAAGAGAAGCCATAGATTGTCTGGACGCGAAAAAAGTCTATCATCAACGAAAAATAGCTGGAAGCGAAGACTCTTGGACCCACCGTTGGATAGCCGGAGCGGGAGGCTGAGCTGCGGTTGGAGAGCGTTTCGCGGTCCTTGCTTGAGTGATGTACAGCGGCGATGCCTGTGGCCGACGTCTACTTCCGACGGCTGTGACGACGAGCTGGGCGTACTGCACTCACACCGCCAATCCTCTCTTCTAGGCTGCTCGATCGTGGATTTTCTACAGGATTCGTCGAGTAGATCCGAATCGCCACCCTTCACTGCCTTCTGAAATTTGGAATCACTTAATATTAATTATTTCCGGAATAAACACGATTCTAGTGGAACAGAAAAAGTAAAAGATATTCTGCATCATTTTTAAGAGAGAAAAACTGCATAGTCATAGGAAATATACAGATAAGATAATAATATAGCGGTCTATAAAGTCATAAGCTTTGTGCAAAAATTAAAGCACTAATTCGGACGATAATCGGAGGTGGATAGGCATCGAAAAAATCTATGGTTGATTTTTTGCACTCCGCTCACAGAATGTTGGAAAACTGGACAAGCGCTTTTGCAAGGCCGCTTGCTAATTTTTTGTTCTAACCGAAAAATAACAATCAATTTGCAAAAAATCTGAGTGGAAAAAGGAAGGATCATTAAGAAGCATAGAGTAATTGTCGGTTTTCTAAGATTCTGCGAACGGAGTGCTAAAAATCAACAACACGCTTTCCCGGTGACCTCCTGCATTTGGCGATGTCTGAGAAGATTTACACGTCGTGGTAAATAACCTTTCAGAGATTCTACAGTAATCCTACAGTAACAATGTGTGCAAGAATAGAACACCTGTACAATCCTTCACTCTAATCAGAGAAATGAACGAAACGAAGTATGACATTGAATTTAAATCCCATTAAATAGAACTAAATCAACCTGGCAATCGTTTTACCAACCTTGAATAGTTCCAAAGTAAACTACAGTATCAGTAAGTGGAAGAATGCTCAGGGAATATAGTGCTCAGTGGTGATTTATACAAGAAATAAAAATAACTGTTTCTTGTAGTCACAACGTTTGCTACACCATTCAAGTTAAATGGGGAAAATAAGGTGGTATCAAATTTTTGTAAATGGCAACCGTATAATTTCAAGTACAATTTTTAGCGCCATTTTGGAACAGTTTCTGGCTTCAAAAAAAAACATGGATCTGTTATGTTTTGATGTGCTAAAAATCAGCTCAATAAAATCACAAAATGCTCCTCAAAAACTCTAGTTTATAGCATCTGACGTTCTAAAAGCCATAACTACAAAGTACAAACACCACACTAGAAAACCTATGTAAGCACAATGATAACATTCTGCAGTAGGTGTTTCGCAATTGTACCTCTTATTCAATATCTGCTGTCATGTCTAATTTGAAAATGCAGAATAAACGTGGCTTTGCAGGAGCTTGAACTCTGCTCTCACACAATATGGGAAGGAAGATGTATGGCCAGATGAAAAGAGATAAAAACAATTATAAATTGGGATGAAGACGTTAGTTGGATAAACATAGTGTTCAAAATCTTATAGATTATTTTTGGAATTGGTGATAGTGAGTGAATAGCTGTAGCTGAATAAGAGATCTACAGAAATCAAAAGCGGAATAAGACAAGCTTCAATCTCTGTCACTACTGTGGTTAGTAGGTCAAATGAGGAAATACTTGATGGTCTTACGGTTTTGTAAAGCGCGTGTTTTACTGATTTGATATCTTTCATAGAAACTTCTTGCCATGGGGCGTAGGGGATGATGGTCCGCAAGGATGGTTACGCTCAAGAGGAAGGTTGATGCATTATCGCATACGAGTCAGGAAAAATCTTAGTGAGAGATGCAATAGAAAAGAGAATCTATCAATCCTTAGCCTCATCAAGAACATATATCGCCAATGCGAGACACTCACAGCTTACTAGATATAATTACACATCATCGTTAATAACGCCCACACGCTGACGAGTGGCCATTACGAATGGAAAGTAGGGGGGGGGGGGGAGGAAAATCTCACAGCTTTAGGATCATGAAAATCAAATAGATTTTGAATTAAGAAGAATGTAGGCGTTACGTGGCGCATGAGGAAGCTTACAAAGTCAATAGAATGGGCAGGATTGGCAAAGCAAAGCAATTAGAAGAGAACAAACGAAATTGAGGCGAGTCTTAGTCAAATTTTAGCTATACTCTTTGCCGCGTTGAACATAAGCGAATCCCGAGTCTGCATAATGAGCTGGTTCGGCTTCACAAAAACTGAGACTTTAGCGAGAGCATTATAAGCCAGAAAGATGAGTTTAAAGCTCAAGACTATTCCGAGCAATTTTTTGCTAGGCATTGAATGTGCAGTGCAAGTTGAATGATGGCATACTTACATAGGATAAAAGTTGCTACAAATAACATTAAATTCAAAGTCCAAAAGCATAAATTCGAGTGTCACCAGCTGCAGTTCACATGAGCACACGATGAGCTTATGCCCCTCACGCAGCAGCCCCATCATCTAACCATGCAAAGCCTCTTCGAAACAAAAGGACGATGACGTGAGAGCAGAATTTTCCACACAATGTTCGCCGTTCTTTACATTTTCTCTCTGTCTTTCTGCTCTAATAAGTGTCACGATCGATTCACTCTATTAGGGTATTTCAAATGTCGAAATAAAACTTTTGCTTCAGAGTTCTAAGACACGAGAGCTCTCAAGCCAAGCGCGACACGCATTATCGATTGTGAATATTGATTAGGCGTGAGCACTAAATTCAATTTTCGTTTACTCATAGCATGCTCGAAAGGGAAAAGTCGATGCTGATGCGCTCCCACATAAATGCGAGGAAATTCTAGATTAACTCGAGCATGGTGAATTTCCCGAAATATCCTCGGCATAGTCGCGTTGGCAGCACGTACATAAAAATAATTGTTTTAATCTGTTAAGGTACTGTTGCTTAGATAAGGTAAAATGAAAAAAGCTTGGACAAGAATTAAGGAGGAAACATAGATATTGGGACATGCGGATTTAAAAAGAAGTTTTAGAAAATTTTGTGGCTTATTTTTAAAATCCGTTATGACATAGTTTTAGCAACAGAATTATAACTAGGCAAAATTAGTTTTTTCTAAAATACATGGAACCGTCAATGCGCAAAAATTTAAATATGAAAGAATTACCAAACCACTTCCGAGTTGTACTGCACGATCACAGACAATTCGCTAGCCTAATAACCGCAAAATGGGAATACTTTTTTATTGCTCGGCCTCTTCAAACGAGCTGAGCAGACAAACGACCGGGATTAGCTGCGTCTCCATAGAGGGGATCGGGGCTAACCGCTCTAGCTTAACGCGGCATTCCTACCTCAGTTCCAAAAATTTCTATAACAATTAGAACTCGACGCGTGTTTAAGCAAGTGAAAAGAGCGAATGCTTAGGCTAATAGATGCAAATCAGTACAGCCTAGCAGGCGTGGCATGGGAAAATCACGCTATTGCTTTGAGAGAGTGTAGGCAAAACCGAAACTAACGTTCCCACATATGATCGTGAAAAACGGCAAGCAATGGGAATGGCTATGGTTTCATAAAAGTTAGAGAAGAAGATTGATAATAACTTAGACAATTCTCCATGAGAAAGGCGTTTTGCCGGCGGCGTTCAGACGGCGCAGTGTATGCGACACACTAAAAGCTTGGTTATTTCCAGGAATATGCAGGATGTAAAAGCGCAGTACAAAAGTGCTCCGGGAAAGGTTAATCAACAGGATGCTGAAGCAGATAGCGTACCAATCCTGGCCGTCGAAGTGGAGAGCTGCGGAGAAGAGCGAGGGCGAGCAATAGAGCGGCGGGGGCTCAACCTCCGACAGCCAATTAACCACGGCGGTGGGCAAGGCAGTGGGCAACGGCTCTAGCAACGCCATTCGAAAATGATAGACGTGCAACACAGCGACCACCGACGTCGTCAGCAAAACAGCCGAGCCGCACTCCTGGGCCGCCGTCTGGCGTCGTTGGCGCAGCCGAGCTGCCGGCGCCGCCGCCGACAACGCCACCGTCGCCGTCGGGCGCATCCGCTCCGAGCCGAACGGCCTTGCCTTCAAATCCCGGCTCGCGGCTCATAGTGTCGTCGTTGTCGCCGTCGTCATCGAGCCAAAACAACGGCGCCGTCCCACTTCGAAGTGCTTGCGAACTAGAAGACGGGACAACCACCACTCACGCTACAGGACATCGCCAGCGAAGGCAGAGATGCTACCCGTCCCCCCAAATGAACTTTTCAAACTTCTTTTGCAAAGCCACCTGATAATATATTATTCAGGGAGGTATGACCACAGCGAGAAACGGCCTGGCTCGTGGAGAGATCAGACACGGAAACTCACAAGCTGCAGTGCCGGAAAAGGCGTTCCGGGCTTGAGAGGGATCGATGTGAGAGCCGCAGCGCGTCCGCCCGCCACATGTAGCAATCGACCACCCACGTCGTTTATAATTAATCCCTTATTTGCTCATTTATGAGTCTAAACCTGGAATTGAGCCCATGTTTCGTAGGAGAAGTGTGTGGTGTTCTTGCATGAGCGGCTAGCGCACTGGGCTGGCTCCATATGCGAGATGAGTCGCCGCCGCGGCTGCTGGTCGCGCCCGAAAAGTCCGGAGCCGAAGTCGCTTCGGGTATTCTCACAACGGCGCCGATGACGGTCCAGAAACACATGTGCGAACAGGAACTGCGGTAACGGCGAGGTCGCGCCGTGCAGCGAATAACCGTGTCTGCAATCAATTCTAGGAGAGGATGTGTGAGAGAGAGAGCAGGAGTGGGAGAGAGATACTGATGGCAGATGACTATTTGCTTAACTAGCTCGTCGCACTAGTCGCGCTCGACTCGCTACTTCGAAACACGCTAATAAGCAAACACATCTCGTCTCTACGCGCGATGCGTGGCGGTAAACGGACGAGTCGCATCGCATTGGCGACGACGAGGTGACGGCACACGAGTGAATGCTAGTATTTCGCCTCATCGTCACTCGGCTCTCACTTATAGGTTTCCAGCAATCAGGAGTGAAGAGTGAATGTGAACGCGGCGATGAAACTTTGCCGCCGCTGACGCCGCCGCGCAAATCGCAACGCTCGTCTCGCACTTTGCTACTGAATTGCTGTTTAATTGAAGGAGAGCAATTGAATTGTCGTATGAGCGTGCGAGCATGGATCTCTGCAACGATTACGGCTAAAGTTCGGAGCTTCACTTTACCACCTTTTCTCTTGATCACGTAAACCTTATATTCTTTAGGGTTCAGCACGAGCTGGCAAAATTTTGCACAAAATCCCCTTTGACCTAAACTCAAAAAACCCTCAAAAAACGAAGCCTCGACAAAAAAACGCCGAGATTTTTGTGTCTCTTCGGCCACAAAAACAATATCCCCTTTGCTTTTTGTCCCAAAACGATATTCAGCTTAACCCGCTGCCAGCTGTGCCGAGCCCTGCCCTTCTTACTATCAATATAGTTTTGATTTAAGCATCTTTCATCCTTTCTTTTCTGGAGCAGCCATAGTAATCAATATCTAAGAATCAGAATGACAACACGACATAGTGACCAAACACTTCAGATTTACCAAGTCCAAACTTAGGAAGATACGGCACCTTCCTTCTGAGTTGAAGAAAGTGAAAGGCAAGCAAAATCTAACCCGAATTCAGCGTAACCAGGGCTCGACACGACGTGGCTTTCCGAAAATGCAAAAACACCTGACTTTCGCTAAAATTTACGAAGTCTCCTTCGACCCTTATTTGAGTCATCTGAATCCGACCAAAAAGCTTAACCTAGCTTGTGCTCTTTGGGCCCACAAAAACGATATTTCCTTTCCTTTTTGTTTCAAAAACGATATCCAGCTTGCTTACAAGCAACCTGTGCCGAGCCCTGAGTGGAACTCACGATTTACTTCCTGTGAAATTTACTCTAACTCGGAGACTAAAGCATCAAAGAGCGAAATAGCCAAACAAAGTGAATACATGTACTAACCTTTTGCATCCCGCTGATTGTCTCAAATGCTGAATGTCCATCGAACTCAGCCTGCAAATTTTTGCAGATTAAAGGTTTGAATGTACTTTACAAAGAATGAGCAAAGATTAACGATATCAATAGATATAGCTCCAAGCATTACCATGCGTTTTGCTTTCGAACTCATGCGATACGGTGATCCAGACAAAGGTACGAACACCATGCTTTCGTTAGTCGCCTCATGAAAAGAGTCCATCGCAGCGCTGACCCTCTTCGATCTAATCCGAATCGAACAGATCGAGGATATCCGTGACAGCTTACAGAAATTATCGGTGTCTTCCCTACACTCAACATGTTCACTTCTGACTAGTTTTCTCTTCTCAAGTCGTGCCGCTGTCCTTCGGCGCGAGTCGCGATGCAGCACTGTGCGATCAAAACGGCTCCGACGAGAGCGTTGCTCGTTTACTCCTTCCAATTCCGTTACGTTATTTGAATGTGACATCTTAAAGTGGATTTCAGCTTTGTCACAATAAGCGTTGAAAAATTACGTGACGATCAAGCAACGGAAAATATGATCGAGACGGAGAAGAACAATCGGTGTAGTTTTCAATTTTCCCAGCTGCCATTAAAATCACAAAAAGTGGTCGAATGACGTGAGAGGCTGTTTGGAATTATGATTTGCTCAGCTGAGTCAGTACACAACACATGCGTTATTCGCAAAAATCGTTCAAAATAATGCGGTAGGATATATGAGAGGGATAACAAAATTTTTAAAGGTGCTCGTATAAGCTCTAAATTACTCAAACGTGAACGTTTGAAATGCAATGCATTTATCAGTCGAAAAACACTTGCATAGTGATTTTGAAGAAGGGCTTCCTTTGACAAGAGTTGTTCACAGGACAAAAGTCGATGTGATATACGGATTAGCTATGTACAATCCTTTGGTATTAGACGTTATATTCACAATCTTATTAGAAGTTCATGACTGTTAGTGCAGTCGATCAATTCACTGATAGTGACAATTTCGTTGGTAATTTAAAATATGGCTTTTCCAAATCATGATTTTTAATCTGAAGATAAAGCTGCCTTAAGGTATTCTCTATGTTTAATTAACTATCGATATCTTTTCAAAGAAATACATGGTGTTCAAAAGTACTACTTGCTTACGCCTAGATGCAGTAATTGTGAACATTGGATGGATCCTTTTGTACGCAGCATATGATTATAAGAATAATCGTTCACAATTTCTGGAAGAAAAATCTCGAAATTATGTGAAATCGGTCCAAGGTAAGTTGACGATAGCTTGCTCAACGTTAGGAGCTGCTATTGATGGCAGATATCTTGATCAATACTTTCCTGATAAAAGAATTCCGTTTAAGGTCTTTTTGTAAGTGAGCTAGCTCTGAAAAAAATTTCTTTTTGCACTTGATCACCCTATAATGATTACAGGCTATCTCAACGAGAATAGCCAAAAAATTTCAACATTTTAGAAAATAAAAACAGCAGAAATGTCAAGAAAGATGGGTATAAAATGGAATTTCATTGACTACAATCTAAAGCTGAATATTTTTTCATTATTGTAAAACTAGATATACTGGGTTCCAAAAGAACTATTTTCATCGAGAGCCGTAAGAATTCGCCGAATAACTCCAATACCATCTACGCAGCTTTTCATTAATACGATTAGTCAACAAGCTTTCAAAAAGTCGCTAATGTTTGCAAGCGCAAAGATTTCTTTTCTGAAATTCTCTCAATTCCCTAGTTTTGTGATAGAGTTCATTTACAGCCTCTCAACGCAAGCACAGCTCAAGCAATTTTGTTGAGATGGGTCCTAATTTGATTGAAGCGTGAGAAGTCAATTAGTCGACACTCTGTGGGTGGTTAAGTATGGATAGCAAACTTTACTAAAATCATTTTATAATGGGAATGTTTATAGCTCTAGCCAGAAAGCCTGTAGAAATCCTCCATTCTGAATTTTGTTCGTTCAAGTGATGTAGTAACAAATTTAAAACAAAAGCCTAGACTGGTTCTCCTATCTTATTGTAGATTAGGCTTTTACGATAGCAAACAAATATTGAAGAAGGTAAAAATTCAATGCCATAGCAAGACAATCGATAGTAGAGGAAAATAAGCGAAGTGAAAATCGAAGAGCTTTATCGTGATAATTATTTCAATGCTTTACTGAACGGCACATAACTACTTTTCATAGTGGATTATTATGCTGGTCTGTAAGTCTTGCAGCAATATTTTTAAATCGTAATTTTTCCCGATTTTAGCGAGTTCATCCGAATCAGTAAAGCTTAATGGATGGCTTCCTACCGAAACTCAAAGCAAAAATTTAGCCTGAATTTTTCGGCGATACAAATTGACCATAAGAAATTTCTGATTTGTATCTTAATGAATTATATAATAGTAGCTAAAGAAGCCTAATAGCCCAGCAAGAAACTCATTTTTAATCATGGTTTTTTGAATAGGAAAATCTGAGCTGATCGGTGTTTCTAGTAATATTTGTGAATTACCAGTTTTCTGGGAGGGCATTTCGCTTTAGTTTCGACCAGAAAACAGAATTTATTACAAAAGGAAAGTTTTTTCGTAATTTGGATGAAATTCAATAACATTTCAAATTCTAAGTCTAAATTTACCATTTTGTTTCTAAAATATCAGAAGGTTAACGCTCCACGATGGATGACCAAATTTAAGTTTCTTTAAGTTAATCAGGGAAAACGCTTTCAAGATGTCATTTCAAGTTTTGCGATTCTGAGCTCGGTGCCAGAAGATTGAGGAGATTCTCAAGCTAGCCCCTTGTAAAAAATTCTTAAAATCCATACGATACGTAACAGGCTGCAATCTCGCTTGGTGCAAAACCGAAAATTCGAGATGCCATGCAAAAAAAATCATCTAACGCTGCAATCCCTTTCTAAAAAACAACTCAAGACAGAAATTTGATCTAGTGTTGAGCTAAAACGCTGATATTTTTTGTTCGTAAAACGGTGCAGAATAAAAAGATACAATGAGTGAATGATTATTCCTGTGTAATGACTTCGCAAAATTTTTTTTTGAAATTTAATCTTCCAAAGCGAATAGACTACTGCAATGGTAGAAATTTTCGCAAATTCTCTGGGACTAGATAGCGGTCCTTAGCAATATGCTGACATCAAACTCAACATCGAAATTTGAAACGCTCTCAAAAGCTTCGTTATAAAATACACCTAAATCTATCGTAGAACGCAAACCTTTTACTATTCTTAGAAAATAAACGAGAGAAAAATGAGCCATTTTACTTCAAATTTTTATGCAATAAAATAATGAATTTATCATGGATTTGTGAACATACCGAATTTCGTTCGAACGCAAAGAACTTTTTTCAACCCAATAATTCTGGTGTCTTGTTAAACTTTTGTTCTAAACCCTTGACTTTTGTTACGTTTGATGTTCAGTTGTAAATTTATATAGGCTGCCTCAAATATGCGAGTTTAAGTTCGGTGCCAGAAAAGTGAAGAGGACCGCTAGCAAATCCCAGAAAATCTGCTTAGCTCATAGCAGTAGTCCATATATCACTCTGGAGGCTTAAATCTTGAAAAATTTGCAAAACCACTTCACAGAAAAAATCATCTACTTATCACCGTGCTTTTTTTAGCGACATCGTTTCACAAACGAAAAATGCCGCAAGGTTTTAGATTAACAGTAGATCAAGTTTCTGCTCTTTATTGGTTTTTGTGATAGAAATTGCAGCGTTGGAGATTTTTCTTTTGAAATGGCATCACGATTTTCGCTATTTGCACCATGCGAGATTGCTACCTGCTACGTACTAGATGGATTCTTAGAAATTTTTACAGAATTTTTGGACACCTTGGGGTTCTCCGAAATTTTGTGGTGCCGAACTCAAAATCGCAAATGAAACGCCTTAGAAAGCGTTGTCTTTAGTGGCTAACTCAAAGAAAGCTACATTTGATAATCCATCATGGAGCGCATATCATCTTACATTTTCAGGAAACAAAACATTGAATGAGGTTCAGGATTCGAATATGGAGTTTTATTTAAAATACGTAAGGTTTCGTTTTGACCTAATAAATTTGTTTTCTGTGAAATATATAAAAACATTTTATTTTACCAAACGTATGTTTTTTTTCGTTCAAAACTAAAGCAGAATAGCGATAATAATAATAATTTATAACTAGAAACATTCAATCAGCCGAATTTCGAACCTGGTCTATCATCTATCACGCTACCCGGTCTTGCAACAAATTTTTTAAAAATGATAAAATTGTTTTTATAAATCACTTGGATGCGGAAATCAAAGAAAGTGAGGGTATATCAAAGTGTTTGCCAATTTCAGCTATACAAGCTTTTGCAGGAAACCTATGTTTGCTTAAAATTGTTGAGATCTCAATAACAGTCGGTTCTACTTTCGGTTTCTATGACTTATTCTTTCTGGTTAAAAAAATTCTATGCCGTTCGAACGTCTTCATGAATTATGGGTTCATGCCTTTCTTTCATTCGACTTTTCAATTTCATTGTAATAAATCCATTATGCACTTCAAAATAGGAATTTTATCTTACTTAAGAAAAAGTGTATAATTTGAATAGAATTGTTTCTTTAAAGATTTTCAACTTATTTCACAATATGGTGAAAAACTTATGGGACAACCTAATACGAACTCGAAGCTGCAGAGTTTGCTTTCAAAGGTCTGATCTACCGAGTTAATTTCCTATCGAATTATAAAAAACAGTTAGCTTTTACAACTATTGCGAAAGAATGATTTATAAACTAGATGGAGAAAAGAGGATGTACCCTCAATTTCTGCATCGTACTCATGCCCTTTAACAGCGATAACCTTTAGTGACATCAATGAGAAGAAGATAGCTGCTTTGAAAAGAACGCTATAACATTTCCTCAGACATGCGAATATTGGATTTTCCTATTCTAACATGGTAGAATGCGTCGTTTTTCTAGAAATGCTGATTAGTCTCCAAGGATTTAGCCTCAACGATCAGAAGCTTGGAAAAAAGAAGATTGATTGCGTCTTAGACATAGCATTCGTATTTGAATTGGTAGTTTTCAGTGAAGGAAGGCAAACACATTATATAGCACTGAAAAGTTTGTCGCTGCAGTTCAAAAAAAAGTTAGAAAAACGTTATTGAATTTGGAAGAAAAGCCAGCTTCAGCAATCAAGCTGCTACAACACAGATCTCGTTTCGAAAAAGCGTCAAGCAAATCCGTTGTACTCACAGTCGGATGCCAAGCTGGGAGCATCGTGCAACCGATTCATTAGGTTTTTTTCTTGTTTTTTTCATTGTTTCCAAAAAATGTCTCAAGGTTTTTTTTTCAATTCCAATGTTAAATCTCTCAAATTTTAGCTACATTTCGATGTAAAGCAATCAAGTTAGTATCTGGCTGCAGACTGTAATAATTATTAGATCGGTCCGAAAGTTCGTGCCAATTTTTAGACCTATTTAAGAGGTTCGAAATAAAGATAGACAAAAGCTCTTGACAGTGTTCCACAGAATTTCTTCCTCTTTCAATGTTGCTTCCGTTCCGACTGCGTTGTTCGCTCAATAATAGTCAGGATCTTCGAAGCTATGTTTTTTACCTACCTTTATTTTAGCTATTTTTTAAATTTTCATTTGCAGCTTTTGGCTTCAATCACTGTTGGATAGAATAAACAAAACACAAGATAATGACTTTTTAAGCATTCATTGCGTAATTTTCTAGATTTTTAGAACAATTTATTGACGATACCAAATTCCAGATCTGGACATCCCAAACCTCATACAAGTTCGAACAGAGAGCGACTAATTTGTCATTCATAGCGGGTTGTTCTCCTCTTTCTGATGGACGTTTTCTTCACTGATTTGTGGGGGGTTTCGAGGATAGATTCGTCATAAGTTTAGTTTCTGAACGCACCCCCAACCTGTGCTCGGAAAACTCGAAATTCAGTGTTTTGAAGCGGAGAACCTATGTTTACCTTGTTAAGTTAGCGCTTAATCGCAATCGACTTTTGAAAGTTTCAAATTTTCAAGTTATTAGTGTCTGAAGTGTTGTGTATTTTAAGAATTCGCAAAAATGAAGACTTTTAAAAAATTTCGTTTGAGAGTACTTGCAGACCAGCTGAAGAAACCCAAAAAATTTCTTGTCTTGCATTTTGTCTATTCCATCCAGTAGTGAAAGCTCTTCCAGTAGCTAAAATATGGGTGAGTAAAAGTCGTGGGTTAAAGTTCTGACGATTATTTGAGGGACCATCAAAGATTTCGGAACTGAAACACAACTGCTAGAAAGAGGAAGAAATTCTGCATCAAATACTTTTTAGAGCATTTGCCTAACTTACTCTGAACGATTCGAGGATAGGTCTGAAAACGGCACAAACATTCACATCGACCCAATGTGTCCCAAAATCAAAACTCTCATACTCAGCAAAATTTGACTTGATATAGTGAGTAAGACTTGGGAACAAAGCAGCATGTTCCGTAATCTCAACATCGTTGATTGTAGAAATATCGAAATACAAAGGACTCAAAAAATCTTGTGGCTGATGCTAACTTTTCACTGACACCGATAGCAAACGATCAGGTGGTAAATGTTCGAGGAAAACCTTACGCATAATAGTGCATGAAATTCTGATATAAGAAAAAAGTATGAAAAATGAATCGTAACGTTGACAAAAAACCATCCATATGGCACATGAGTGCGCAAATGGCCACCTTTGCGTCCAAATGCAATAATAGCGGCTGGCGGGAAAGCGCACGTTTGAATTCGAAGTTCAGAACGGTTCTGCTCCACCTCTTCTCGTAAGGATTCGAGGTTAACAATGTCGAATAACAACAGAACAACAACGAAGGGTAAACGATGCATGCAGATTACACATGGTTTGTTTGCAAGTCGATTCAATAACGAGTTTAAAGAGTAAACGAAAAATTTTCTACATCGCCGACGGATATTCGGAACAGACTTTACGAGCCATAGAACACGAATCGTTGGTGAATAAGATGAACAGGATCGTGAAAACTCACATCAAATTTCTCCCAGCTGTCATTTGAATCGTAAAAGTTTTCATTCTCTACGAAAAGAGGGTCCAAATGGCGATGGAAAACTGAAAAACGAATTTACGTGTCCATAAAAAGCTCAAGAACAACTGTTTTAGCGACTGCTTTTATGGTTTCGACGCTATTTTCCCTATTTCTATACTCTTTCATCAATAATTCATCATTGTGATGTGCTCACACATATTTTCATATCACAAACACAACTGCTATGGAATATAATCAATCGATATGGGAAAGAATGTAACGCAGAGCAAAATGATTTCTGTTCTATGTAGCCTAGAACGTAGTATTTACAAAGAAAAGCAACTGTCATTTTGATGGGTACAAGCTGTACAAATTTAAAAAACAGTTGCCTATTTTATTACATCCCGTGTAAAATTCAGATGGATCTCAGAATCCTCTGAACCCAGGATGTTTGCTAAAAGTGGATGTTTGTACGTTTCTAGTTATTTAAGTGAATTTAGCAGTTTAATATAGCCTGTAAACGGTAATTAGAGGGAATTAGCACTACAAGCTATTACAACTGTGATAATTAGCGCAAATATAGTTTTGACTTTAGCACTACAGTATACTCCCATATTACTCGCAAAGAATCTCTACATAAAAGTTTCGCGTACTGTAATGGTTCGAGGCGCTGCATTGACTCCAATTACCATGGTTCGATTCCGTCAGGAGTACAAAGCAAGCATCTTGGCATTAAAATGCGAAATGCACACGAAGATAGGTTTTATCCAGAACTGGCTTCAACTTAGAATTTCACTAGAGAATATCGCTGATCGCTCTTTATTACAGTAAGGTTACGGTGGGAACTTCCAGTATTTTGCGCAGTTGTGAACTAGCAGTGTTCCAAAGAAAATTTCAGAAAAGTGAGAAGTTATGTGGGTGTTTTCAAGCATGCTAAATTTGCTACTTATCATTTTACAAGTCTATAAAGATTTTTAGACTGTGTAATCACATTCTCACGAAACACTGAAAACACAGTCGTGAAGTCATTGTTTAACTGACATAGATTATGAACGAACTTTTAAAGTTCAAATTCCATAGTAAGGCTATACATGACCCTAAATGACCCAAAACTCTTCAAAGTTCCTACCGTAATCCTAGTGATAAAGAGAGATCGATGATTCATTATGTACTGTGATAGTTTGAAGTTAAAAATGACCCGCACCTCCATAAAAGACCTTAGGGAAAAAGGGTTCTTTACAACTAAACACTCTGCACAGGACCCGACACGAGAGTGCAAATACGAAGCTGAAATGGTTTAGGATAAAACGCAAAGAGTATATCGTAATTACACGTCCATACGCACTACGTACCCCTTCAACAAATTACTACACGCACGACTGTAGTGCAAAAACACGATTTTGCACGCGCGTCACCTTTGAAAATCCAATTTTTTTTAGTAGTAATCAAGCCCCTCGTTTGCAGCGTCATGTAATTCTGATGTATTAGGTTGTCCCGAAAGTTTTGTCCGTTTTTTCAACCTATCATAAAAACGAGTGGAACGAAGATAGGGAAACGCTTCAAGCACTATCCGACGCATCTTTTCCTTCTCTTTCTAACTGTCATGATTACATGCCGATTACTCTTTTGCTCACTGAGATAAACGCCGAAATTTCGAGGCCATGGTTTTTACTACGTCCAAGTTTGGCAATTTTTCACGATCTTCATTTTTGACTATCGGAAAAGCTCTGGTAGCAGTTAGATAGAGCAAACAAAGGGCAATATAATGCAATTTTGCGGCATCTATAGCTGGCCTTGAAAATTTTTTAGAATTATTTCTCTGATGCTATCAAATTCTACTTTTGGTGATGCCAAAAGCCAGACATCATGAAACGGCGAACAATTAAGGTGTTATTCAATGCAGATTTTCCTCTTCTTTCCAGTGACTGTATTTTCCCTCCAATTTGTGCGGTCTTTAGCGATAAAATTTCCATAATTTTTGAATTTGACCCGCCCCAGCGTATACCGTAAAATGCGAAATCTTATAATTCGAAGCGGTAAACGCTCAGTTGCTTTGTAAAAATAGTGAATAATCGTAATCGACTTTTGAAAGCTTCAAAATCGGATGATTTGTTAGTGTTCGAGGCGTTTCTGTATTTTGGGACTTCGCAAAAGTGAAGACTTTTGAAAAAAATCATCTCAAAAAATACTGAAAAGCCAGCTGGATAAGCCGAAAAATTGCATTGCCTTGCCCTTTGTTTACTCTATCTGAGCGCTATCAAAGGTCTTGCAAAAGTTGGAAATGAAGTTTGTGAAAAATTGCCAAAATTGGACATAATAGAAACTACAGGTTCGAAATTTCGGCGTTTATCTCAGTGAGCAAAAGAGTGATCGGCATGGGATCATGATAGTTGGAAAGAGGGAGGAAGCTGCGTCGGGTAGTACCGAAGTGTTTACCTACCTTCATTCCTCGTGTTTTTATGATAGATTGTAAAAACGGACAAAACTTTCGGGACAACCTAATAAGCACTGCGCAGAAAATTATGTGACTGAAGAATGTGGCAAGCTTTTTGTGGAAAATTTCCAATAGGGAAAAGTGGAAAATTGACTCGTCTGCAACGCACATATAGTGATTTGGCTTCAATTTTGGTGTATGTATATGCGCGACAGGGTATGGAATAAAATCTGGAAGATATGAAAAACTTATGTAACTGAAGAGGGTGCCCAACTTTCCGAATTGGGTGGCATATGCCCACTTAATGCCACCCTGAATGCGAACATTTTCAGTTCACAGTTTTTCAAACATCCTGCATAAACCTCTTTTAGACCTACAGTTCACTACATCTTGAAATTTTTGTAAAAACGTTCCCCTTTTTGCTGGAGTCTAAAATAGCTACACCGCTTTCCTCCTCATGGACACCGGCCACAAAAACCGGTTTTCATAAGGGGGAAAGCGCGCTCCAATTGAACGACTCACGCTGGCGCGAACAGGTGGGAAATAGTAAAATTCAATGGCGGCAAAGTCGAATTCGTTTCAAAGGTGTGTATTTGCCACGCTCGTGCCTGGCCGTGACTGTGTATATTTTGGAGACACCCTGCAGTTCAAACTCCAAATTTATAAACATTTTATCAGTTCCCCATATGCAGTACAATAAACCCCATTGGCTCTAATTTCGCAAATTGATAAATTATACAGGGGTACTAACCTTTCAAATTCGTAGTTCGTTTTTGACGAGTCAGAGCATTCGCTCGAAAATTCGAAAGCGGTGGCAGAGGTGGCGGAGGTGAATGCTTTGGAGTGCGAGGTAATGGAACGGCAAGCGATGCTCTTCTAGCCCTAAAGTTGTTGATATTTGGATTTCAACGAACATCAAATTGGATAATATTACTAGTTGACCAGGTTGTGATTCAACGATATGTAGCAGAGATTTTAGGCAAAAAGTAGACTGGTGCGAAGATAATGCGTGTTTTGCAATTTCACATAAAAGGATAGCTTAGTCATAGCCCTGTATTTTTTGACGCAATAAACATCTTTGGAGCATTCGATCACCCTTGTAGAGACATCTTCTCATTTGAAATAGTTTCCAAAAAAGTGATCAAGTGTGCAAAATGTACACAATTCCCATCACAATCTGCAGCATCTTTTTGAAAGAAAGCATTTTCTACGGTTTGGATCGTGACCAAGAGACTGAATGCTATAATTTCGGTTTATGTGCGGCTATTTGAGATTATGTAAATTTTCATTGGAACAATAGAAAAGTGTTCCAAACAACTGTTAAAAGGGCAAAAGGGTAGCTTCTGCATAGTGAGTAAAACCAAATAGAAAGTAAGTTTCATTAAAAAAAGTTGTTTGCAGTAAGCATAGAAAAGTACGCGCTAATTTTGCAGCAACCTAACAGAGTGTTAAAAAGTTGTAGCTTTTATCTTCTTGACGCTAAAGGTGTCTCTCGAAGTCGAGGTGATCCTGATATTTTCAAAATAGTTGCGCTCAAGATTTTCATGGAAAACCCTGAATAAAACCTGACTCTGGATGCTACCAAGTGTAGCCCTCAAGAGTCTGAAACCAAAGCAGCGCACTTACTTTGCTTTGCCAGGATGGACGAGTTCCTTGTAATCGTACCGGTGGCCAAAAGACCACCCAAAATGCATCTGAAAATAGAATGTTACTGTGCAGACAGATACTATTCAATAATTAGCAAGGAAAACCGTCAGAAAAAAAAGGAAAACAATTTGCAGAGTGTAGCCTCAGTGAAACGTCACGAACCGCGCAAAACTCAAGGACAATCAACAGCAAGTCATTACAAGGGCTAATTGCCCTTTTCATAGTGCAAATCACACTGGGGTGCATGTAATCAGAAGATGATTGCTATGGGACAATGAAACAATCGGAAGATGCAAATGTAAACAGGAACGGAGCTGAGGCAAAACAGTATTGGAATGACCGAGTATTGATCGATTGTGGATCACTGGTGATCTTGACGCTACGTGTGATCCGTCTAAATGAGAAGAATTTTCCTCGGCAATAGTTCTTTACATGGTTAACGAGTTCTACGTCTCTTTTTTTGCAAATTGAGTCTGATTTGTTCCTCCAAGTCGAATTTACAGCTGAAAATCACTGTGTAAACTCAGTCACCTATTCAACCCAATGATTCATATCCACAATGGACCGCACTCTCAACAATTATAAAAAAAATTTTATTGACGGGTATCCGATTTCTGCGTTTGATGTGCTACTAATTTGCAGGGAATGGTAGAAACCTTTTGTACGGTAAAAAAACATCCATCAGCTCCTCATCGATAGACTTTGATCCGGAAGAGACTTTGAATAAATCGGCATGATTTTTACTTCTCTATCAAGTTTTCTGATCATAATAATTGTCTTCATGCAGCTCCTGATTTTTGCCCTGCAGCTCCAGAATGAACTGAGAATATCTGGTGTAACAAACACTTGAACTAATGTCTATTTTTTTCACTAGCACGGTTCCATATGGTTTTGGTAAACAAAATGTTATCCTGTATTTTTGTGTAGCTCATAGGAGTCACTAAATTCGAGATGCAACATAGTTTTTTTTTCACAATCCTGAATGCTTGTACGTTGACATACTGAGTGAAAAAATACCAAATTTCCAAAGGCCTTTGCTATTTAGGAAAACAGCATTTATGCAAAATAATTTTATATTTGCGGGTCCAATTGTCTCTAGTCGTCATACCCATCCTTCAAAAATCATCTTCTTCTTCCGAAAAACCTATAACTATTTAGCACTTCTACCCAATATTTTAGTGGTTTTGCGTGGTATTCAATTGTATATTTCACTTCTCCTCTGTGTTGTGGCTCTTTATAGAGCATTAAATAAATAAATAATAAATGAAATTACTTTCAAGAGGATTAAGGACTCATACAAAGGTAGAACGATTGGATAAAGGCTGCTCTGACGAAAGTGGTCAGCTTACCTTCCGAAGATAATGAGAGCGCGGCTTCTGATCATCTTTCAGCATTGAAGGTCGTACGCCGCACGCCTCGCTTACATGGGCAACCGCCTTCGTCTGAGACTAGCGTTTACCTCTCTATTTTTCTTGTGTGCAAAATAAGTGAGATTATTTGAGTGATCATATGGTTTACTCGCAGCCGGAAAAGCCAAATTGGAATTCAGTACAGAACGATTTTTTCTGTACAAAGACTTTTATCGGTCCTTTCGCAAAGAGCATGGTTTTGGCTGTAATTTCAAGTTGATTTTTGCGATAAAGCTTTTATAATTTAGTCAAAGTTAGGGCCTCTCAAAGAGTATTCACATGAAAGTTGAAGTCCTTATGTCTCTCTGGACATCTGTGATGTAAAGTCTTTGAAAACCTCATATTCGGTAAACTCAAAGTGTATGCTAACACTAATGTTCTCTGAACTTCTAAAATCCAACTGCAACAAGTAAAGTTTCTGTTCTTGCTTGCCACTTTCTCTTCTTTTTTCCTGCAGAAGACGAAGAGAAACGCGAAACTGACATCAGTGACTGAAGCGCAGTTCCTGTTCTACACTTTTTTCACTGCAGAATTATGATTGCTGCGGAACTTGGATGATGAATTGACTACCGCAGAGAAATCGCTTTCGAACTTTCTTCTACTGGTGTTTTGCAAGTTTTGTTGGAGACGACCTTTAGTTTTTACTGTTTTGGATCCAGTGCCAAAGAAATTCTTTATTGCTACAGAATAAGTTTTGCTGGGAGAGCTGCTAAACAATAGGTAAACACACTCAGGCCTAATTTGTCTAGAATTTGCCGTTTCAAAGTCAAAGTATCATTCACTATAGCGTCGGTGAACCGAATTTCTTTTGATTCGCTCAAAAAGTTTCCAAAACTCATAGAACTTTTTTTGCAAGTTTCCATTTTGCATCTATTTCCATTCTTCTTCCATTCTTCTTATACAAATTTACCTACTTTCTTGGAAGTGAAGGACTCAGCACTTACGATGGAAGCCACCTCTCGCTACGATACGGCAGATCTACTCATGTTTACAAATGCTCGTATCTTTCCCGTGCAAAACTCAGCAAATGGATTGCTTTAGCTCCGCAAACTTGCCTTACAAAATCTTGTGCTGTGATCTAATTTAGGACAATTCAGAAAATTATCTACATTAATTGCTAAAAAATCCACGGGGTTACCACGTTTTTTATTGCCTTTCAATGGTACAGTTAGTAGTAGATTGTCGTGCTTTAATCCTTGATCTACCGCCTTTTTTTAAAGTTCAACCTCAATGTGCATACAAAATCTACTACTGAGTATAAGATGTAAATGAGCTTTTTCTCTGAACTAATCTTGCTGCATAAAAATTCAACATTGAATTCAAATAAGCAAAAAATATAATGATGTTTTATTGAGTATCCTAAAGTTGTTGTCGAGACCTAAATGTCTAACTACATTTTATGTTTGGACAAAATATCTTTTGTGCACTTTCCACCGATAAATCGAACATAGACCACTAAACTAGCCTGACATTTCCTATCAATATCAATCTAACCGCTTCCCTTTCTAATGTATTTTCAAAGAAAATTCCTTTCTGTGAACGGTTTTTATCAATTCAGGCTATAATCTGTGCGAATGCCTGTATGTTTCGAAGACGTTTTCTCATTTCCTTGCACTTTTCTGTCTTTAGATGCACTCAGGCGAACATTCCAAAGGAAAACTCTTACCGAACAAAGCATTTCGTTAGTGCTCATGATTTCTTTGTCATCGTTTCAAGCTTTAAGTGTTAGTGCCATCTATTGGGAATTGTTTGCATTTTTTACTAGGCTGGTACACAAGTCCTGCGAAAAAAAAAGATACAAAAAATTTCCTCTCAAAGTGTTCAAATGAAGTTGTATCTTATCGTAAATATCAGATATTTTTCGACTTGAGCAAAAAATTGATACAATACTTCAAAAAAACATTTATTCGTAGAAAATCCGATCACGAATTTCTCCCAGATAGAAGAAAAGCATGTCATAAAAGCAAAATCAAAATGAGATTTGAGTAAGCGTTTCAATATTTTTAGCAAGCAAAAATTCGAAAAAAACCCCTTTAGTGCATTTTTCTATTACGTTGTACCAGTGGCGCACCCAGGATTTGCGTTCTGGGGCGGGGGGGGGGGGGGCAAAAATTTTTTTGATGAAGGTGCGTGTCGTCAGCCAATTTTCATCATGCTTCTGAGATTCTTCCGGTCCCATAATCCCGGAATTCAATAAATTGAATCCTTTAAAAATTTTGTAAAAATATACCTAATTATTATTAACAAGTACAAACAAGTAGCTTGCACATTTTTATAACTCATAGAAGTAACTTTCAAAAAATTTCGCGACCCATTCTCGGGGTACACTACTGCTTTGTACCATTACGATAATGAAGTGATATATCTAGCTTTTATTGATTTATGAAAATGCAAGATTTTCTTTATTCATTATTTACCGAAGTAAATATTTTCATTAAAGTCGGGCAAAATGTTGAGTTTTCCAAATTTCTGATGTGAGACCTTATATCAAATCGACAGAGATTCATCTTTTCCAATCAACGAAGACTGATTTATATCATTTTTGATAACTACTGCTTATCTGTCCACTACTGCGCGAGAACACCTTGCGCCTCGGCATTCCCGTGTCGCGACCTTGTGTTGCAATCTTAACCAAACTAACAGACTTACAGTCGCCAGAAAGTCGTTCTTCTTTCTCTCTTCTTCGTTATTTTTTCATTCGTTTTCGATTCACTAAAGCGACAGCTAAACGTAGCGCTTTCGCCGTAAGTCGAGTCGGCCACATTTGAGGGTTTATGAATGCGCGTCTCTCTCAAGTGCTTGTGCCTCCATCCTCTCCAAATCATCACACCAAACAGCCCCCCAAACACTTCACTCCTTCAGTATCACTTTGATAGAGTGTTTTGCTTCTGATTCGAATGACTTCTGTTGCTTTTTAGTCTCTTTCTTCTAAGCTATGGCACTACATTTCATCATTATCTTATCTTTCTTGCGTTGATTTTCTGTAAATGTTTGCAGAAAATTAAGGCAAGAAATGTTTGCATTTCCTGATGCTTGTAAATTTTTCAGCAATAATTGCAAAAATCCTAATTTCATGTTGCCCATAGTCGAGTCACTCACAACTTAATATGCATATCTCACACCATGCGCACTACTTGACGACATGTAAAGTTATGACCTGCCCACTTCCTTGCTTTTTTCTATTTTTTATATATTAGGTTGTTCCGAAAGTTCTTTCCGTTTTTTCAACATATCATAAAAACACGTGGAATAAAGATAGGGAAACGTTTCAGGCACCATCCGACGCAGCTTTTCTTCCTCTTTTTAATGGTCATAAAACTGTACCGCTTGCTATTGTGATCAGTGAGTTAATGGCCAAAATGTCGGACCTATGGTTTTTACCATGTCCAAATTTGGCAATTTTTCACTGTCTTCTTTCTTAACTTTTGGAGAAGCTATGATAGCAGTCAGATATAGTGAACAAAGTGCAATGCAATGGAATTTTTTGGCAATTTCAGCCGGCTTCTCATTATTTTTTTAGATAACTTTTTCAGAAGTCTTCACTTTTCCGAAGTCACAAAACACACGAACGCTCTGAACATCAACAAATCTTCGGTTTTCAAAACTTTCAAAAGTCGTTTATGATTGTACACTATTTTTACAAAGACTGAGCGTCTACCGCTTCAAATTATAAGATTTTGCATTGCACGGATACATCATGATGCGGGTTCAAAATCAAGATTTATGGAAATTTTATCGCCAAAGACCCCACAAACTAATAAGAGAAAGTACTCATCAGAAAGAGGAGAAAAAGCTGCATCGAATGACACCTTAGTTGTGCGCCGTTTTAAGTTCTGTGGCTTTTGGCATCCCCAAAAGTGGAATTTGATAGCATCAGAAAAATAATTCTAAAAATGTTTTGAGGCTAGCTATACGATGCCGAAAAATTGCATAAAATTGCACTTTGTTTACTTCATTCGACTGCTATCAAAGCTTTTCCAAAAGTCAAAAAAGAAGATAGTGAAAAATTGCCAAAGCTGGACACGGTAAAAACCATGGGTTCGAAATTTAGGCCATTATCTCACTGAGCATAAGAGCAAGCCGCACAGGTGTATGACATTTGAAAAGATGAAGAAAAGCTGCGTCGAACAGTGCCTGATTCGTTTCCCTATCTTCATTCCGCGTATTTTTGTGATAAGTTGAAAAAAAGGAAAGAACTTTCGGAACGACCTAATATTAGTTAGTAGAACACATTTCTATACTTTGCTACGCTAAGGAAAGTTTCAAAGAGTTACTAGTACGGGTGTCGTTGGTTGCTGCGCATTGTGCAGATGCATACTCACATAAAGTTACAAATGAATCGAAGTATGTGCTAATTTCGGCAAAAATAAACTATCTCGCTAAGCGAATAATGAAAATTCTGATAGTTGATTTCAATGTAGTCCACAAAATGCTGTCTATCAAACGTCAACCTTTCCATGGAAAAGTAATGTAATCCAATAAATCATTTGCTGTTTCATCGATTTCTCGTTGCGCAATTAAAGCACCGTTTCATCACTTGTCATATGTAATTTTGTCAAAAGTTCCTTTTCTTGGCTGAGACATAGAGCGAAGAGATTCATGTTAAGAAAGGTTGGATACGTAATACTATCATAATGGATGTGTTACAAATTTGTTTGATCTTAGGACTAATGTTGCTCGGCAGAAAAACCGAAAAAATGGGAAAATTAATTTCATGACTACTTGTTTTGCTGAAATTCAAAACTCCAAGAAGCAGACCCAAGAGTGAGTAACAAAGCGATTATGTTTTGAAAAACAGTAACACTGTCCATGTCCTAAAGTCCGAAAAATCCGTGAGTGAAACCCAAGAAAAACGTGTTTGGGACAGAGACCGGTACGATGTTTAGCTAGGCGTTCCTTCATCCAAATATGTACACATTTCTGCCCTTAAGAGCCTAGACGGTCCGCTAGCACTTTTCTAGTTCTTTTACACACTTCTCATATGAAGAGTAAAATAGCACATTTTGCTTTGGCGTCATATGCTGTTGAGAGGAAGTTTCATTACGAACGGAGCTAGTGACAGTTACGGTATTGGCAGAGAAAGTTCACTTTTACGACGTAAATGGGATCTAAACAGAGACTGGTTTGACGACGATTTACTGGCGCATCCAGAGCATTGCGCAACTTTCTCTCACGTAAATCAAGCAATGATTTGAATGGATTGAAATCGGCTGCTTCACACTTCTTCGTGATGAGTCATCTTTTTCGATAGATTTGAGTCTAAAACGCCAGCAAATCCGTGTTTTGTCGGAATTACTGCGCTGAGACCATTTGTGAACGGGGAAAAGTGCTTCTTGAGCATTATTTACATAAGTGAGCCGCTGAGGCGCAAAGTATGAAGCCGCGCAAGCCGAACACGGTTAGTGCGTTGGGGTGTTGAGTTACGCTCATTGTCTATGGGTTATTTCGTACCCATTTGTCAGTCACCGCTTCTCAGTAATAAAAAAAACTCTATTGACAATTAATCGTGTCATATTCGCATGACAATGTGCTTTTTTCTCGCCTAACCATCAAAAGTGCCGAAATTTGTCTTTCTCATATTGAAAAGGCAGAAATGTGATGAGTCTTGTGTAACAGAAAACGTCATAAGTAGAAATGGTATGGCACCTTTTTCATTTTTGAATTTCTGGGGTCACAAACGGGATGTTTGCCGTCTTCTTTACCACAAATAAAATTTTCCTCAAACTGAACGGCTCACTCTGTATTCAAATAATATCCTTTTTCAAAGTTACAGAACGCTTCAAAATCAAACTATTACATCAAGAAAAAGTTATAGAAAAATTCGAAGTATCTCATCATAAAGTTCTGGATTGTTCTTACTGGAGGAAAAGCTAGTTGTGAGAGACTTGAGCTTTCTGTAAAGATGGGCTGAAGTCCAGTTTCTCATAGAAATCATTGTCCTCCTTTCCGGTGTCAAAATAAGTATTTAATGACTACTCTCTTGATCTTGCTTCATAATAGTGACGGAATGAAACTATTATATCTATTACTAGGTGCTTTTCAGAATTTCAAAAATTCGTTTTACTAAACAAGACTGATTTAATGATTACAATAATTGTGGCATAAACATTATATTTACTAATAGATGCTTTTCAGAGTTTCTGAAATTCGTTGTATTGAACAAGACCAATTTGGTGATTACATGTGTATGTGCTACACAATTAGATTGATTTTGGACTTGACGATAAGGATTTTTCAGTGAAAATTCCATAAATCGAGCACGTTCAAGAATTGCTCATAGCCATCGAATGTTTGTTTCGTCATCTTTCCATGTCCATTTCAGACACTACGACCTCCACCTATCCTCATCAATGAATAAAATGTTTAAAAAACAAAGAATTCCAGGAACTTCACATATTTCTGTATTCCGGATAATGATATGAACAGACGCGATAGACACCAGCAACAACCCCATTTTCAACATGATGACTCAGGCAGGTGAGTAACTACATTTTATTCAAGCCTGGAACCAAAAGGCTGCCAAATTTTCCTGCTTTGAAGTTTTCAATCATGTTTTTATATAATGGAAATGCTTCTAACAATGTGTTCCCATCGCAAACTGCAACAACTATAGCGCGACGAGAGAAAAACGAAGCCGTTATTGCACGCACTCGCGCAACGATTTATCATTTCTTTTTGTTTCTAAATGTTTCTTGTAAGTCGAGAATCATTGCTTTAATTGATATCTTGTTTTATTTTCATTTAGAACTTTGTTTGAGAAAGTTTTCGAACTTCTGTGAGAGATCGAATTTTTTTTTTTATAAAAGAACAGGACGTATTATCTATTTTAATCTGGAAAAAGATTAATTTTTTTCAGGTTGTTTTCTTTTCTAAATAGAAATGATAATTTTATATAAGACTTTATGCCGTCTTGTGTAGAAACTAGTCACGATTTTACGCATTACGATAAACTTGTCCACTTCATAATCCTATTTATTTATCATGAGATAGCACTCAACAAAATTTTGTTGCAGAATTTATTTCAACGTCATGTGAATAGTCGCTGCAAAATTTCAAATTTCTGCAAATCTCATCCTTTTTCTCGAGAGATACTTTTTTCCATATTAATTCTTGCTTTGTTTTCTTTTCTTACTTGGAAATATTGATTACTCGTTTATAAGACATTCTGATGTTATTAGAATTAATTAGTCACGATTTTGAGCAATATGCTAAATTTTTTCACTATTTTATATCATTTAAAAAGATAGAGCTTACCAGAATTTTATCATAGAAATCTATTCCATTTACGTGTTATTTCTGAACTGAGAAGTTGCAAATCTTGTAATAGATAATAAATAATAATAACAAATAATAATAATAATCAAATCTAAGCTCTTTTTTTTAGAAGGTACCTTCAAGTGAATATTTCACTTCGTAATAAAATTCCAAAAGAACCATAGCATGTGCTATCCACCCATACTCTTGGAATTTTTGAGTTTTTTTCTTTAGGTGCTATTATTTGACTGTAATAGTGCTATTGACTACGTTTCCGCTCGGACTTTTCTTGTACCCCCCTCCCCAAAATCATTTGTCATCGTACAGCGATTTCAATGACTCATTACAACATGAAAACATGGGGTACTCCCATACTATCATGACTTCTGATGTGCTGGTTTGTCGGGATTCTGCACTTGTGCAGTGGCTACTGTTCTGATTTTCTTGAATTCTATTATTCTCAAAAATCTGTCCCCTATGCACCTCACCTGTGAATGCCAAGGATTCGAAATCGGTCGGATTTGGGAAGTGTATGTTAATTCGCAATTTTCGGTACAATTACCTTTTTGTAAAGTAATTTTTGTTAATCTTTCCCATATTCCTCAATTCTTTCGTCAACAATACCACGCAGGAGCGCTTCCGCTCAGACAAAAGTTTGCCGACTAGTTCTCTAAGCCCCTGAACCACGTTTTTGTGGATCCTGCAATTTGAGCGCAGCCATTGTCCAGAGAGGTTCCTACTGCCATGAGGGAAAGCAGTGACTTCCCCTTCTCCCCCCCCCCCCGCCCTCCTACTGCTATGATGTTTTATGATGTTTGTTTATTTCAATGAGTTCTAAACAAGTCCAGCTGGACTTTACCAACTTCAAATAGAGATTTTCCGCTAAAGTGATCCAGTTTCGCGCTTTGCGCAAAGAAGTAACCAGGCAAACTGATTCAACATTTTAGACGTGAATAAGCGCTAATCACTCTCTCTCCTGGGCTAATCCTCCCCCCCCCCCCATATTTTTGAACAACTTTCTGTCGAATGCTCTAGAAACCATTGCAAAATGGTTTTCGTGTGCACATTGCGCGTTTCTGCTTGCTTTTTGGATCATGAACCGGGGGTGTCGGTACCGGGCGAAGTGAACGGCCCTAATGACATGACCCTAGCCCTTTTCTGTTTACAACAGCATCGTTAGCCGTATTTTTGATTGTAGATCGTCGTTTCTTCACCTTGTCTCTGTAAGCAACACCCAACAACGATTTTTCTTCAAAGCGCACGTATCTGACGTTCCCATATCTTATTTGTGTGTGTGTGTGGTGGAGAAGCCAGTTTCTAATCATTTCGTGTGTCTCGTTACGCAGGCGGAAGGGATCAGCCAAAAGATCACTGCCAAAAGTGTTTTCTCGTTGATTGCTTTGCGAACAGATATGAGAGCCGATGCTTAGCATTAATGTGTTTTCTCGCTCCGATCTGACTCGTTCCTGGATCAGAAACTAATGATTCATAGGGGGGGGGGGTGGTTTCTGTCGCTGAGCACACTTTGTCACTTTTCTCCTACAAGTAATGTGAAAACGCCATTTCACATCTTTCTTTCTCATGCAAAAATTGAAAGCTTCGTTTTTTCTCCATTTTTAATATAGAATTTTTTCGGAAGACGCCAAAAATTTGTTGTTTTTTTAATTTCAAAAATAACAATATGCTTTATGCTACCACACCATGATGCGAATTTTTTCAATCTCTCTTTCGAAAAAAAGAAAGTTTTAGCTGGTTCCGTTCCTCTGGTTTCAGTTATTTTCATCTACGTTGTATCTGTACATGCATTCAATGAATAAACAACAAAATTTTTGTGGATCAGCATATCGATCTGTTTTTTTTTCAAAATCTGAAATACAAATTGGAAGCAAAATGAATTTGTCCCATCTTTTTCCCTCGTTTATGCGCTGAATGCACCATTTTCCCGGAATCTTAGCTTTGGCACAATTCTTCCACACATTCAAAATTCTAATAACTTTTCTCAAAATTCTTACATGACACGCTGTACTGCACGAAAACTTGCTGTCGTGTTTGTGAATCTATTTGTCAAATATTTATACACCCACATTTCGGTGTTCCCCCCAAGTTTTTGCTGAAGTCGCAGACAAATGAGTGCCCATTTTTCTGCCTGTAATACTCGTCCAATCCAAATCTGTAAGAACCCAAACTTTCAAATATTTTGTTCTAAATTGACAACGAGACTTACGTACGTGTGGATTTACTTTACTACCGGTAACAGAGAATCTAACGGCCATTATGCTGTCCAACTAGTAGTGCGTGAAAGTTCTGTAAACAGATGAGTGTTGTGTTTACTTGGCGCAATCAAGCGCAAGTAGATTTGAAATGAAAATAGTGCCTTGGAGCTGGCGCGATTTTTTTTTCTCGGCAGGACTCCTATTTGCCTTTGATTTTGTGATTCGCTCAATAATGGCATCTATCTTAGTGTTCGACTCAACTACGATCGTCTGCTACAACTGGCTGACAGAACTCGTACTGCTCACACACAGCGTGTTGGCGATCTGCCTCCAAAGATGGGGTTAAGGTAATTATGCAGGGCATAAAGGCACCATTAACCCAAACTGAGGTTGGTGATAAATTGTTGTATAATAGCGGGGCGAATAACTCCTTCGCCCAAGTTCCGGTGCAAAAGGTGAATTCCGAAGCAAAAAAATGCTCCAGAAGGTGGAAGGGACCCAGGCGGCACCGCCCACCAGTGTGGGTGGTCCAAAGATAATGAGTCCAAAATTCTGCTCTAATTTTTCTAGGATTGTCCTAAATCCGTCCTTCGTTATGATTATCATATTTTTGACATATCTATCTACCATGAAGCCCAAAATTGCTTATAATCTACGGGCCACCCACGTTGATGGGCGGTGCCACCCCAGGCCCCTTTAACTTCTGGAGCGGTTTTTCCGGTTCGAAGTTCATTTTTTGCAGCCAGGCTGGGGCAATTACTTAGTTAGAGACCCAGCTATTATACAGCATCAAAATTTCACCAAACTCGATTTTGAGTATACGGTGCCTATAAGCATTCTATAAGCTTCATAATCGAAAATGATCTGGTTTTGAATGGCGAAAGCGTTGATATCGCAGGGCGAAAGACAAATCGCGACTGTCAACAGGTGCATTGGAACAAAGCCTTCCCGATAAACTCACGCAAGCTTTGCGCAATCTGCGGCCCGGGGCCCTCGTTCACTCGGCAAGCAGTTCGGCTGCGCATTCGAATAAGGTTTGTAAACTTTCAAAAAAGAATAACTCGACAAAGAACTCAAAATTCGGTCTGCTAAAACGCAAATCTTAACATGTTTCCTTAGCTCTTAGATCCTAGCACTTTTGCACTATCGAATCTCAAAGCATTACGTCACGCGCTAATGGAAAATCACTCGCAATGTCGACTCTAAGACCTGATTTTTCGACTTTTAGAGTGGCGCTATCCCTGCCGATGATGTCGTCTACATTCCATCTCCAGATACTTCGCAAATATCTTCACATTTCGAGGAAATGAGAAGGGTGGGTTGGTTTGGCTTTTAGCTGCTCATCTTTGTTGGAATTTTTGGGGATGTTAGATTGTAGCACATTTTCATTTAGATTTTGAAGTATGTCTGTCTTCATAATGCTAAGAAACTTTTCTTACCTTTTAGATTTCTGAGGGATCAACACTGAAATTATATTATATTAGAAAATTCTGTCAAGAAATCACCGAGTCAGTCGTATTTCAATATGTGAGCTTGCACATTACATGCGGCTAATGACGACAAGCAGCTAAATTTTTTATACATTATTACGAATGACTTGAGAATACCGAAATCTCCGATAAACTCGCATATATCTACACAAAAATGAAATTGATCACATAATTGAGAAATCTCCTTATTTAGGAGCTGCGGAAAGAGCTTGTAGATTGCACACTCATTCTAACTGGGATAAAATAGATTATACCATTGATGACATTCCATTTTTTGACACTCAGAATATTGTACAAAACTTCCTCATCTATCCTCAATTCTATCTTTATTTGTTTATAAGCCCGTACGCAAGCAAAACGAAACTTGAGAATTTTTTCCACCAATTTCTTTGCAAGTTTGCAGCTCTCATCGTAAAAGCGCTTGAATTTTTTGTGCTTTTGAGTAGAGGCTGCTTCCACAAGATCTACAAAAAGACAAAGCGAGATCGAAAAAACTCGCCGTTTAGTAGTAGAAGTGCGAAGAAGTTGTCCTTTAAATTACGGGTTTCTACTAGATCCTTTGCACATCTCTATCTCCTCTGTATCTTGCTAAGTCTCCTTATCAAACTTTTTTATAGAGAAGACACTCAGCCATGATGAAACTGTGTCCATCACAGTCGCCATCGCCTATTCTTATGAGAAATGGTTACCGCAGAGACCATGGTGCTCATATACGTGGAATGTTCAAAAGCGTACCAAATGTAAACATGGTGGAAGAAAAGGAGAAAGAGTAGGCTTTGGGATTTTCTTCTTCTTTGAGCTTGCTGTGAAGGCTGTACCGCTCATAATTAGTCAGAAAAGTCAACAAACCCCGCCAGAACGTAACGAAATCCGCGTTGAATTGCTGTATCTTGGTCATATAGTGGAAACATTCTAAATCTAAGGGAAATCAACTCATCTGGCCGAGCTGCATTTTTTGATATGTAAACGTGCTTGTTTGGATATTGTAAGCGGCCATTGTCATCGAGCCTACGGTAGCTCAGTGTGCAATAGGCGAGACAAGTAACTTACCGTAGGCAGATATCTCAAGAACATTTGCAAATTCTGCCCGCCTACAGTGCACCTACCGTATCAAAACGAGCATTCTGTATATCAAAAGAGGCATCCCTCCGAACCGTGTTGAATGGTTCCCATGAACGTAAAATTTATCTACTCTGAACCAAGATACGGCGAGGCGACGCGGATTTCGGTGACCTCCGGTGGAGTCCGGTGACTTTCTTAATCAATCATGAGCTGTACTGCACTCAATTCTCGTGAAGGTACAGACGTCGAAGGAGGAGAAGTTGTCATGTGTTCGGAGATGAAATTGATGCTGAATCATCAAGCACTCGTAGTCCGACCGACAGCGGCTATCGTTCCACTCCTCGTCAGACTAGTGGAGAGAATCTTTGTGGTTATGATGAGATTTCGCCAACTAGTAAGCTAAGCGCATAGTTCTGGGGAAATTTTCGTGAATCCGGTCATAGTTACAGGAATATCACACAAGACCACAACCGTGGTCTATGTGAATGGGGAAAGTTCCCAGGTCGAAGAGCATCAAATCATGAAAGCTCATGGTGCTACTCATTCAGCTCTCGACAGTCATATACTACGTTTTGGGTATGCAATTGAATTTTCATAAAAAAAAACAAACCTGGGATTTTGTGACATTTTCAGGATCATATGCAAAGACTCTATTTGCCCATTTGACGAAAAAGATCTGCTCACACTGCTTTATCGAAAAACTTTGCCGAAAGACAGCCAATGTTTCGATGTGACGCATGTCCCGCCGTAAGCTCTTTTGTTGTGACTTTGTTTATATAATATAAATGAGTGTCATTTACAAGATTTTTATATTTGAAGATTCTTATTTCCTTACGAATAAGGTTCTAAAAATTCTCAAAAGATGAAACCCGTGTGCCCAAAATTATTGATTAGTGTAAAACAAAACATAACAAACCATTCAAATTTTATTTTTTTAACCATTTCCCCTGTTCACTGATCAGAAGTCTTTCCTCCTCCCCCTCCCTTGATAACTGTTCACTCCTTCAAAAATACTATTGTAGCCTAATCGACATGTTGCTAAATACTTTGGAAATTATCACGGATCACATTCAACGTCTATCCATCAACAGCGCTAAGGCAACCGTTGAGAACGTGACAACAACAACAAAGGTAAACAAATAATTTTCTAAACCATTTCCCAACCATCGCCCGCCACGCAGGAGTTCTTTGAGAATCGATCTTGAACTACCCATACTCTGGAGAATTCTAGGATTATCCTGTTAATATCTGCTCAAGCATAAGTTGATGATAAGAATGAGTTGGTCGATGTGTGAAGCAGAATCCCTATTGAGTTTTTTTGCTAATTTGTGCAATTGCACATTTTCCAGGATTAGACCAGGCATGAGCCAAATAGCTTTTCGTGATTTTTTTCAGTTCAATCCAGAATGGTGCTTTTATTACATTTCATGTATTCCCTACTTGAGAGAAGCCGCCATCAGCATACCAGTGTGCATTTGCACACATTAGTAATAAAACCGTCCACCAGCCTACAACTGAGCCAACTCTTTACTTCTAATGAAGTTTTGAATCTGTAATTAGAAGCTATGAATTTCAAAACCAAGCGAGCTCGTACAGATGAGAACCTTTATGCTTTGATGGACTACTCAATTCATTCGTACTCTTCATTTGCCCACCGTAATCCAAAAATTTTGTCCGCAATCTATCACCCTGTTTTGAAGAGTGTAAGCCGCACTTTTTCGAACTTTTAAGCGAGCTACTCATCCGCTTCACTGTGTTTCGGAAAGACTCCTAATGCCGCACGATCCTTTTGAGCACGCAGCACTTTATACAGTCCTTGGTAGCGAAATCGTTTTGCGTGTTTGGGCTGGTCTGAAAAAAATCGCCCGTGGCTTTAGCACTTGAAAATAGGGTATCTTTTTCTTTGTCAATCTTGCGGGCTGCGCTTTGGTAGCTTTGTCGTCACTCCAGATCTCCAGACTAATGTTTTGTCTCCATAGCTTGCCAACAAAGTGTTTTGCTTGACTCTGTATTCTATGAATGCTTATTGTTAGACGTGTAAGGCCTTGAGCATCCCTCTCGCGATCTTAGCCGCTACGCGATTTGGCCATTTGTCAGATCGCCACAAACCCAATACTCGCAGACCACAAATGCCTAACGTATTCAACTTTTGTGAGCCGATAAAATGTGTCATATTCCGCTTGCTGAAATTGAGTTTGCACGAGTTATAAGCAACTGGAGCATTGCCAAGTCACGTCGCAACCAAAATCGCGTGAGGTTTGCCCGGGGCCTAAGCGAGACTATTGTTTACGCAATTCTGCACAGCGCACTAAATCTACGACTCTTTATTAGCAAATGCTAGTGGTACTCATTCTAGCGGAACGAAAAGTCTACTACTGTCTACAGTAACACTCCAGTAAGGATAAGAAAAAAAGAAAACGATAGTTTTCTTAAAATGGGGCAACTGAGCATACATGTCGTGGAGTACCACGCATAGTGTGCAATATGCACGTCAACTTGAACTTGATTTGATTATCTACACAATGTAGCTTTGTATAGACCAGCCGCACGCAGAGACTGGTCGCAGTTACGTCTGACTAAGACAGTACATGTTTGAAAGAGGGAGCAAATGGTAAAAGAGGTGAGAGTACGTTTGATTTGGGAGACGCAAACGTCTGGTCCCTGCGTCCGATGAATGGCCTGCATCTTCACGCTATTATAACATCTTGTTCCGCGCGCTTTTTCAAGCACCTTAAGACCGACTTCTTTGCAACATCATTTATCAATCAACATCTAAGAATCCTTTTGCAGATTGTGTTCCCTCTAGAAGTATCATGGCCATGTATCAAGGCCGCAAATCAGGCAATGGCGCTGTACTCCGTCAGCGGCCAGGGTGCTCTCAAGAGGAGCATGTCACAAAGAGCCTCATTGCATCTTTCAGTTGGCCGAATGTTTCACTGGCTTGTCACGAAACTACCCAATAAACCCATGTCAGAATCGGTAAGTGTTGCTAGTACAGCTCATAAACGGTCAAATCCCGCTTCCTCCAGTCACCGAAACCAGCGTGGCATCGCCATATTTTGACTAGAAAAAACGAACTTCAAATCCATGGAATCGTTCGATTCAGCTAGGCGACCAGCATCTTCTGTTCTATACATGCCCATTTAGATGTTTGGTGCAAGGTAGGCACTCAGGTTTCAAATTCACTTGCCTACCGTAGGTTACTTAGCGTGCAATGAATAAGCACAACAAGTAACCTAACCTACCGTAAGCAAAAATTGAAAAAGATCTGTGAAATGTGAGCACCTGCCGTGCACCTAACTCATCTAAACGGGCGAATCTAAACAACAGAAAATGTTTCACGCCAAGCTGAATTAAACGCCGCTCTTGGTTCAAAATCCGTCTCCTCTAACCAAGATATGGCGATGCGGCGCGAATTTTGGTGAATTCCGGTGGTGCTCGGTGATTTTTTGGACTAAATATGATTGTAGATAAGGAACTCATGCATTTGTTTAAGGTGCCTGTATATCTCACAGCTGTGCTTGAACGAGCTCTGGAGGAAATGTTGCGTCCTGTATTGCAACTCGGTACTTATTGTTGGATTTCTAAGCATACGATAAGTATTATCTCTAAAATAGGAAAATTTAGGCCGGAAATGTGCAATGAATCGAAGAATTGAAGAAATCACTCACTCGCACAAATCGCTAGTATCGTTCTTTGCTCGGACTACTCGGCAAAAAGGTTTCTCGCTAATTTCTTAGAGTAAAACACTCAAGCAAACTCAATTTTTTAGAGCTAGACCCCGTGATAGCAATATCAGAAAAAGATTTACTCGAAGCGATTAACGATAGTCGCGGTAGAGAGGTAATGGAAACAAATGGCTTTTTGCTTTCTTCGAAAGGCAAACAAAGGAGTTTGTAAGTAAATTCGACTCGATTTGTGTAAAATCGAATCAAAATGGAGATTGACATATTCAGGATACAGATGAGTTCGTCTGGTTTACAATCTTTGCGCTACTTTTTACTGAATCAAAATGGGAGGTGAGGGCTCTTATCCATATCAACAGTTTTACCGAGGAATCAAACTTGAAGCTGAAAATAAAGTGAATTGCTGTTCAACTGAAAATCAAAATTGTATTTCTTTAGAGGAAACAATGTACCAATTGCTGACTGGACACGAATTATCTTCGCATTTGCCGAGCATCGCATGTCGCATTCTGTGGATGAAACTGATGTGCAGCAGGTTTGTATATACTTAGCGCTCGAATTCAGGTACTAAATCCAAAATCTATTTTTTCAAAATTCCGTATGATTGCACGCATACAACCTCAACAGTTGCAAGAAACTTTCTTGGGTGAAACTAAAATTCGAAGTTTTTTGCCTCACTTAAAGCGATGAAATTCTTGTTTGTGCGGTACCCTGAAATCTCATAGGATAAAAAGACTGCTTTTTTGGAAACCTGATTTTCAACTACAAAATCAGATCAATGAAAGCGCGCTTGAAGAGCTCTTACCAATGACATAAAATATTTGTTCAAGTGCTATTTTGAACGATTTTTTATTTTGATCTCCGATTTAGCACTTCATAGCACTACTAAAGTGACCATCTATACTTCAGCCCTTTTCATGTAGTAATGTTAGTGCATAGTAAAATTTCAGTATTTTTTGAAAGAGCTGTTCATGAACTTTTCACTCATACACACCGAACTCTAGCTCCTAAGTTTTTATGTAGAAAAAAATGATAGCTCTGAAAATTCAAGTTTCTAAAGAACTTGAATTTCGATGTTATTAACAAGGTGTTAGCAAACCAAAAACTATCTTCTCATGTTCAGTAATCTATGTTTTCCCATTTTTTGGAGTTTGAACGAAAGCCATGGCTCTGATCATTAGATTTTTTTCCTATCAGCATTTCTACAAATGATCATTTCCTATTCTAGAAAGCTTTCTGGGTCACAGTGTCTTAAAGATGCTCAACAAATTCCAGGCAGCTCGAGTACTGCTGGGATGTGACTGTGCGCCACCATCAGTTTCCATCACCTGTCGTGACTTCTCCGATCTTTCGCTGGAAGATGCCAAAAAAGAATTCGCCTTTTCTTTGGCTGCATCTTCCTCCCCAGTGCATATGCAGCATGTTTCTTCTCTTTTGGATGGCCAGTGGTCTGCTACAAATCAATTTGTGAGTTTTATACAATGTACAAGATTTATAGGTACACAAAAAACAACAAAATTATTCTGAGCTAATTCAGGGACTTTCGCTCATTTCTGATGCCGTTTTGCGCTCGGATAGTGACGCACTGCAAAGGCTTATCGATATGGGATTTCCCACAAACGTACCTATTCCAGCGTCTATTGGTGACAAAAGACCGTTCCTTCTTGCCGAGTATTCTGGATGGACCCCACTTACGTGGTAAGCAGGAAGATAACCACGTCCTCGCTTTTGCACGGTCTTCCTTGAACACATCGCTATCAAGTCAAAATCTAACGCGCGCACGCATCGTTGAGGCAACGCGACGCGTGTGCGTGCCGCTGTGGCATATCGCTGCAAGACCATGTCTGTTCTCTACTCACATTCCTCACTCTTTCTCTTTCTGGCAAAACGGCTATAGATCCGCACATAGAGCAAAATATTGGAGTACGTGTAATAATTCAATTTAAGGGCCGTCGCTACCAACAATGCCTTATGCATCGACATATTATTGTCATCGAAAGCTCTTGTCCAAAGCGAAGACATGATTAAGGAATCACCTCTGCAGGTTGCCCTATAGAAAAAAGTTTTGGACTTTTACTGTAAAATAATTTAGGTGGCAGCCCAGCAAGGCTCAGAAGAAATTGTCAAAAGGCTGCTTTGTGCTGGTGCCGATCCGTTCCGATCCACCATCGAATATGACTCATCGAAAGCATCGTTCCGTTCCATTGGTTCTCCGTCAGCGCTTGCCGCTGCCTGCTCCAGAGGCCATAGGCTCATTGTTGACGTTTTTGTTGATCGCTGTTAGTGTACGCAATTGCACACTTACTTCAAGTACTAATCCACCAATTTACAGTACTACAAAACTTCCCAACAACAGTCATTGATTTCCTTAGCGATTCGCAAACAAAAGTGAAGGATATAGGAAAAATGTGAGCGAGTTTTTTTTCGTTTGCCAAGAGATTAACTTTGAGAGACAGGGAAGCCAATGCAGATTGCAGAGAATTCAAGAGACTTCCAAAGAACACCCGACTTTCTCTTCAAGAAGCATTGTATTATGCCGTTGAAACGAGTCAGCCCGAGTGTGCTCTGCAGCTGTGGAAATGTGGTAAGCTCATGTAAATATTTTCCCAAGTGCTTTTGCTCTCGAATAAAGCTTTGCGCATTTGGGCGCGAGTTTTGGGAGACCAAATTTTGAGGCCGGTTAATTCCTTTTGCTCTCTTTTTTCGCATTCACTAGGTATAGTGTATGTGGCTTGTACCCCCTTTAGATTTGGTGTGAGCCGATGGATGGGGACTGAACTTTCAAATCAAACTTCGGTGGATGCAATAGCAAAAAGTAGCTTTTGAAGAATGACAGAGTTGTTTTCTTAACCTTTAATTTGGTAAACATAGCTCAGACATTTCGGCTCCAATACAAGCATATTTACAAGGAAAGATCCTTCAAAAGGGATTCACTGTGGAATGAAGTATTAAATTTGCATATAATCCAGCTAGCTTTCAGTAAGGAGCAAGTTAACTCAGCCGAATATGTTGGAACTTGGCCTAACGTCAAAAAAGAATAATTGGGACGGTAGTGATCTTTTTAAGACCATATACCACTGTTTATATAATAGATCTTTCATTTTACATAAATATAGGTTAGATACCGGGGTGCATATGCCCCTCGTCAAGTCATTATAAATATACACTCAATCAAGACAATCGCACGTCTTTCCTCTTTGTTTGATAGCTAGCGTCCAGTATTTTATCCACTATTCCATTTTGTTTCATTCTTTTTGGTACCTTCTTTGGGGACTGATGAAAGGGTTCCAAACCCGGGGGAAGGAAGCACGCAATATAGGTCTAGTTCTTAGCCCCGAAACCAGTATGCGTTAAAATTCTAATCACTTTTGCTTTCTTGTTGAGTGTTCTTGTATAATCCTATTCTTTTGAGTGCATGACGAGCAGTGCTTGTGCAAATCTATTTCCAAAATGCGGTTTCTCAAGGAGGGTTCCCAACAGGAGGTAGCGATTTTTACATAGGAAAGCTTCCTCATATTTGCTGCAATCAGTTTTGAGTATGCACAGAATAGAATTTCCAAGGATTTTAGGTAGTAATACAGTTTATCCTTTTGATCATTTCTAAGAGTTATGGTGAATGGACATCGAACTTCGAAAGCGCGTAGAGCTTTGAAGCAACCCAATACTTAAATTATTAGAATACAACGTAATGAAACATTCAGTGAACTTTTTTTTATCACCAAATCGAAATTACCTCTTTCAGTGCCAGATATACCATGGAGCATGTACACATGGACTCGAGCCCTTGAATGCGCAGCTGAGCACCGACATCAGCAATTCACCTCCTCCTTACTCGCACATTTTTGGCCTCTCATGTTTTCTAAGCTGGACCAAGACAACATTGACTATTGCAGCTATGTGGTGAGTAGTTTCGATAGACTCCCAAAGTATTTCCGCGCAGCTGTAATCTCGAGATTTGTGAAATTGGACATAATTTCTTTTAAAAGGGTTGTCCATTCTTCGTTCGGGCATTTCTTATGAATCACCTTTTCCTTCGATGTAAGCATTAAAGCGCTGTCGTTATAAACGCCTTCATTCTCTTAAGGAAATAAATCAGCAACTAGAAATTGATGGTTTCTTCATAGGACTAGTCCCTTCTCTTTTTTCGTCTCATTTACGTTTTTCCAGTTGTTCTCGCAACTTAACTGGGAATGCCGTCGTGATAATGGACATCCGCTAGAAGTAGCCGCTCTTATATCTCGTATTTGGAGACAATGCCAGAAGGTGGAACTGTAAGCACATACTTTTTCAGAATTCTCTTAGACATTTGAATGATTTATGCTTTTAGTACCAGCCATTCCACACCAGCCACTCCTGAGGTTCATAGACCTACGGTAGATGTTTCTTTCGTGAATAATCCAGAGCTGTCGGATATTCGATTTACGGTTAGTTGCAATTTGTGCAGTTACAGAAAGAGCAGAAAGAAGATTTTTGCAATTTCAGGTCGAAGGCGAGAATGTTTATGCTCATCGCATTATGCTTTACAATGCTTCTGAGCGGTTCAAGGAACTCTTGAGAATTCCAAAAGGAAACATCGACATTACTGACGTTTCTCACAGCACTTTCTTGGTACAATTCTGCAATTTCTTGGTAAATTCTTCAAAAATTTCTTTATTTCTAGGCGATGTTACATTACATCTACACTGGAGTCATTCCGGAACTATCCGTACAAGCACTTTGTTGTTTATATGCTGCTGCCGAAATATATGTGATACCAGCATTATGTGCTGCAATTTTGCGTGATCTCGGACGGATTCTTTCACCCCACAATGCTGCATATATTTATCAGTTTGCCATCGTAAGTCTTTGAAAAACCGGAAATATACGTAAAGTACGGTCATGACAGTGAGACAAGACCATTCTCGCGGAATTCGCGGGATTCGCGGAATTTGCAGGAAATATGCCGAAAATCGTTCTGTCCAAGGGTTCCTATCATATTGTTGCTTGAAATATGCAATGACTTACACCCTGAAAGCTCCATTACAAATGATACTCAAGTCCTTACCATACGCCTACCGTATCCCTATAGATTACGGTAATGTTATATACCTGAGGATTCGACTCAACTGGTCAAATCCAAGTTCTCGTGCCTTAATCTGCTTTGTAAAGAGATGGTCACGCGTGAATCCCGCGAATTCCGCGAGAATGTTCGTATTTTGCTCGTATTTTCTGCTCGTATGCATTTTTTTTACATTGTTTAATCAGACTTTTGTGCGCATTGAATCTAATTTCATTTTTTATCTAGGTGCACAACAATCATATTCTCCTCGAGAAGGGTGAAGACTACATGCTGACAAATCTAGATACACTAATCACTCAGTCAAAAATACGGGATTTAATCAAAAGTCATTCGGCCGACTACTACGTTTGTGCTGCCTTATCTAAAAAATTATCCTCTACTTTTTCCTCTAGTAGAAGTGAGAAGCTGTAAACATAATTTATGCATTACACTGGCTTACATACTGATTTATATTTCTAAATTTTAGAAATAGCTTGTAATATTGAGATTTATTGTTATGATCACTGAGTCTTCTAACCAAGGTTGCTGAATATGTTGTGCCATATTGTTCTCTTGTTATATTGTTGTATAAAAATGCCAAATGCCGTTATAGCTATTTTTTGAAGATGCTATTTTGTGATATTCTATTATTTTTGATATGCATTTTCTTTCTATTTTGAAGCTGCCTGCAGATGCCACATATTTTTTACACAGGCCAGAGCGCTGAGATTGAGAGGAGTCATACAAATTACATTTCATTCACACACAACTGACGCTACAATTTACGGCGAAGAGTTTTTTTAAGCAAAAATAGAAATGATACGAAAAAAGAAGAAAAAGCTGTGGTACTATTCAGCTCAATTTGGCAAAATCTCTTACGCCCAAACTCTGCGTGCGAATAATGTTCAACATGCGGAACACAAAAATAATAATTTTTCTGGTTGTAAGTACCTTTTTTATGTGGTTACGGTATTACGGTATGGATAGAGGAAAAAACAATTTGAAATTTTGCGTTTTTGTGCTGCGTAAAATGGAAAAAATGCCTTTAATTCTTTATTCAGCTGGTAAATGATCTTTGTAAAATGCAAAATATACAAATACTAGGTGGGATTAAAAGTTCGTTTGCCAGTTTTTCAAAAAATCATAACTTCCTTTCAACTCGATGGATTCTCTTGATTTCATATTCTTCTGAAAGAGGAGACCATTGTCTTTACAGCATTGCCTTCACCAAAAATGACATGAGAACTTCGAGAGTTAAGGGCAATCGAAGAAAGTCACTCAAGATTGAATTCTCCAAGTAGGGTCATGAAAAGTCTGGAAGTATTTTTGTTTGGTAAAGAAATTTTCGCACATAGCAGTAGCACCTTTCTTATGGATTAGTATGCAATAGTTCAAAACTTAAAAGCAAATGAAGAGAATTTCTTCAATTTTGCAATTTTTCACTCTGAAAAAAAAACCTAAAAACCTCACAGAAAAGACGAAAAATTCATGAACATGGGTTTTGTGAGCTTCTCTTTTTAGCTGAGAGGAATTCGTGCTAATCGAGAGCATTTTTGATTCTTGGAATATATCCGGATTTTCGGGTCTGCGTTTTTCAGGAAAATCAAAATTGCTTTCGATCGGCTCGATTTTCGCTCAACTGGAAGGAAAAGGTCACAAAACCCATATTCATGTCTTCCACCTTTTCTGTGACGTGTTTGGGCTTTTTGAGCATGCTCAAAAACTGCAAAACTGAAGTACAACTACAACTACAACTACAGTACAACACAACTTCTTTACTTGCTTCTATCCCTCGACCTTTTTGGTTTTAATTCGTGGAAAGTGCACCATAGTAAAGAGCATAGTTTTCTCTATCGAACTGAAATACTTTTAGAACTTTTTATGACCCTGCTTGAAAAATGCCAATCTCTGGTAACTTTCTTTAATTGCTTCTAACTCTCGAACTTCTCATGCAATTCATGGCAAAGGTACAGCTGTAGAGAGAATTGTTTACTCTTTCAGAAGAATTTGAAATCAAGAGAATCCATCGAGTCGAAAGGTGATTATGTTTTTTGAAAAAGTGGTGAACGAATTTTGATCACACCTAATATCATGGAGGAAAATGCTGTAGTATGCTAAGAAAAAATTCAAATATTAAAAAAAATATTAAAAAATGGCATTTTTTCTTAGCACTGAGATAAACAAGGAAAAAATAACTCAAACACAAATTGTAAGAGTGAAATTAATTTAGCTACCTATTACATAGCGAAAGAGAAGAGCACCATAGAAGTCATCACTGGCACCTCCATCCTCTAATTTAATGATCGTATCTCGCACTTGCCCAGCAAAGTAAACAGGTACAAGGAAGACGTAAACAACACTTCCTTCAAAGGGCTTTGATATCCCAAAACCGAGCAATAAATGAAGAGAAACTCTTCTCTAGGCCCGCGATAGTCTCCATCGATAGTTATTCACATTTCATAAACAATGACAATTTTTAGTTTACATTAGCTGAAGAACATGGGCGAGTCTGAGTTTGCGATTAGAAAGCCCCCGTTCAAATACAAACACTGCTGGCATTGCTAACACCATACTGTGTAGTACGAATCCACTCTTTCTGACGACGTTTATCGTCTTTTTCGGTGTCTGATACCATGCTTTGCTCTCTTTGGTTCATCTTTGCGCTGTCAACAATCGTCTGGACAGGTAAACATTTTCTGGAAATTACAATTAGCGATCTTGTATAAAATCATGAAATTTTATTTAAAAACCGCCTCATTTCTTTCTTTAGAGGAATACTCAATTTCCCGTCCTTTCCGGGCTTGCTCAGAAAGGTGAAAGAGTCTAGACTGGTTAATAAAAATGTTTGTACACAAAAGTCGTTAAAATCACCTTATATTTCCAAGTATTTTCTTTTATTGGATGATTCCTATGTTATAAGTTAAAGTGAACACTTGTCTATTTCTACTGCGATATTAATTACGATGAATAGATTATTCAAATTAAATCTATCTATTAATTATGATGAATAGATCATTTGAATTATATCTTACAATATGGTTGGTCATAATTTGTTTACAGTGCTATCATCTCTTCTTCAAAAGCTATATTGAATGACGCCATTGCAGCGCTCATCACTAATTAAGAAATACAAAACTTTACCAGGAAATAATGCTATTTTATGTTTTTCTCAAACCTCAAGTGAAACGTCACCAATTATTTATCTGTCGCTTAACATAATCAGCTAAAATCAATTATTTTAACACGCACTCAGACGTAGATGAAATTTTGCAATTTAAGCTCCTATTAGTCCAAGGAGAGAAACAACTGAACTTTGCTTAGAATTTACAAATTTTTTATATGTTATTTTACAGCCTTTTTTATACCAGGAAGTAATGAAATGGCCCTTGTGATTTGCTTGAAAGAACGATCATATCGTATGAAAAAGGACATGAAAAAGGACCATAACAGGATGACAAGTGACTGATATGAGTAGATGAAAAGTTGTGACCAGAACCATAAACTTCTGGAGGCTGAAATATGTTTTTGAAAAGAAAATTTCCTTGAAAAAGACTGTAACTTTAGCACCCATTTGACTTCATAATTTCCTAACTACTGCAAGTAAGAAACGCATAAAAAATCTAATAACATAATAATAAATTTGTGATAATGTCAAAAATTGTGTGCTGCATGCTTTTTGAACCTATTGTTCAATGACTTCCTGGAAATAAAAACCTGCACTTGCAAAGCGCGATTACCACCAAGGCGGAAATTGAATGCATGCCATTTTGCAGACAATTTATACTTTTTTCGGGATATCGTCATTCTTTGTCATTTACAAGGCATTCTTGTCGACGAATATGGTGATGGAGAGATGCAAAAACATGTAGAACACCACTGTGATCTAGAAAGAAGTACAAAGGAATTTTAAAAAAGAAAAGACATTTTGGCTTCCGGTAGACTGGAATCTTTCTTCTACTGATTTTTATATGTAATAGGTTGATGCATAATTCTTGCATCAAAATTTTTGAAATTTTGTTACTTCCTCAAGCTTCATTAAAATCTTTTGATTTATATAACAGAGAGAGAGAAAATCTTGCGTTTTCAGGTGCTTGAGTTGAAATTTCTTGAAGGCGCATGGCAACGGTTTGAGCTGATTGAGAAAAATACCCAAAAAATGATTTGTCGATTTTTGCGCACTAAAATTGCTTGAACGTCTAATGATATTTAAATTTTTTTTTGGTATTGGTTTTATGACATACTCTTTTCAGTTAGGAGAAGTTGGCAATGGGTGTCCCTGCAAACAGTTCGAATTCCGCTTTTTCTAATCAAACTAAATGACTTTGTTTCCTATTGATTTTCTAAGAAGTACTGTAAGATACTACTTTTTATATACACAACAAGCATTTTTTTGTAAATTAATCAGTTTGTTTAAGCATTTTGAAGCATTTTCATTATTTTGTGAAGATTGTGCATCAACCCAATATACTGTATAAATTAATATATATAAATAATAATATATATAAAAATAATATATAAATAATAATAATATAATAATATATAAAAAATGTGTTTTATAATGCGCTTAGAGGAACACACTCTGTCACTGCAAGATGTTCTGGATGTGCCAAAGGACGAGCTGACACTGTTGCTGATGGGCGATACACAGTATCACTACAAGTGTGAACCTTCGAATATTCCTTGTAAGAAGTCGTCGAAACGATGCAGGGAGAGCTATGGACTCGACTACGTAGGTTTTAGCCACGTTAGTCTAAATCTTTATTCAATATAGATCTTACATTCTTCTTATTTCGCGTATAATTTGGCAAATTGAAACTGGGACCCAGCTGAAATGGTACCAGATCAAAACTAACCTAATGACTATCCAAGCTGTTAGATATCATTTTGGCACACCTCCTCTTTTCAACCATATTTGAGAACAATAACTCTTTGCAAGGAAAATCTTGCAAGTTTGAAAGTAAACATGATTCTTTTGCTTAGAGTTAGCCATTGTCGAGTACTCCAAAATTAACCCACGCAACTTTTTCGTAAAATCCGCATTTGGCATGATGTAGCTGTCCAATTCATAACTGCTTTCGGTGGCGTTAATTAGGAAGTTCGCTAAGTAGAAGAACTGCTTATCCCACGAGCATCAAGGACTTTGATGATTTGCGTGTTTTGAGTTTTATTCGAGTGCAATCCCATACACATAGCTGTTAAAAGGTGAACTTGATTTCAAAGGCACTTGCTTGTAAATGACTGTAATACTCAAAGTATGGTAACCATTTGTATTATACTTATTCTGTAATTTTCATGTAACAAAAATAAAAAGGTTGTGGAGTTTTTTGGGCACTCGTTTAATAATTCCACTAGCACATGTTGGTTTACGAACATTGAGTACTTCCCAGTTAGTGAGCCTTGCTCATCATTAAAGTTTTTGTAAACATTGATAATTAATCAAATACTCCTGGGACCTAGACAATGAGAGAATAACATAAAAGATCATTACGTAACGACCGGTAACCCTTTTTAATCAGATGACGTAATAATTATATAAATCGTATTAACAATGTTACAGTAAAGCTAAGGAAGTTCAATAAGATTTAGAACGAAAAAAGTGATTATTATTAATAAAAAGAACAGCCGATTATGAAACAAAAAGTTTTAGTATCTCCGGGCAGGACCATTCTCCAACGAAACTGTACGGGCCGGTCAGAAAGAGTGCATCAAAATTGAAAGCCGATATGCGAACCGGGTACAACGACAGGTCAAATTTCAGTTTATTTTCGATAGATTAGAAACTTAACAAGTGGAAAAATTGAGCATAAATTTTAAGTTTTAATATCCCACTTATTTTGTAGGAACAAGATTTCATGTGCAGGCATCAGATGAATACAAAGTCTTGAAGTAAATCTTTCGCTCTTCAGACTTTTGCTTCATTTCATTAGAAATGAAAAAATTGCAACGTACGACTAAGCGCTAAACTTCCGCTTTCCACTTTCATGAATTTTACAAGTCATATTACATCTCAAGCATTTTTTTTTGAGCGTTTCACACTTGCTGCACATTCCCAAAGTGACAGTTTTATTATCAATGCCATAAGAAAACCTACGCATTTCTTGTAACAAGGTGTTATGAATGATCAAATGAAGTTGATGACGATAGCTAGGACGAGTTTGCTTAGTTAGAAATTATAAAATCTCTTAACACTAGGAGTACCATTAGTGGAGGTGTAAATGACATTTGTGAATAGTTCTTTTTTTTTTTTGAGAGAGAACACTTCTGCAGATCCCAATTATCTAAAAATTTCTAGGCGCTGGACCGTTTGATAGCTTGGATGAGATATCCCCCTTCAGCACTAATCATCGACGGTGATCTGACGGATTTTGGTCACATCGAACAACATAAAGAATTTCAGGTAAGCCTCGCTTTGTTACCGTAATTTCCTCGGGTTACAAGAAGATCTGCAAGAGAAGCAATTCATTTGATAATTAGTAGGTATTCATATACAAGACTCTGCAGAGGAGCAAAGCAGTTCACACATCTTGAAAAAAATCGCTTTGAACCATGATGTTGAAAGTAATTTCCTCGCAAATTCACCTGCAATTTTTTGCAAAGCGTGGGATAGTTTCAATAAACTTAATTTCCGATTCATTACACTGAGCAATTTTTCAAATGATTGAGATTTTTGTGAATATCGCATATGGTTCAAAGTGACGAGTTTTGAGAGAGAGAGGCAAAAAGAAACAGACTGCGGTATAAAGTGACAGGTTCAATAAAATTGAAAACAACCTTAGAAAAACAAGGGACCTGCAACGTAGTGGCCGCTATCTCAAATAGAAGATCTTAAAAACTATAAGTAAGCTTTATTAACAAATTTAGAATCACATCTTGCTGCAACATCGCGACCATAACTCTTTTAATATTCTTCTCTGTACATCTGTCCCTAACTCTAGTATTCTTGAGCTCAAAACATCATTACTTTCAGAACGGTTGGATGACTTCATTTCGCTTGCCGATTTTTGCTGGCTTAGGAAATCATGATTACGAGAACAATATCAACGATTGTGCATTCAACTTCTGTGCTCATACAATGCTAACCTGGTATAGTGAAATCGTTGTTACGTAAATCCGCAGACATTGCGACGCGAAAAAAACTCATAGAATTAGCCTTTTGGTAAAGATTACCATCCACTTAGGTTCACTAATTATGCTAAGAATATGTCACTCGATATGGACTACCGAAGACATGTAAAGTCTGCTTTCGACATCGCCTATGACGGTTCATTTGCTTACTCAACTAGGATCTGTAGTGTTACTGGTAGGAGATTTTCATTCTTACACTTCTGCTATTAAACACCTGTTTAAATCTCCCTCCAGCTCAACTCTGATTTTTTATAGGCATGAATTGTGCTCACATTATTCAACTAAACAACGCTGTAGACTATGAGACGACGTTTTCGTCGTTCCTTGTTGATTGGAAAGTGAATTCAGCAATGGATTTTCTCAAGACGGAATTAAAGCTGCTGAGGGTAATTGCATTCCAACGTCCTCACACCATTCCGCCTTTCAACACAAATCTCTCTATCAACTATAATGACGCTAACGACACCAAGAAAATGAAATGTAGTTCTGGAGTTGTGGGACCGATTGATTGATATTTATTGTTAAGGATATTGACATACCCGTACTGATCAACATGCATCAGTGTGAAGGAACCCGCTTGGAGAAGCTGAGGGAACTGATTGCTGAGTGGTAGGCTAAAATTCCTACCACTATCCTAGCAGAGGATATTTTTTCCTTTTTTCCAGGATATACGAAACAAGAAACGTAGGCCATCGAAAAAGAATAGCCGCCTTTTACGCTCACTTGCACTCCATGCACGAAGCCAAGACGATGTGCTTGCACGGTGTGGCCGTGCCTTTCGTCTACGTCGGCTCCGTCCCAAACAACAGGTTCATTCCTCATTTATTTGGCACGACGCATGAAGACGTATACTGTGGCTACACTTCACGTCTATAGGTTCTCGATGCTTCGAATATCTCGAAATCAAAGTTCGCTGGTTGGACTTGCGGCTCGTGATGCTTTCGACGTCGGTGAGGAGAACTCAGTCCAAGCTTTAGGAGTAATTCATGATCTCTGGGGCAATTGCCCACCATCCAGTCATTCCTTCTATCCTTTCGTTGATGATTCCAAAAACGGTGTGAATACTTTTCAAAAACCGGTAAAATCATTGTAGAGATATCAGTTCTTTCAACATATTCGTATTTCTTAGCATTTCGAATGTTTTCGTTTTTACATCGTATAAGTTCGTATTTTCTAGGGCTTGAATTGTTAGATGTACCAGCAATATAATAAAATCCACTACTATTACTAGAACTTCTAGAAAACATATTCGTGCACGCAATGAACCGAAGCCTGTGCAACCCACGCATTCTTTAGAAGTTTATCACAAAAAAAGATAATCAGAATTTCAATAAATTTTTGTTCTTTCTGTGATCGCTACGAACCGTTTCCTATCATTATAGTAGTTAGGTAGCTGTAACAAATCTCCTCAGGAAGACCGTGGGTGTTGCTGATTACAGGCTATTTCCGTGTTTTATGAAATTTGAACTTTGACGAAATCCACTATATGCTTGTGTGAATTATATCCACTTCCTGACGAGCCACTATTCGCTTAAGAAGCAGAGGAAGTTTCTCGAATTAATAGTGTAACGAGACTAATTTGTTCGTACTACGCTATCAAGGTGGGGTGAAGCCAAATGAGATAGTCGCATTATTAGCCTAATTAGGCAACGGGCCGGTCTATCCCACTCGAATCTGCACGTCATACATTTCGGCTCCGCCTATAAGTAGGCTGTGCTTGTTTCTAAATAACTCACTGTTCATTCGTACACAGCGATTTCACTGTCGCCAGATGACAAAATTCATCGAATTTAACCTTCTGAAGAGACGAATCCGGCGCGGCTCCGCTACTGGCGCAAGGCGCCTTCGGCGCCTTCTCCACCGTAATCGCCTGCTTCTGTCCGAGTTTGCTCGAGTTCACTCGTCTAGCAATCGTCACCAACAAACAAAAGAGTCAACTACTACTCGACTCACATCATAGTATCCATATATTGTGTTGTGCTTTGCGGAGTACTGATCGTGTCGTAATTACTTAATGCGAGACGCCCCTACCGCCTACGTTCCTTATTTGTCGCCGCCCGAGCAGCTCATCCTTTCTTTCCGGCACTAAATTGCGCGCGACTGAGCAGTAATCAAGCAGTTGTTTATTGTTAAAATGTCGCTCAGTAGATAATGGTCCTACTTGGCGATGCTGCAAGGAGACTCGTCCAGATTCTAATTCCTCGATGTCGCTTATCTAAAGTTACAGTGAGGGTGTTTCCAACATCATCTCGTTCATTTACACGCAATCCACATCCTCGACTATCAGTTCTTAACACCTGATTCCGGATTTGGTCTAATCAGTAGTAACTCAGTATCTCATTCTACCAATTTCGTATTTTTTATTGATAATAAAATCTTCCTCAAGCGGTACGCAATACCCATCGATAAAAAATTCAAGATACCACAAGTAAGTCTGTTTCATACCCTAGGAGTAGTTTTTACTGATTCAAATTGAGTTTAAACTTTTTTCTAACTTCAACAGTTCAGAACTAAATGTCTAAATATCTGACCTACAGCAAGCCTCAAATATTGATTTTCGAAAACTAATTCGTAGCTACTGGACTTATTTCCCTTGTGCTTAACCAAGTTCGTGGTAAAAATATTCCTTTGAAAGCTTGAAGTAAAGAGTAATCACCGAAGCATCGAAGGAAAAAGCTATTATGATTCACCCCCCGTAACTGTTTGCACCTGCCTGGCCATCTAATGCACATTGAAAAAACTCCTGCGAAGTTTACAATAACAGCATTTCACTTGATTTGCTCAAAACATCGAATTATGCGCTAATTAATGGTTGATGAAGATCATGCTCATAAATGAATGAATGTAATATTGGTTCGTTATGCAACGCTCGGAGTGAGACAATGCATACGACTAGCACAAATTGCAAATCAAGTGTAACGGCTAGTGTCATCTCCATGACTATATGGACTTGAGCATTTTTATGTTACATTGTCTATAAGGATGAAAAATTTATTTTTGATATTCTACGTGAGTAGATCAGTGCTAAGAACAACGAAAATGTATTCTTTGGACTCAACGATTTACTGAACATGTACGAATGAATACGCCTTCGTTAGAGTCAATGCACTTCTTTTGTATGGGACATCCACTGACCCAACCCATTTCGTATTTAGTCGATGTTACCTGGCCGGCGAACAGTAAATCGCTAAACCCAGAGAAATCCTCGATCTACCTGTTCATTTGAGTTCTTGATATTGTTGACATTCTTATGACATTTGTTATTTCGTTGTTATTCCGCAAAGACGAGTCCTAAAAATGTGTTCATGAATTTGTTCCACGCGGCGACTTTTGCAAAAATTGTGTCAAGAACTGGAAATCGTAGAATTTTAGAGTAGTGCTGGCTACTTCAGACACCGCTTGAATAAATGATGCTCTCGGCTTACTGGGTTACTCCTACGTGTTGAAATTTGCGACTCATCCGCTAACAAGCAACTCACATAGTTATGAGGGCAGTTTTGCAAATGTGACGCTATATCAGCTATATTCGGACCATTAGTTCCAATGAATCGAATTGCAAAGAGAATCTGATACTTCCACTTCTTCTCGCACATTCCACTACGATCGAAGCTGCTCTGCCCCTACTACAAACGATAATTTCTTAGAAACAAATCGCTTCAGGTAATCCATAATGTTGAGGACACTATTAATGGCACTGCTTGCTGTTATCGTTGCCGGATATATCGTCGATGGTCGATTCTTGGCAGGTTTTTCTTCTTTTACAACCTATTTTGAGCGCTAGATAGTTGAGATGTGACGTGACGTTTATCGTGGGTCTGAATCTGACATATCCATAATATAACATGGTTTTTTGGAAGGATCGTATTAGAACATCCGTAATTCAGTTTCTTATGTGATGCAGTCACTTCGCAGAGAAAGATTATTTCTCCCTTAATTATATCGCTTTCGCCTTCTGACAGATTGTATTAGAACCCCCACCTCATAATTTTTCTGTAGTGACAAATTCTTCACATAAAAAATAATAATCTATGATTTCACCGAGAATATAATGTACGGCTTGACACGAGATAACTTTCTGAAAACGCAAAAAACAAAGTCCTCCTTGGCTTTCGCAAAATTTTACGAAGTCCTCTTCAACACTAAACCCTAGATAAAAAAATGAAATAAAACGAAACGTCGACTAAAAAATCGTAATTTTTCGGCCACAAAAACTATATGCCCTCTGCTTTTTGTGCCAAAAACATCCAGCTTGCTTATAAGTCACCTATGCCGAGCCCTGATAATGTATTTCAAAGTTACTACCTCATCTGCTAGTACGAATTTCGAGATATTTTTTAATTCTCTACAGGACGATCCTTACTTCTTGACGTCTCGAACCTACCCTGACGAGCCGTTACAGATGATTCCGATGGGAGTCCCACGGAGAGCAATTAGGCAAGGTTCGTCCTTTTAGAATTCTTCTTCGGCTGATTGAATCAACCTTATCTACTGTACTCAACTCAAAACAATGTGGAACATTAAGCTCTACGTTTTCAGTTATGGAAAATCAACCACTTCCGTGCCGTTTCAAACTGTGCGTCAGCTACTATTAGCTAGCTACACTTTCTCTCGACCATCTATGATGTATAGTGATCTCCGAATTATTGTTATATATGAAGAGTTGTTACCATGTCTCTTAGCGCTTATCATAGGGGAACAATGCTATAGTTTGCATAATTATGTCCTCATCATAATGCAAATCTACACTGCTCATAAGTAGTTGAGTAAAAGTTAAATCCAGAGGTAAATCCTAGCAGTGAAAAGAAGATAGCGTTGTCTTACGGATGGGTAAAAAGCAGGTTCATTCTTCGAAGAGCATTGAAAGCATTTTTAGCGAAAAAAGGAAATTTTACATGCAAAACTCTAAAAATACTACTTATTTCCCAAATCCCCTGGCGTAGTTCTATTTATAGACTAACGGGGCTTGAGCAATGTACGTAAAAGTACATCATATCTTGCTCCTCGACGGGTAGTGACCAGTTGACAAGTGCAGAGAATCTGCTAATTCGATTAAGGCGAAAACGTCATAGAGGAGTGCCTAAAAGCATGGATTTGAAGTAATTCTAATGAGTTTATAGAGTAAATCCAAGATTTCCTGTTATGCACAAGGCTACAGGATTTATTGCACAAAGTTGTTTTCTTGGCGGAATACAGAAAATTGAAAGAGATTTTGTTTGAGTCATAGGATTGATAAATTTTTGTTGGAACTTTTGTAAAATCTAAGAATATTTTTACTGCACTTTACTCGTCAAGGCTCTTCCATACATGTGGTAGAACTCTTCGAGAACCCTAGGTGTCCTATGGACTCAAATCACGTCACCTTGAACTGCCTAGCCTAGATTAGTTTTAATTCAGAAGGATTCGAACGCACTCCCTCAGTCCGGGCATAACAAGCGTTACATTGGAAGGCTTTAAAGCAGAATTATTTTTCAAGAAAGAAGAAATTGCAAAGGTTGCGGCCGTAAAAATCTTGGTATTAATTTCAATTTTAACTGCAAAATAAGTCGTCATCAATAAAGATTGCCTTCACAAAAGCGCAGTAATCAGTCTTTCTTTCTGTTCCTCATTGAAACATGCACAAGCACTTGCTCAAAGGTCGAGGGCATACACACTGACACAAGGAGTGCATTATATGCTATTGTCACAATTTGAAATAAGAATAATGCAATCAGCGTCTAATTGAGAATGACGTTGTGTTTTTTGAAAGAAATTGTCATTGGGTATGTCAATTGTATTTTGGTTTTACGTAATTTTTGATCTTACCAATTTCGTTTCGACAAGCCCGCTTGAAAGACGCAGCTACAGAGATGCATGAGCAGAAAGGGAATTTTCGTTGCAAATAAAGGTTGACACTGCAACCAGTAAAAGAATGATCTATGAAGCTCTTCGAACTTTTGTTCTCAATGACCCTTCTTTTCTCACGCCTAACAAAATACTGACTCTATTCATCTCACGACAAAAACTCTGATCAAAACCGTAGAAGACCAAGAAAACCGTCTAGAGCAAGCTTAACAGAAAAGAATCATGAACTAATCACTGACAATACACTCATCTGCATATGTCATACAGTGACTTTTTGCGACAATGAAGCGCTCCATCTAGGGTCGCTAGTAGAACTTTACTGTCACAAATCTCTATATTACAGATAATGAGTGGATTTATTTCACGAAATTCTTCACAAACAGAAAGTCTAGATATTCAGAGACAGTTGAGTGTAGTATGGGGTTTGAATTGGGAGAAACGCAAGCTACAGAAGTTTCCATCTGTCCTTCTCGCTCGCTGTTCTTCTCTTGATGTGACGGACCCAAGTGTACGCTTTCGCAGACCGCCGGATTACGAAGACTGGTATTTTTCTCATATCCGAATCCGGTGAGACAAGATGTTGCTTGTAGGATAATCTTCAGGAGACTTCACTCAAGCGCTACATGGGTTTTCTATAAAGATCTCGACGTGGCTGCATATCGGCTTAGGTCTCAGCTGCGTAAGGCATCGGGCATACCTTCGGCGACACCATCGTAGCGATTCTCATCGCTAAGGCATCGAATGCTTCGGCGTCCAATCGCTTCGGGACTAATCTCATGTCGCTCATTTCGGGCATACCTTTCACAAACCATAGCTCACACGTCACGCCCGAATGAACTCAAAACATTATCTAGTTTTTCAATTCGTCTAACATCTTTCTTCTCACTCCTTTTCACTCTCACGAGCTAGTTATGCTCATAGATGCGTCCACCACAGCATCGTCCATTCCACTATTGCTGCTAGCCTTGGTTTACATCTCTGACTGCATCACGTATGGCTATGTTAATAAAGTAGTATCACTAAAGAGCAGATAATTACACAGTGAAAAATCCTCAAGTATTCAGAAGAAATTCTGAAAAGGGAAAAGGAAAGCGAAAAATAAAAAGAAACAAGAAGAAGAAACACTTACATTGCCAAGACAATTTAGTAACGCATCCGTAAGTTCAGAGTCAAAAAAAGGATAAGTGGAAAGGGTAGAGAAAGAAGAGGATAAGTGAAAAAGTGGTTAAACAATACAGGGTGGTGAGTGGCAACAAGTGGGCAGCGATCATGTGGTGCTATTCGCATGGTGCAACAGTTAAAATTGAACAAAAAGACTTGCGAAATCTTTCCAGAGAAAAGAAAGCGACGCGACATATCGCCCGTCGCTGGTGCAGACTTTGCGACGCGATTTTCCTCAGTTTCGGCGATGTCGTGGCGATATCGCCGCTAGAGGTATACCCGTCAAAAAACTGCTCGCGATTTTTCGCCCCTACAAACTAGCACGAATGCGGCGGAATCCACTACTTGAGCGCGGCGAATCAGCAACACATGTCCGGTGGAGTAATCGCGCAGCGATAAATCGCGTAAGGTACGCCCGATGCCTAAATAGCTGGTCAACGGTTGAGTCGTAGAGGTGAGCTCGAAGCTCCGGATCAGTCACCTAAACGGTAGCTTTTTTCGAAGAGCCGAAGGAAGTCCATGCTGCTCTTCTTCTGCTGCTCAGTTCTTTTTTCACATCGTCCATGTTCATCAGACGTCTCCACTTTCGCATATTTGCAAAGCTTATGAACTGAGTCCACTTTTGCACTCGATTACCCTTCCGTACTTCGATGTAATCGCACGATGATAAAAAAAAATGTCTTCTACAAGATAAAGATTCAAGAATATCCTAGTATCAACTCGGGTGCCTTCTCGTCCTAGTTCACTGACTTCTCATGGCAAGGCCGCAATGAACAGCTTTGTGGCAAGATTGTGTCGCCGCAGACCCCTTCCCCAACTGGGATGGTTAGGAAGCGATTCAATAGCTGCATCGTTGTATCGACTACAGCTGACTGTATAGTGATTTTGAAGCTATCATACGTTTTCGTAGATGAAGTGAGACAGGTAAGACAGGCAATCACTTCCGGCATAGTTCTACAGCCCTCGGTGAGGTTTGGATTGTTCCATGCGGCAAAGTCTCGTGCAAAAACCCGATGTATGAGTGGCCGCAGGCCTTGAGATTGAGTCATGGAAGGTTTGTGAAGAGAAAAATTAGTTGCTGCGAAATAACTTTTCAGAAGAAAATCTTGTATGAATGGTATTTGGTCAAAAAAGTTTATCCCCTTAGGTCATCATCTAATATAATTAGCATAAAACAGAAGTACGAAGAGTGCAGAATCAAAATATAGAGTCATTGAATCATTGTGGGATAAGCCATTTATCATACTGATGCTCTTCTTTCGAACCTGATACCAGGTCCTCATCCAAGATTGAGCCCGTCTCCCTTTGATGAGCATGCAAGGAGCATCCCTTGGATCAGCAACTGTTTTTTCCCACTGCTTTCTTCTCTCCTATTCTTGGCCGATGGAACACATCAAAGCTAGAATTTTGCCGACCTCAAAGGAAAGTTAAAAGCAGAAGTTGTGGTTGTTAGCAGAGCCATCAAACCACGAAAGTACAAAAGCGCAACTTGCAGCTGTAAACAGCAATGGTCCCAGAAACCCTCTGCGGGTTTTGATCTACGAGGTCAGGCTCAGGCTCGCAAAGTAATCAACAGTAAGGCGCACTCCGCATACGGTCGTTTGCTCACAATAACGGCTCTTTCGGTAAGCGCTGAATCAGTCTTTCACGTCTCTGTCATCGCTTCAGCTCCCATCCATGATGCTGGGTTATATCTTGCCGTCGCATTGGTGTTTCATAGAATAGCACAAATGTTTGTGATCTTTTCAGGCTTTGAGAAAGGCGACGACGCGAAACGTCAGCCGTAATAAAGCTATTAACAGTCTTGGTGACAAGCTAGAGAAGAAATAGCGGTAATCACAGGAACTGCACTAATGCACCAATGTAAATTCGGAGCTCCGTGTGAGGAGCACATGCACAGAATATATGAGCGGTTTGAGCAGCATCTTCCTAAAACCGTTCTAAGTGCTTTTGACATAGTGGATGTCTTTGCGTAACTGATAATGGATTTGTCAGTAGTTAGTAGATCTTACGGTGTACAGGGTGTCCCAAAAATGTACCTAGGTGGTTGTTTATAATTCTTTTGTAATAAGGTCTTTCAAGAAGCTTTAGGTATTGTTTTGAGAGCTGACCTTTACTTGGATTCTAGAACGACACCGATAGCTTTTCATTACTTTATGATTACAGTAGAAACTTCAAGCATATGGTCACTGTGGAAAAAGCCGCTGTTTCAAATAAGTTTTCAAGTAAAATCTTGTGTAATAGGATCTTCGTGGACGCTGAGCTCAATACTCAACTATATACAAGATTGCGAAGCTTCTAAACGGTGTAACCGCGCTTTTTAGGAACATTGAAAAACGGCCGCTACTGCTCATCGCATAACTTTTCAAAGAAGCATTATGATAAGTTGCAAGCTTCATATTTAGAAACAGCAACTCTATTTAGCCCAGTGTGAGAGATTTCAGGTTGTTTTGTTACCTATCTGAGGCAAAATATGGTTTATTTTACTCAAACCTCTTTTCTAAGTTCCTACCGTAATCCTACAGTAATGGAGAGCAGCCGGTAATATGCTCCATACCGTAAATCTAAGTTGAAGCCAGCTCTACAAAAG